AAATTTCGTTTTGAACACTGGATGCCGGGTGGCGGGCCTCGTCAATTTTGTCCTGGCGAAGCTCTTCAAGGGCCTTGAGAGCCTGTTCGTACTTGGATTCGAGATTCTCAAAGTCACCAAGGGTGTTCTCGTGCTGGAGACGCAGGTCGAAAAGCTCCTGGGTGACAGTCTCAAGCTTGTCGGCAACGAACTTGGACTGGGCGGGACTGGATACGGGCTCTTCACGAAGAGCCTCCGTGCGGCGTGCCTCCAGTTTGCTGGTCACGGTTTCCAGAACCTTCAAGTCCTCGCCCGTCTCCGGCTCGGATTCTCCAATGGACTCAAGCTCGGCCTCTATGGTCGGCTCGAGAAGATCCTCGTCTGATTCCGGAATGGCTGTCTCAACTGCTTCGCTGAGAACGTCAAGAGAGGGAGTGTGTCGGTGAGAGGTCTGCATGCCCCTGGTCTGGTGATAGTGTGGGTGGTCAATGCCGTTGGCGTCATCGTGTCTGTCTCCGCGATTTTGTTCGTCCAGCTCGCCGAGTAGGCGGTCTAGCTGCCCGAGGCCGCGTTGGCGCTCAATGACATGTTCCAAACGCATTACCTCGCGCTGCATAAGCTCCATGTCCTGATCACCCTCCGCAAGTCGTTCTTCAAGCGTCGAGATGTATTCCTCGCAGCTGCCTTCGTTATCGCGGGCCCGGCTCAATTCCTTGCGCAGTTCGGCAACGATTGCAGCATGCTTCTCTTCACCTGTAGAGTGTCCATCAAGCTTAGACTCCAATTCGTGGAGGTAGGTCTCAGTGTTGAGTTCTCGGTCCAGCATCTTCTGGACACGGGTCTGAAGCTGTTCCTTCATAGTCTCGATATAGGCGCACTTGGTCTCACGCTCGAGTAAATCACTCTCCGTGATAGATAGGGAGGCGCGTGTTTCAGAGAGAGAAGCCTCCAAGCTTTGAATGGTCTTTTCGTACTCCAATACCATTTGCTCCACAGATTCGGCAAAGGACTTGGACCGCTGCATTCTCTCAACCGAGTTCTTCCCAATTTCGGAGGTAGCGTCGTTCATTTCGCTGTTGGTGGCAGGTGACTCCGACTCATTGGCCATATTCGAAATCAGCTTGGCGTGACGCTGACTGAGAGAATTATAACTTTCTTGGACATCCAACAACTGATTCTGCAAGTGCTTTTCACGTTCGTTCTTACGCTCGCTTCGTTCGGTGGATGATCCTTCCCGTCGCTCAGATCCTTCGGAGTTGCGGATCTGTAGTCGCAAGAAAGATATCTCAGACTTGAGCCGGTCAATCAAAGCCTGCTTGTCGCCGTCGTCCGCAATATGCTGAATGTGAGGTTTGCTCTGGATGGCTCTAGCCCGCTGAGCGTATGAGATTGTGTTCAAAGTCTCGCTCAGGTGGAACTCGGCGGGAGTCACACAAGCAATCATATACGTAAAAGCGTTTCCTCCGAGTGAATCCTGGAGCAGTCGGGTAAGCTTTGAATCACGGTAGGAGACGTGGGAGCCCTGTTGGCGTGACGAAAGCTGCGAGATGACCTTTCCGAGTGCGGCCAAACCAGCGTTAATAGAGATACCCTCCTTGGCGCGTTCTCCAGAGGCACCGGTATTCTTCAGCCGTTCGCTGCCTGCAAGATCCACAAAGTGCAATTTGCTATCAACAGTGACTGATTCCCCGGCGTGGAATGTGTCGACTGGCATCGACATGCGCTTCTCCTTTATGGGGCTCGGCGTCGCGTGGGTTGGTGAAGACTTGCGCTGCACAAGGTTCAAGCTGAAGACGGCATGCGACCGAGATGATTTGGCGTTGATTGCCGTGGAGTCTGTCTGACGGATGGTCGATCCAAAGTTCAGGGCACCGATCAGATCTTCGAATGAATTAATGTTGACTTGGTGCAGACCGGTGAGAAGAATGCGACCCTTGGTGTCTTCACGAATTGTTACGTTGCTGCGGTCATTTGCGATTGTCGATTCGGGAAGGAGCAAATCTCTCAGGTGCTCATTATAGATCTGTAGGACAATGGTCAGAACAATGGCCAACAAGCTCCATAAAAATGTAATCGCACCTCCACATATGTTGCCTTCAGTTGCCAGGTCTTTTCTTTTTCCTGGTGCAACTTCCCAAAGCTCGAGGCGGATGACATTGAATATCGTTGGGGTGTTCGGAGACCAGTAGTCGTGTTCGAACCATTCCGATTATGTTTAGAAGGGCCTTCTAATTTATCGAATAAGGCTTGCGCAGCACGGGGGATGATACCTAAATCAAAGATTCACGGTTAGTTCCTGGTTGGTAAACAAGCATATTTCAAACTCACCCATATTCTGCATGTTATTCTGTTCAGTGGGACCTGAAGTACCCATTGTGAAGGACTTTCCCGCGCCGGACTGGCCATATGCCATAATCGAGACATTGTATCCTTGAACAAAAGAGTCGACACTATCACTGACATATTCCCAAACGCCCTCTTGTTCGGTAGTTTCGGGGAAAACGCGATCAAACACGAATAGTTTGCGCCCACCGGACACGTCAACAGACAAACTAGTTGGCACGGTTACATGGACTTTAGATTTCTGAAATCGCTGAGGGACCAATTCATAACCGGGATCGGTGGGTTTCAGGGGTGGTCGCACACGGACAGCTGCGCAAGGTCAGTCATGAATTTGGGTGCCGGCTGACGTTGTGTTTGTTGCAGGCACCGGGTAACCCCAGGGGTAGAATCCACATACCAACTTTAACTGCAGTCTTGCCATCCTCATCCGATGCACGACTTCCACCTTGCCTGCTGCTCATACTTAAACGACTTGTACTGCGCGGAGTGCGCATGACTGCACTGATGGGGCGCGGGGGTGCGCCAGTGGGCGATGCTGGCGGTGAGACGGTCATCTCTCTCCCCAAGAGAACCACACCAGGTGGAATAGAAATGAAAAAAAAAAAAGGAATTCGAGGTGCTAATCGATAGCGGGCGTAGTCATGAGGCGCAGAATAGGGAGATGTCTAAAGAATGTGGAGAGATGTCAGTTTAGCGTCCCCTTTTTTGCCGATAAGACAAACATCAACACATCAACGCGTACCTGTTAATCCCCGTAACGTTGTGCAAAGAGAAAGGAGACAAAAGGAAGATGGAGAAATTGACACCGTGCACCGCTCAGAATAGTTTAGCGTTTGTTTTTAAGATGAAGGATGATTTTATGTTCCAAGCGAAGGGGAATTTGGGTCAGGGGTGACTTTTGGGGTTTAACATTTCTCTAGTACTAATGTTCACCTTTTTTTTTTCTTTTATTCCTATGTATGTTTAGGGGTACTGCATATTAACCTCCTAAATATTCATGGTTCAATAGTGTGCCGGAGTACACACGGTTCGATATATGACTTCAATTCTGTTATCTCCACCTAAAATATATTAACATTGCCCAAATCGGTCGAACCAGCACGTTTTGCCCGTTCGTTTCAGGTTTGCATTCTAGCTTTATCGAGATTGGGGTTGCTGAAATGAACTATCCGAGGCAATTTCCCCTGTTCCTCCCAATCGACCTCATGGCCTTTTGCCGATCGCTGCGCGTTCAGGTCCAGATGGAGTCTAATCGTGCCAGAGACGGGCCAGCCAGGCCAATCCGCTAAGTTCTCTAGACCCGGGGCCCACCCCAATTGACCATGGTGAGCTGGGGTCAGAGGTTCGGGAATTTGCTTGTCCATCGCTATATTATACGGGGTTTCTTCCGTTGTATACAACAAAGTGCCCAAACACTTGAACCAATTGACCTGGGGTACTCTGTAATTGGCCCCAAACCATCCCGAGGTATCCGGGGAAATTGCGCGGAAACATGGGCATCGTCAGATTCATGGCTTTTTGACTTTCGTACCTGGATTTCGAAAAACGGTCCACCGTTGAAGGATCGGCGATAGCTTTCCTTTTCGATTTCCGGGCTAATTAAATTCATTGCATTGCATTGCATATGCCAGAACCCGAACCCTAACTCCCGTCCACGGATAAGCATACCTAAACAAATTTCATTGTTTACAACCTGGCATGAAGATTTCAAATCCTTCGCCCATTCTTAAATTCCTTTATATAACTATTTGCCCTTCAAGGCCGTGATCATCCTCAGTTCGTGCGTAGACCGTCTTTTACTCTCTGGGGTACCGGTAGCCCGAACGACTGAAGCACTCCGGCAGTTGGTATTCCACTGGTCATCTTCATAGCAGAGACACTTACAAACAGGATCCAAGGTGTCGATGTTAATAAAAAAATCAACTTGGTTTTCAGTTTCGACGCGATCACATATATATTCTCAATGATATAATGCGTTCCTAGTGAAAGAATATATCTTGGCAAATAATGACCAGATCGATCTAACTAGTGGCATAGAGCATACCAATTGTGTCAATCTCGCGGGCCTCCACTATCTCAGCCTCGGAATATCCACCATTCTCATAGTCCAATAGAAGAGAACGGGTGCGGATACCAGTATGCGTGTTGATGTCATTTTCCAGCGTCAGTTTTCTACCTTGTCCACCAATTGATTCATTGCCACGGTAGCTTCTCTACAACAACTCTCATCCCGGAGCCCTGTCGCTACGCCCTATGGCCATAGTAGGTCCTAACTTAGGCGGGGTCGAGGATAGGCATGAAATCAGTTTAGTGAACCTAGAGGGCAGGCTTGATTGACTGCACGCATCAAGATACCAAATCCATACAAGACACCGAAAACTAGACAACCGTTTTTGGTTATAATCACGGAGAAAGCCAAGTCATGTGAAGCAAAATGACATGGGGCGATGTATCTTACGCGAAAACTTACATTTTCATAGAGCTTTTGATTATATATGCGTAGAGGAGAACCAATTGGAATGCAAAGAAGATGTTGTATCATAGCGATAAAAGTAAGCAGGAATAGGTAAATACAATCGCCGTCGCTTTAAATTTATATAACTTCCAATCTCGATAGTATCATCTCTCATCAATATACCCTTCTATAAGATACCATAATTCAGACTAGCCCATTTATATCACCATTCAAATTCCTGCGTTGAAATTTTTAGTCAAGTTTCTTCCTCGTCTGGGACGCTCGTTAGCTTACCTCAGTGTATAGTGTTATCGATAATCCATCATTATTCAATTCATTTGTGACAGCCTTCCGTGTCATACTCAGAAGCTCACTGGGACCACAAGCACCAACAATGATGCGGTCGTCTGATGTATCGCTTCCAGAGGTCGCGGCTGCGGCTGCGATCAAATTTCCAACATGCGGGCGCCCTGGCAAGATCCCATTGATGGAAGGAGTATTGCCTGTGGACTGTTGCCCGGCGCTTTTCTCGGGGTCATTTGCTGAAAAGGCTAGAGATTCGTCTATTATCGTTACATCCTTCTGTTCAGATACTTTTTCTGATGAAGAACCTGGGGATGTGGATAGTGATGGCGATGTGCCGGACAAACCAGCCTGACGGGTGACGTGAATGACCAAATTCACTTCTGGATGAGACTGAAGTTGTTTGAGCTCTTGGGCATACCATTCAAGGCTCTCTATGAGACAGAGTTAGTTGATGCGAGTATAAAGACAGTTTTATCGTAATCATTTAACGCACCGTGATGTCTCACCACCCAAATAAAATCAATCGACTTCACCACCTTGTCAGATGTAGCGATCAGGTCTAGTGCAATAGCGAATGTGAAGCTAGCACCGCTGCCACCGGCGACAAGAACGACCTTGTCAAACACTCTAAAGTTAGGGACTTGGCCATATGCACCGTCTACAGAACAGCGTAGAGATCTCCCCGGGGACTTCTGGGCAGCTTTGTATAAATCCTGGGTAAAGCCATCGTACACTCGAATAACGAACTCGGACGGGTTTGAAGATACTAGGGTGAACGGATGGCTTTCAATCCAGCGGATGGAAGGAACCCATAGGAATGCATGGGAACCTGGACGGCAGTGCATGCGACGGCTAAGTTTCACGCGAAGGGCATTGTCGGGCAAAGCCGTGACAGTGAGGGAATTTCCGAAGAAGTTCCAGACTATCTTTGCGCCGCGAATGATGCGGTCCATGGCCCATAGAGAGGCAGTGAAAATCACGATAATCACCGATGAGGTCTTGAACTTCGGACGGTGCATCCCGACTGTGATCATAATCAAAATGAACATGAGGATGTGCAGCATATAGAAGACTATAACCATTTAGAAATGACGATCATAGGAGTATACGAAGGGATAACTCACGTTCATAATATCCTCGCATGAAGTATGTGACAGTTGAAAAGCCAATGATTACCATGGCAAAGCCTGCAATTGCGCCGGCAAAATTGCTGGTTTCCTTCATTTCGAATAGGTCCCCACTCTCCGACCAGGCAGCTAGGTACACTATACCATGCAAGACGCTTGTGAATATGCAGGTGTAACCGGCAACCTTGTGTAGCGGGCGGAGCTTTTCGTAGGATGTGGCTGTCAAGGGTGCGAGAGGCGTATTCTTCAAGGCTAAAAAGACCAAAAGCACCAAGTTTGCGATTGAAATCCTGTTTATTTATGCTTGTCAGTTCTTAGACGGTAGGAGCCTAAGGTATCGAGAGACTGTACGCACCAGCCAAATCGTTTGGCAACCTAGGAATATGTCAGTAAAAGCGTACACAGTCGAGAGAGTGAACGAGGGCAGCTCACAGAGACAATACTCGTAAGGTTAACATTGGTTAAAGCGAGAATCAAGTTGATAGACCAGTAGATGATATACAGAATAGACCGATCTGTCCTTAATCCCATCGTTGAGGTAGAGAGAAAGCATCGAATTTGTCTGTTATATCCAGACAATCAGTATCATCCTTGGCCCCTATTATCAATGAACATACCTATACTTCCGAGTCAATGTAGGATGACTCCTCCTTCGACCATGATAAAAGTGAATGACACTCGACCAGTGATATACAGCAAAAAGAACCATAATTGTGCCGATAGCGATGGCAAAATACTTATTGCTCCACTCATTCTTAGACAGGCGCAGCTTTTTCATAGCATACTTTGCAGCATATTGTGCTGCTTCGAGGTCAGTCATCGTAACGGTTGCAGATAGATTCAACGTGGAAGCTTGAAAAATCTCTAGGATAAACACAACCTCTCCGGGAAGGTCGATTTAATTTCATTTACTCTCCTTTGAACTACACCGGAGAGAGCCGTGCCAAGAAGATAAACCAAAGACTCCACTGCCTCTGAGGATGTGCACTCGGCCTAATTCCGTGTCTTACGGGGCATACTACGTAAAACGGAGCACTACCTACATTGTAAAGCCTCAAGAGCCGTCTTCCCGCGCTCAGTTAGGAAATGAGACCAGAACATCCACGTGGTACATACGTAGGCGGAGTAAGGGCACAGAAAGGGATTGGACGAGCACTGGCTTTTTCTACAAGCGTTGAACAATCATATAACAAGATTTAATGGCGTTTCTTCAGGATCTCTCTGGATTCTTCAGCGGTTCTTCAGCGGGAGTTCAACGGATGTTCAACGGATGTTCAGCGGACGTTCAACGGATTTTTAGCGGATGATCAGCGGTTGTTTAATTGTCAAGAGATTGCGAGGGCGGAGTAGGGCCGTGGAAAACCAACGGTTAATAAATAGCTGCTATATATTCAGCGGTTGTTTAACGGTTGTTCGGTCGTTGTCTGAGTCCCAGTTTCTCCAGTAATGTATACGTTTACTGTTCTCTCATTCTGGTAGGGTCGAAATGACAGATACGCATGGGCCATTGGCAAACATCAAATCTAGGCATTTCACACATTTCTCTTCAGGTCTACGGGAGGGGCCTGGTAAAGACAACGGAGATAGACCCCAAAAGAGTAACGTGGATTACGCATCAGGTTGACTTTATAATCCGTGAAGAGTTTTGCACACTGCAAAGAGAGTATAGATATCGATGGAACCTTCCAATTGGAACCTCGGGGCCATCAAGGTTTGAAAAGTTGAAATCTATCTAATCAATCAGATAAATCTTGCTAGGTGGAAAAACCACCCTGAACCTTATTAAAATTTCCTCCGATCCAGTTACCTGTCTTTTATATAAAATTTGGTGGCGCTAATTGCGGAATACCAGGGTTAAGATGGCAGAGCGGAGCATTTGCACGCGACCAGATAAACTCCAGGGGTACTGGCTGACACCGGTAAGATCACAAATTACAGAAGATAATCGAGATGATGCTGTGAATTCGTCATATTCCTTACAAAGTATCAGATTGATATGCAATCGGTGAAAACTTGACGTGTATAGGTTAATTCAGGGCTGCGCGTTAGACCTTCCAGCCTTGGTCGACAAAGTTTTCACTCGTATCTGTATCCGTTGAGCCGGTGGGTATGTACATGCAGGTATGCATGTAGGTACATATTCATATCCACCGTATTATGATAAGATCATCAATCAGTTACAATATACACATAGTTTGAGATGAAATACGTATGATACTAGTGCAGTTCAGAAAGTGCTAGAACCTGTCGTTTCCCTGTGGCCTCATGCACTCATGCTTCCCCTCACGGAACAAATCCCGACCAGGCTGGGTAATTATAAGAATTTAAGATTTTGGAGTTTTTTAATGAGACTATCTACACCCAAAAAGAGTTGTGTTAGAGAAAACGTTCCGGCTACCCTTTGAAGCCATCGAACATTTGGATACCACATGGGGGAGTGGGAAGGGACGGACTCCGCGCTTACCTTGGAAGACCCTGCATGAAAGCTTAATGAGGATTGGTATGGTAAAATTACTGTATCAATTATGTACATACATATATGCAATTCATTTTTTCAATTTACAAAATGTAATCCCTCGTTTCATCCCTTCCTACCCAATGATCCTGCTCTCGCCCAACCCTCTCACCGTATGAACCCCGATATTGGAACAAAATCTAAAGAGTTAAAACACCAGTCTCTACACGCTTCTCTGAAACAGGAGCTCTTGCCTCCACGGGTGCTACCGGATCTTCATAGGGACGGCGCAGAATAAAAGCCCTAGCCCTGGCCTTGGCTCTTGCGACACTGTTCATGGCCGGATCAATGATAGGGATAGGCCCGCGCTTCTCACGGTAGAACATCAGTCCATAGCCTACCATAACAGTGACCCAGTATAAGTTGTAAGCGATCACAGAGCCGTAGTCGGCAGAATTGGTCCAACCGAAAAGCGCGTTGAAGATACCCCAACCGCCGCCACCTCCTATCAGCGGGTTACAGCAATTGACGTGCCAAACACTCTGTCGGATGTCGTAGGAACCAGCGCCAGAGCCAGTCTCTGCCGCGTCGCCTCCGATGGTGTGGTTCCAGGTGTTGTTCTCCAAGAACCAGACACCACGCGAGAAAAGACCAGCGGCAACGAGGTAGAGGAAGCAAGTGGAGATAATCAAGAATATCTGCATAGAAGTCTTGCGCCCACCTCTATCGGTATATTAGCCTTGTATCTTTCTAGAAGGCAATCGAATCAACTTACCGGTAAATAACATAGCCCACTACAAAACCGGCCAGAAGGCCGCAAAAGACGGCCAAGGGGAAGGAAGAAGCAGGAAGACCTAACCCAACACCACCAACATAAACAACAGCTTCGAGACCCTCACGGAGAACTGTGATAAATGGCAGGATAAACATGGCGTATTTCTCCAACCATCTCTTCACGCGACCCTTCTTTGTCTCGTTGGGATCGTGCTCGTGTTCGAGGGCCTTGGCGAGTTTGACACGCCATTTATCTTGAAGTTTAGACACGCGCAGAAGAGCAGCACCCATGATAGTGATGATGATCGCTGCGATAATTCCCAAAACACCCTCCCAAATATCTTCAGTGCTGGAGAAAGTGTCGGTTCCGAGGCCGTAAAACCCACCAATCATGCCCGCCCCGACTGCAATACAAATAAATAGCCCTAAGCCGCATCCCAGCCAGACCTGTTTCATTTAGCCTGCGAAATTGGATAGGATTGTTAGAGCCGGTCGCATACTTGCTTCGCTAATCGTTTATACGTCGGGCGATCTGTTTCGTAGAGTGTCTGCTTCAAGAAAGCCAATAGGACTGACACAACCACCGTCGTTTCAAGACATTCTCGAAAGCAAATAAAAAACACTTGAACCAAGTTAGTAGAAAGTTCCAAAAAAAAAGTAGTGCATGAACTATACCTGTGACAGCGAACACCTGGTTATTACCCATGGCGCAAGGTATGACTTGGGTTTCTCAAGGTTCAAAGAAGAAGAGATTCAAAGAACAAAGCCATTGGAAATAAAAGCAAGGGACCCGATAAGGCCCGTTATATTACCAAAATAGAGAAAGACAAAATTCAATTCAAAATTACAAGTGCAACAAGCCTTTGGCGATCCACTCGTATTTATCCGATTGAGCTTAGTTTTGTTGAGAGTTCCCCATATCAGAAGCTTCATTGGCAGTAGTGGATATCCCTTGAACACGAATGATCCACATGTTAGGGGTCTAGCCACCCGAATTCTGTTGAATTGCAAAGATACCCGGCCGAGCAGTCATGCCATGTTTCCTAATTTGGTAGGTGAGCACAAGTTTATGATAATTTGATTCGCTTACGATGAAATTAAGCGGACACACTATTATGTCCTATAACCGTGCCACCATGGTTGATCTGGAACTAAACCAATAGAATTTTGAAAAATTTCCACGTGTATAACCGATACCCGCGTTTACATCTGATTAGGATGAAAGATTGATTAAGATCGGTGACACACAGGGACTTCTCGTCCCCAAGAATTAGCTTTCCCGCTTATCAATCTCGTGCGCCATTTCCCAAGCTTGGAGTCTTTTTGTTTCTCTCTTTTCATCCGAAAGGCCGGGAATCTCCTCTTCCCCCTTGGAGAAACGCCAAATCATGGCTATATATCCTGGCGTGCTTTTCCGCCTCACGGCAGTGCTGCTTTTTGTGCAATTCTGTCAGGCGAAGACAGTGAATCTGGATTTTAACGTCACCTGGGTTAATGCGAACCCTGATGGCCTCCATGAGCGCAAGGTGGTGGGTATCAACGGCCAGTGGCCGCTACCCGTCATTGAGGTGGACAAGGGAGATCGTCTAATTGTCAACATGTATAACGGGCTTGGGGACAAGGAAACTTCTATCCATTGGCACGGCATGTTCCAAAATGGCACCAATAATATGGATGGCCCGTCCATGGTTACCCAATGTCCAGTACCCCCTGGTGCCTCGATTACCTACAACTTCACCATCCCCCAAAATGGTACCTACTGGTATCATTGCCATACCGACTCTTGCTACCCGGACGGCTACCGACAAGCTTTGATTGTGCACGATGATCAATCATATTTCAACGATATGTATGACCATGAGCTTACTGTTACGATGAGTGACTGGTATCATGAGCTTATCGAGGATATTCCGTTCATTCGTGTGGAAAACCCCACGGGAGCTGAGCCTGTTCCGGATTCCTTCCTCTTCAATGACACTTTGAACACCAACATTCCCGTCAAAGCGGGAAAGACCTATTTGATGCGGTTGATCAATATTGGTGCCTTTGTGGCGCAGTACTTCTACATCGAAGATCACACTTTCCGCATTGTGGAAATCGATGGAGTATACGTTGACGAGCAAGAGGCCGATACACTTTATATCGCTGTTGCGCAACGTTATTCTATCTTGGTCACCATGAAGAATTCCACAGATAAAAACTATCCGATCGTGACCGTTGCCGACTCGCTTCTACTAGATGTCATCTCGCCTTCTCTCCAGCTTAATCAAACCAATTGGCTCGAGTATAATAGCAAGGCGGCACATCCGCAAGCTGTGATGAAGGTGGACGTTGCCTCCGACCTTGTCCCATACGATGATATGAAGCTTGTCCCTCACGACAAGATGCCGCTTCTCCAAGACCCCGATATGACTATTGAGATCGACGTCGTGATGGACAATCTAGCTAACGGTGCGGGCTATGCGTTCTTCAACAATATCTCCTACACGCGGCCCAAGGTTCCGACATTATACTCGGTCCTTACATCTGGGGATTACGCCACGAACGCGGCGATTTACGGAGAATTCACACACCCATTCATTCTCGAACACAACGCGGTTATCGAAGTTGTCCTCAACAACCTGGACGGTGGTTCACATCCCTTCCATTTGCACGGGCACCAGTTCCAGCTCGTCAGTCGCACCCCTTCATATGGTCCTTCTTTCAATGATTACGCCGACGGTGACCCACTCCCTTTCAATGCCACCGAGACTCCGTCCAGTAGCTTCCCGAAATACCCTGCTCGTCGCGATACCTTTGTCGCACCACCCCAGGGCAATTTTGTTATCCGTTTCGTCGCTGACAACCCTGGGGTTTGGTTGTTCCACTGTCACATTGACTGGCATATGTCTCAGGGCTTGGCGATGTCATTCATCGAAGCCCCAAAGCAGATCCAAGAGCAAATGTCGCTGACACAGAGCGAAATCAGCATCTGCAAGGCTGGGAACATGTCTTACGAGGGCAATGCTGCCGCTAACACGGAAGACTTGCTTGACCTAACAGGTCAAAATAAGCAGCTTCCGTGGCTACCTGCCGGATTTACGGCGAGGGGAATCATCGCAATGGTTTTCTCCTGTGTGTCCGCCTTCCTGGGCATGGCATTCATCACTGTCTACGGTATCTCAGGCATTCAATCGAAGGAGGAGACTGCTGTAGTTACCGAGAGTGATAATTTGTGATTTTTTTGTACTTTAAAACAGGGGATTGATTGGTATATGTACCCCCTCCATTTCGGTTAGACATGCTATATAATCTGCCCACTTCATTATCTAGTTCACATACATAGTCTCCAGCCTAGGCATGGGCAAAGCCCATGCCAACATCTGTCTTTCTATCTTATCTCCTAAAAGATATAAATTGGCGTGTATGTGAGACAGGAAATAAGGAAGACAGAAGAAGAGAAATTAGTTATATAAAAATATGGGTACTCTATCGCTGAAGTATTGACAAAGATGATATGTCTATGTACGGACGGGCGTGTCGAAACAGAGCGGTATAGGTTAAAGAAGCCAACAGGACATCACCTCGGCGCTGTGAGAAAATCCCGGGAAGGAATGAATTGACGACCAAAAATCACAGATACAGCAAAATGTGCGCAAAATGATATGCTCTCCCATTCAAGCTTGTTCGCTAGCCTTGGCCTCAACCTGAGTCTGAGACAGGCTGGGGACGTTCGCGCCCTTCAGGTAGTTCTCGAACTCGCCGACCTGCTTGCCACCCTGAACCCAGCGTTCACGGTAAGCCTCACGTCGCTGGTCAGCCAGCTTGTTCAAAGTGGGCCAGTAGGATGCATGGTCGTAGCGGAATTCGACATCACCACCCACGGACTTCATAAGTTGGCCAGGCGGGACGTGTTGACGCAAGTCCTCGTTGAACTTGAGCTTCTCTCGGGTATTGGGGTCAATGAAGGGTGTGATCAATTTGAGGAATCCCCAGATGACGAAGGGCACTATGATGGGGAATTAGTAACTTATAAGATTGCCTAGGATATAAAGTCACTTACCGTTGATCACCAGAGCCCGACCAAGTCTCTCGGGGTAGTGGTTTTGCAAGAAGCTGAGCGTCTGCTTAGCCTGACCAATGCTTGCGTTCTGGCCGGACTTTGTCTCGTTGAAGTTGACAATCAGGGCAAGAGTCTCCTGGTCAGGACCCGTGAGATCAATGGCCCGCTCCAGCATGAAGACAAGATGCTCGAGCTGGCGGTCACTCCTCTCCGTGTTCTGATTGGAAGGCAATAGATACAGACATGGCCGTGTGTTGACATCATAGCCTAAAAGGACCTGTTTGCCCGTTTCATTCTCAATTGAAATGTATTCAGGTGTCAACTTCTTCAGATCGTACTCGCGGCGCCATGTGAGAGTGCTCTGGAGTCGGGTCTCCGCCTCCGAGACGTTCCACTTGGTTGCGCGTAGGTAACGCAGGAGACATTCGCGGGTCAACCACATCTTCTCATCCTCGGTTATGGGAGACGTTGGAGCATTTTTCTCGGCCTTGTTGGCGACTGTGGTCCATGATGAAGCAGATTTTAGCACAGCCTCGTACTTGGATTGTTGGTCCGGGGTAAGCTGCGCGGGAGCTGTCGGCTTGGCTGTGTCCAGCGGCTTAGCGAAAGGCTTCTGGATGAGACCGTCTGCGGCTGATGTCGGCAGCTCGAGGTCAATTGACTTCGCAATGGGAGTAGACTCGGTCTGGGAGTTCACGGGGGCTGATTGGGCCGGTGCCTGTATGTTGGTATCGGACACAGTATCGCCATTGGCGGGCGGTGCAATCGCAGTAGCACCTTCGGGGTTCGACATGATGGATGTAATGCAAATATCTAGAATTATAGAATTATGAATTACACAATGACACGTGGTACCCTAGAGAATAGAAGAATAAATCTAAGGGGCAAGCAAATCACGAATTGTCGCAACCGACAGGTCCACTCCGATCAAATGCTCGAATAATATTACCCCTTTAGGCCGCTTAGGTCAGCAACACGGTCTCACGCGTCTTGCGCGTGTCTGCACTTTCAATGTCCACCCATCCACGATACACATCTCGCCACAATGGACGCCGAGGCAGAGCTCAATGAGTTTTTTGCGGGCTCATTCCCCGATGGAATCCCCAAGGACATCCTTGCCGAGCTCCTCTCCATGTTGCGGGTGCATTCGATCTCCGCGGAGGAGCTCTTCTACAAATGGGAATCATACAGCATAAAGATGGGCGAGGGGGTGACATTGACCATGCAAACAGTGCGAGGCTTTAAGCAAGATGTCCAAGAAGCTTTGGAGCGTGAAACCCGTGACAAGGTTGGCCGACACACAGAGAAACGAAGCGCAAACATGGGAACCCCGCGGGGCGCAGCCGCAGCTGGCGGTGATATGTTTGGGATGCTCGATCAATTGACACCAACTGCCTCGAGTGTTCGAACTGGGAATGGATTTGGATCCGCAAAGCGCAAAAGCGAATTCACCTCTCCCGCTACACCAAGAGTCAGCAAGTTCGAAAAGTTTGGATCACAAGCGGGCACGAAAACACCCACTGGAACACCTGGCGATGGAATGCAGTAGGTGTTTTTCGGGTGTATATTATTTATTGAAAATGCTAACATCAGGAACAGAACAATCCCCTTCTCCGATCGACCGAATCCTGGCCAGACGATAGAAACCCTCAATGCGCACCTGTCCTTGCCAGAAACCCCAATGGCGCCATTTGCCGAGGCGCGCATTAGGCCTACGGCGAATACGGACCTTAAAAAGCTTGGCTACAAGCCCATGGGCATGAAATTGTCAGAAGCGTCGGAGATTTTGGATGATCGTATCGACGAGTTTGCGACTATATTCCAGGCAGAATTCAATTCAGACGATATTACATTCGGGAGTGCAGCCATTCAGAGCACAAGCGAGATTATTGCCGTCGGACGGATCGCTTCCGACAGCCTTGAGGGAAAGTTGAACCCAGCTTCCCTCGTACTTGAGACTTCGCGCCGCACCGGAGCCGGCAGACGAGTCCCCTTGAAGGTGGATTCGGTGCCCTCCGTAAACTTCTTCCCAGGCCAAATCGTGGCACTCCGAGGAATCAACCCCTCTGGTGAATATTTCACTGTCAAGGAAGTGCTCCCAGTTCCCCTGATGCCACCCGCCGTGTCTTCGGGTGTGGTACTGGATAGCATCAACGAACGGCTTGATGGAGACGCAAACCCACCGCTTAACTGCATGGTTGCGGCCGGGCCGTACACAGCGGACGACAACTTGGACTTTGAGCCACTGCAGGAACTATGTCGGAAGGCAGCCGAAAGCTACGCCGATAGTTTGGTGCTGATGGGACCGTTCCTGGACATTGAGCACCCTCTTCTGGCATCGGGCGATTTCGACTTGCCAGACATTAAGGGCCTCGACCCGGATACAGCTACACTGTCGGTAATGTTCCGACACTGTATCTCAGCGCCATTAGCACGACTTGCAGCGGCCGTCCCAAGCATCACGATCGTGATGCTTCCGTCTGTGCGCGATGCACTCAGCCGACACGTCTCCTGGCCTCAGGAGCAACTCCTCAAAAAGGACACCGGTCTTCCCAAGCAGGTCCGCATGGTCTCGAATCCCGTCACATTATCGTTCAATGAAATCGTTATTGGAATGTGCTCACACGATGTGCTCTCCGAGCTTCGCCGCGAAGAGGTCTTGCATGGCCGCCCCACAGAATACAACCCTCTGCTCACCCGTCTTCCCAAGTATCTCGTCGAGCAACGTCATTTCTTTCCCTTGTTCCCTCCGACCGCACGGTCAAACCTTCCAAAACCCGGGTTCGAAGGCGGCATGGCTACAGGCGCTATGGTGGATTTGCCCTACATGAAACTGGGCGAGTGGTGGAATGTCCGGCCCGATATTTTAATTCTGCCTAGTATGCTGCCGCCTTTCGTAAAGGTATGATATCCCGAGCCGAGGCTTTTTGTGTTGAACTTCCATCAACGGTGCTAACCTTATTATTTCTGCAGGTCGTCGATAGTGTGCTAGTCATCAACCCAGGCACTCTATCAAAGCGTCGCGCCGCGGGCTCGTACGCCCAAATGTCCATCCACCCCCGAGTGGTGGCAGAGGACGAGCGCGAACAGAAACAGCTGAGCCACAACCTGTACGAGCGGGCTCGGGTCGACATCAATCGTATCTAGGGGCATGTATAATCATATCGCATTACGCGCGGCGTTAATGCTCAGACTTAGCTAGGTCTGCAGCCATTTGATATTGGCGGTTCTTGGGACAAAATCGCAAATGGAAACGAATCAATGATCTTCAGATATATCACAACAGAAGGATACATCCAACGTGGGTATCATAACGAGGCTATCCAGCCCGAAAAAGTAAGCTCCGGTAAAAATGCAAGTAACACAAGATACCCATTTACCTACCAATACAGATAGGTAGAAAGCATTCGCAGCACCGACCCCAGTAAAACCAACACCACAAAGTCTCGGAAATCCTGATGTCTATCACCGCAACCCAATAACCCTGCGCCCACCCATCCTCCGCCCAGAATCCCTAACCCTAATGACAGGTGCCCCGGCCGCTGCCGCACCACCTCCACTACCGCGCAACGTAGCCCCAGGTCCAGAGGTCGCAGCCCCAGCACCACCAGCACCACCAGCACCACCAAGACCAGTCATAGGCCCCGCATCAGGTCCATGTCCTTCACCATTAACAAGGGCCTCAAGACCAAGATCGCGCCACACAGCCTCCCGTCTCCGCTCCATAGCGCGGGTAATTCCGAACGCGGCATGCTGGTCCGGGACGACGTCATCCTCATCTTCAGGGTTCGGGGGTTGGTATTGCGGTGCCACGTAGATGTCTTCGATTGGTAGGAATGAGGGAATTGTGGAGGGAGAGGTCGAGCCGTATGTCATGGCATTTGCGGCTGTGTTTATTGCTTCGCGGTTTGCGGCCGAGGTGCTGTTGGCGTTATGTGGGTCTGTTGTTGAGTTTGTGGCTGTTGAGGTGTGTGGGCGTGTGAATTCTTCGAAGAGGTCTGCTAGTCGTGGTTGATGCATGTGTAGATATGAGGCGGAGGAGTCTTTGCTCTGGTGGTTTTGGTATTAGCTGGGATTTGGTGGATTGTTTGGGGCATCCTGGGGGTTTGGGGTTGGGAATGTACCATTTTTGAGGGAGCTTTGATCTCTTTATTGAGATCTTGGCAGATGTGGGAATATTTTGTCAATGCACTTCTTAAGAGGACGCTCGCTGTGGCTTATCGTGTAGATGGTTGTTGACGGCAGAATAACCCTTGGGTGCACCGCCCATATCACGTGGATGACACTGTACCCACGTGCCTCAGAACCGGATAAACTTCGGATCACAGATCCCGGACTATAGATAGCCCGCAGTCTGGGGTACGACCCCACTAGTGGACCCTGTCCCACCTTTCCCTGCAACATTAACAAATAAACCTATTAACTAAAAATAAAACAGAGAACTACTAACTACAGGATTTTTATAACTTATAGTAAGTGTATTCCTCCTGCTCAACGGCGATGACTTGGACCTTGATCTCGACCTGGGTGACCGACCTTGATGCGAGAAGCGCTCCGAGGACAGATAATTCTCCCAGGTAGATAGGTACTCGAAGCCCCCAGTTACACAGTGGAAAATCTCATATGAAATGAGCCCTGATATATGCATTCGATGATTATCTTTAGACTCTTATACGGCTACGGTAGTCTGCAAACTGAGATATGGAGAGACATACATCAACATGTAGATGGTAGAATCCCGCATATACTACAGTGAGCTCAATGCTAGTCCAGACACCATACATGTGTCCATACATGTGTGATCAAGTATGCACTAATCTAGTCATTGTGTGAAGGTTATGCTATATACATATTCGGGCGAGGATACGGTCGAGGATAAGAGCAGAGTCAAACTCGACGTGGATATCTGTAAAGTAAGAAAGGCTTAGAGTGCGATTATCGCGATCAAGAGTAGACAAAGGTCACGTTACAAACGACTATTGGGAACAGGGATATTGGGCCTGATTCCTTTGCCTTCTGTTTTATACCTTTCTATCAATGTGGGGGTTTTTACTTGCAGGGTTGTGGTTTGGTAATGTTTAACATATATATTTTGCCTTTTTGAGCCCACTCGCTGCACATTATGGGTGGGAAATAGAATCGAGTCCAAAAGATTCATGGCACCTGTTAAGCTATCTAGTACAAGAAGAGCCGGTCTCCTACGTGCTCGTCCTCAAAAAGCAATTTAATAATTGATCCACTACTAAGATGATGTAATGAAAGGTAGGTCCATTCAAAATTCTCTACAAGGTGTTTGACATATGGTTTCTTTAGACCTCACCCCCTACCTATCAGTATTATAGCCAGAAGGATAAATATAAGCTAGCCACACGTGGATTTAAAAGGTGTTCGTGCAAAGCGACTTTTCCATGTATGTGATTGCCACAGTGACACAGTATGGCTAAATGCCTGTATAGCCCAGCCGGCCAACCCCAACGACCGACCCTATCGTTCAGGACCCCATTACTACTAGCCCTACAATATTTAGGTTTCATAGGAGGTGGGAAATAATAGTATAGAGGGTATGTTCATCGCTTTGTACAATATTACGATACTCTCATTTGTCGCGTCAACCGGGGGTTATATATCATTGCCGTTAGTTTTGTAGACCACAAAATGAAATGTTCATGTACCAGCTTGGAAAAAGGCGAGAAACAACCTGCTTCCCATGCCTAACTAGCAAGTACAAGAGGAACACTCGAGATAACTAAATGTACCCTGTCTGAAACTGGTGTGCCACCTTCCTAATTAGGACTGCCATAGTTTTTGACACTTCATGAGAAGAGCGGTAGGCAAAATCAGGTGTCAAGGCAGGAAACGGTATCTAATTAAAGGTGCATCTAAAGCGTCTGGGAGGGGTCCGTTTATTCAAGTACATATATCAACATCCTATATAAATTCGTGTAAGCAAAATTTGTTGCAAATTTCTGATGTGGTTGTGGGCAAGCTTTTTTTGTGGCGTTTTAAGTTCGTATAGAAAATCTTAGAAGCGCCCATTTCCAAGGTTATATTAATGTCCAAGTTAAACAAGCATAAGCGGAAAGATATACACCTATATAATCATGCAAACAATCCCAAATGTCGGTAAATGAGGATTCCAAAGAGAAAAAGATAAGAGAAACAAAAAAAAACCTGGAAATCACGACGCCTAGCCAGTCGGAACCATTATCATTGCTTTTGATTTAGATTACAGGTTCGATACGCTTTAGATTCATGACCATGCTGCAAAGTAAACAAGAAATTCATACATCACAGGTTTGTTACCATACGGTGGACAATCGGGACCGCACTGGGAGGAAGACTGCCCATCTCAGTAATAACCATGTCGACGTACTCAGCAGGCGTAACATCATACATGATGTTCAGCAGCTGCAAGTGAGGAGTGTTGTGCCAGTTCGCGAGAGGCGACGAAGAGGACTTGTGCGGGATAACAGGAGGTTCGGGAGCCGGGGTGCGGTTTGCGCCTTTCTTATTCTCAGGCGGAGGGGGGACATACGCATCTGCCGGGTCACGAACGACGAGGGACACAGGGGTGTTCATAGGTAGCAGCTCGTTGGCGTCAGCGATCTCGTTAACGACGATGCTGTCGAGGGCAACGCGGTCGGTGAACTTGATTGTCTCGCAGCAGACGATGACAGGGATTTCGACGCCACTGGCACGCTCCTTGGCGGACATAGCGACGAGGGCGGTGCCGACGCGGGAGTACAGGCCGCCGTTACTGGTCATGGCGTGGGCGCCGAGGAAGACCTTTGTGGCGTCCTTGATGGCGTGGGTGATGGCGTGGACAAGGGAGTATTGGACGTCGAGCCCGCACTTGGCGAGGTCGCGGGCGAGGCTCTTGCCCTCGAAAAGGGGCCTTGAGTCGATGATTGAGACGCGGAAGCGCTTGCCTTGGTTGTGTGCTAGCAGCAGTGTCTGCTTAACGATGCTGCTGCCGGCAAATGTCACGATCACGTCGCCGTCTTGGACCTTCTGTGCCGCGCTGTCGGCGATCACCTGGTCGGCAACAGTAATCTTCTCCCGGATGAAGCTGTCGATGTACTCGCAGAGGGAGATCTTTGCGCTCGCCTCGGGGGTAGAGGGGTCAATTCCGGCAATGAACAACTTCAAAGCACGGATGGCATTGCCCTGACTGATGGAGAGGGGTCGGCAGGTCGAGAGGTAGGTGATTTGGTGCGAGAGGTGTGTTGTCAGGTGGCGAGCCAGCGAGGTGCCCAGGGGAGTTGTGTATGATTCAATGACCTTTAAAAAGCGACTTGTCAGCACACAAGTTCATGTCTTATCGAGATGAAACAAAAATAACAACATACTCGTTTAAAAGCAATCAACGTTGCCACGCAGCGCGCACTGCTGCCACAGATAGTGTAGTCCATCAACTGCATACCCAGGGCCAGGATAGCATGGTGTACTTCCTTTGTGGCACCGGCGACAGTGACACGGCGCTGTTGTCCGTACAAATGCCCAAAGATAGCAACCTTCTTATCATCCTTCTTTTTCTTTTGCTCCACGAGAACGGACCCAGTTTGCGCAAGGGGACCCGAACCACGGCGCGGGGGCGGTGCTCGCGGTCCCTTCTGTGCAGAGCCAGGACCGGCAGCATCCTTCTTCGGTGTAGTTGGTGGACGAGCCTGGGCTCCGACACCAGGAATGGGAGTGGTACTGCTGGCGGCACCTCCTTCTTTCTCAAGTTTTTCTCGGATACGTCGGGCAGCCTTCTCCGCCTTGGCTTTCTTCTTCAACTCGGCTGGGCTGAGCGACTTGTCATTGGCGCCGTCTGTGGACGCGGGCGCATCTTTGGTGGGCTGGGTGGGTTTTGAGTTGCGGATCGGGAGAGTCTGCGGAGAGTTTTCGGTCGCGGGTTGAGCTTGCTCTGGTGCCGATGGGGCAGGGGTTGAGACTGGTGCGGTCTGCGCTGGATCGGAGGCCTCCGTCATCTTGTCTGTGAATTAATTCTCGTGTGAGAGTGGATCAGGTGAATGTGGTGGGGAGAAGGCAGGGTTGACTCACGGAAAAAGAAATGATGCCATAAGCGGCCCACTGAGCGCCGCAGCCCTAACTTGCGGTTCATCGCGGTACAATCAACAATGTGTATAATTGTTGAATTGCTTTTGAATAACTTCAGCGTCTATTTAGCTGAATACTAGTTTCCACACAGCAATCATTCACTACTTTAATTAAATGGCATGACCTCCATATAAGAGTGCGGCCTGAAAGAAACTCGTGATACCCAATGAGTAGGGTAGTTGGCATTGAAACATGCATAACATCAAGTGTCTCATTATTCATCGCTGGGGTTCGCTGTAACAGAAATAAGTACACAGGCCAAAACTAGTCTGGTCCCGATTTAAACAAGGAAGTCCAAACAAAGACTTCAAACATTTCAAGGGGCATCGCAGAAACGCAGACAAAGAGATCGCCGCCAACTCCATTCAATCCCTGTACACCCAAAAGATAAAAATAAAGGCATATTCACATATTAACGATTGCTGACAATGGTACCCAAGGCACGCCGTTTCCGTGTCGTGTGCTCCTCGATCGGACGGAACCGTTCATGGTCCGTGGCCAGCTTCCTCTTGAAGACACTCAGGTCACCAAGAAGATCATGCATGTGATTTTGCATTTGTTGGGCCTCTTCCTCGGTGACATCGTCAGTGATAGTATCATCATCCTCCCAGACGTCCATGTCAGATTCGGCATCTGACACCACAGGAGAGCCTTCGCGGTCTTCTGGATCATAACTGGGCGGTTGATTCTCATCCTGCAGAGATATAATGCTAGGCTTTCGCTGCTCGAGGGTAATGGCGGGGATTGGGTTCTTGAGACTCTCAACCGCGAGCTTGAGATGCATGCGCAAAGCGTCGTTTTCTGTTTGCAGCTGTCGAATTTTGCATTCACTGACCATCTTGTTCTCCTCCATAAGCCGTTGCATTTTCTCAACTTTCTGCTGGTACTCTTCAAGCCTTTCATCAGCGGCTTCGTTTGCCCGCTGGTTGACTGCTGCTTGGCTCACGCTGAGTTGAAGGGTGCGAATAGTCTCTGTCATCTCCGCAATCTGCTGATCACGCTCAGCTGCCGACATTTGATCTTGGTTGACCCGTGCCCGTGTCCGAATATTCTTGGCCTGGTCCGCATAACGAAGAGTCGAAAGTGTCTCTTCATAGTCGGCAGGTGCGATACAGGCAATCATCGCAGTCTTGGAATTGCCGCCTAGACTGTCCTTCAATAGCCATGTCAGGATCGAGTCACGGTATGGTACCAGCTCTTTGCCCTTTCGCGGGCCGCGCAGTTTCTTGGGATCTGCGAGCGCTGCGATGACACGTCCTAACGTGGTCAAAGACTTGTTGATATTTGCACCCTCACGAAGTCTAGCACCAGTCGCTTCGGTAGATTTAGCACGCTCGGAACCTGCTAGATCGACCAACCGAATCCGAGCAGTGCGCTCAGTCGTTTCATCGGTTGACAAGTCGTGGTGGATCTGTTTTAAAGTGATGGTAAAGACTGCATGAGATCGAGACGAAGTGTCGTTCATCTTTGTGCTAGCTGTAGTTCGTGAGACGTCGCCCTTTCGCATAAACTTCATCAATTCATTGTAGTTCCTTGCGGTGACTTCCGTCAAATCCTTGACATATGGGCCCTCTGACGGCGACTCCCGAATGCGGAGATAATGCGGGGGATCTGTTCGTGGGACCAAAAGATCGCGAACATGCTCGTTGTATACTTCGAAATACGACACTCGGACGTTGTAGCTGATATCGGGAGAAGGCGAGTTCTCAATACGCTGGAACAGATCCTCGCATGTTCGAGGAATCAATCCGGGCCTTTCTGGTGTTCCCATCATCGTGTAACTCTTTCCTGAGCCCGTCTGCCCATATGCGAAGATACACGTGTGGTATCCTTCGAAATTGTGATCCAAGAACTCTTCACCGAGAGCATTGTACACATCTTCCTGGTGTGCATAATGCTCATCCTCCTCATCATGGGACCAAAACGAGTTATCAAAAGTAAAAGATTTATCCTCCAAGGTCTTGCCGCGAGCCTGTGACTTGGGTTTTCCTTGATCGCCGGGTTTCGGTTTCGGTGCTTGAAGACATGTCATCTGCGTGCGCGGGTCCATCGAAATTAAACATTCTGCGTTGCGATCGATTTCTGGAAGAGGTCAGAATACAACCTCCACTTTCGGAGTATCGCGCCTCCCCGCATTCCTCCCAAACACCTACCTCGAGGTAAGAACTTCCGCACTCGCACGACGACGCGCACATTTCCCCCTGGTGTTGGACTGGCCATCCCATCTCTGGTACGTGATATTGCGAAATCCTCTCGCGCGCGGAAGGAAGGACTTGAAGCTGTGGATCGGAGTGTGGCGGCGGAAGCGGAGGTGGAGATAATGCTGGGGGAGGTGATTCCTGTGGCGGCCGATATGTCGGAAGAAGCGGCTGAAGATATCGAGCCTGGGCCCGGATGGCCGATGTGGTGATAGAAGCGCGGATCTAGCGCCATGTCCCTACTGTTGTCGCTCAATAGCTGCACCCAAGCGGTGACGGCGTCGCGTCGTCGATCAAGAAGAGAGTGGTACATGCAATGGGATTTACATTGAATGGGATTGACAAAGGGAAAACAAATGATTGGAAAGGGAATATGTAGACTGGAATGAGTGAAAGGGGGAGGGGAGGGGGTTCGGTACTGTTGCGCGTTGTTTCCTTGGGGAAGTTCAGTTCATTGCAAACACACGTTGTGAGTCTAGAGCATATTCGAAGGGAAAGAATGTATATAAAAAAAGAAAGAACGAGATTGGAATTGGAATTGGAATTGAAAATAATAATAATGTGATTTCCAAGGTTCTCCAGGGCTACGACATCAAAGTGTCACCGTCTATAAGATCCTGTTGCCATAGCAATAGCCCGCTAACTCCATATACTTATTCTGCTACTGAAACCTATTGAAACATATTGAAACCTGCAGTATATCCCTCTACTTCTGGAACATATAAACATGGAATATGAATAATTATTTGTTCATTTCTTGTGTATTTAAACACCATCCGTGTATCACATTCAGTTTATCCCCGGTGTACACAAAATAACCGCAATGCACATTTACTCTTCAAAGTCTGAAGTTTCGGCGGTCATAGCTTCCACCAAGTCGGTATCATCGTCTCTGAGAGGTCGAGGGTCGGGTACTGGGTTGCCGGAAGAGTCCATATGTTCACCCAAAAGTTCAGTAGGGCCCATGTCGCTGTGGGAGGCCTTTTGCGTGGCGTGGGTCTTGGCTCTGACGGAAGGGGCTTGCTGGCCTCTGTTTTCACCCTTTTCTTGAGGCATGGTGACTTAGTAATGTTAGCGAGAGTTCATATACAGAGCGCCGCAACCTCCACTATCATCTTCTCTTGACGCTCTTCTCATGGGTGGAAAGGGGTAAGGCTATAGCATACCAATAATTGTTTGGTAATCTGGTGTTAGTGAATTCGTTTGGATTGTGTGATGAAAGTGCTTGTGGTGACAACTGTCTCTATTTATGAGACTGAAGGTGGTGGCAATGATTCGGTCATGACGATGCATTTACTCACCACTTTTGGTCCTTCTCCGCACTTGCCATTCAGATGCATTTAGTTGTGCCACTGGTTCGATTATGTTCTGAGGTCTGATTCGGCGTGAGCCAGTCAATTGATGCTTTTTGTGGGCTGTGGTTGGTCTGAGGCAATTCCTGGAAGCTGGATATATGGATATGCCATCATAGGTCTTTTGCCACGAAGCTCTGTTTTGGCACAAAGTTTTGGTACTCCACGGATAGTACCTTCTTTATCCATCTTTTTGATGGCAACCGAAGCGCATTAATCCTGTTGGTCTAGTAACTACTGTTGAGGGCAAATATAGATGACGCCGAGACATCAGTTACCTGGGCAATGTTTGCGGGGCCCCAGTGTTTGCATGTGGTGATCTGGCAGAATTCCAAGCGGTGAGAGTCACTGACGGAGATTGAGAACGCTGTTTAGATATTCTGATATGAACCACTTACATTCTACCAAGCAGGAAAATACGATATCAGAAATTGAAATTGAATCAACGCATACTACATTGTATTCTTGACCCACGAGACCAATGAGTGGCGAAGAGTGAGGATCAACAAAACCAAAATCGCGTCCGAATATGGCAAGATGTGGGGTGTAGACGTCTGTGTGGGCATATGACTTCAAAGAAGGACTTGGTCAACAGTATATTGAATTCTCAGACAGTCGCTACAATCACAGACTGGTTCACTTGCTTTACTGTTGTGCTGAGCCGTTTATGGCGTGGTCGTGCGGCCCGACCCGGCTCAAATATTGTTGAAGCTCCGTATATTTGACAGACCGAGCACTTTGACATCTTTTATCTTGTCCAGGGCAAGCGAGGTCATACGTAACCGATCCTCGACTTTTTCTACGCAAGACCGCTGCACGGTGCTGCTAAAGGCCACAAGCTTCATTGTAGCAAATATAAAAACTAGCAAATTGTACGTGATCAGAATATTATTGCAAATAACAAGACGGGTATGCTTACCTGCAACGATCAACGCTGGAACTACGCCAGCCGTCCCAAGTCGTCTTTCCAGCAAGGATATTGCGACTACTATGTCAATCAATGAAGCCCACATTTCGTGGATTAATCGAAAGCGACTCGCAATCCGTTCGACATCAGTTCTCATCGGAGTGATTGCGGTAATCTGTAAGTCGATAGATTAACATGTGTCACCAGTTACATCAAAGACCAATGCCAGCCCACAGCCATTCCACCATAGGTAAGAGCGTACGATCCAATCAGGGCCTTGCCAAAATCCATGGCAGCCTCTGAATTCCTGACCCATGATACGGTGGCATTGATGAGACATGGCTGGCAAAAGGTAAAACTTGATAAGAATAGGCGTGGAATGACTGCTGAGATGAATAAAGGATAGTAAGCGTGCGAGATCTCAGTCGAAGCCAACCCTGGGCAGATCCTTGGCTACAATACGACACCTTTGCAAGTAGTCATAGTAATGAGAAAATGGTAGATATCTTTACTAGAAGAATTTGACAAATGTATACCTCTTTGCAACTCAATTCATGCTTGAAGCACTCTAAATTCTTTAGGTGCCTCGGATAGAGTCATATTCGTAGATATAACACTAAACACTCAAAGAATATCTATATTAGAAACTATTAACATTGATATATGCACATCGAACTTTAAGTCTACTCAATATCTACAACACCAGAGCAAGGCGACCCGTGCCTTCGAATATCCGCGCGAATCTATTTTGCCGGCGCGGCCTTCCAGAATAGCCACGCAATCGCAGCAACAAACTTCATACCAGCCGCCATCCACAGCGCAGACTGCATACCACCACTGCTACGACTCAGCCATCCACCGACAATAGCACCGATCAGCAGACACACAACGCCCCCGACGCGACGGTTGCGCTTAGCATTCGCAGTCGGCTTATCGATAATCTTCGGATCCGACGCAATGTCGAAGTAAACACTTGTCAAGACCACAGTCGGGATCTCATTGTAACCCAGGGCACGACTGCACGTCATTCCGCCAGCGGACTGGAAAGCCAACAGACCGATCGGGATCAACTCGAGGAAGAGGGAGCCGCCGTCCAGGACGGCGTCAGCGGAGGTGTGGGGGATGAGATCGGCTTCGATTAATGCGACAGCGATGACGATCATAATGGTCTGCACCAAGAATGAGCTGAAGAGGGTTCCGCGACGGAGGGCGCCGACGCTGCGCATCGCGATCGAGAAGATCATCGCGCCGAAGAAGAAGGATGCGATCGAGACGAAGGACTTAAGCCAGCCCCATGGCTTGTTGTTTGGTTGATTGGAGGCGCCAAGACCAAGGAAGATGGTGTTTCCTGTTTAGAAGGATTGTTAGCTTTTCTATTTTGTCTTTCGGAGATTTTTTGTCGCTTTGACTTGGCGCCTCTTTGCGGGAGAGCGACCGCTATCATGCATGCGTACCCGTTTGCATTCCGAGGAAACAGGACCACGCATTGTAGGCGCTGCTATCGCATAGACCGGTGAGGAAAGTGAGCATTAGACAGACGAGGTCTGCGTGTGTGGGCGTCAGGTTTTGCTTCCATCGTTGAGCGACGCTGGACTGTTTGGCAGGGACATTTGGGGCCTCGAGATCAGGGGGCTGTTCTGCCTTTTCCATTTTGACAGGATGTGAATGTGTACAGTGTACAGAGTATAGTGTACAGAGTACAGCCCTGAGTAATAAATAGATTGAGTCACAGATTTTTCCGCGTTCCTGGCCCGAGGCGACTTCCGAGGAAAGTTTATTTGTCGGGGGTTAGTCCGATTGCGGTCTTTTTGTAAACAGCCTTGACTTAATATCTTCACTATTTCTAATATTATAAATCCAAACATGTCAAACCCCTTTTCAATTCTGCTGCCTGAAAGCTCAGCACTCAATAGTGGAGAGTTCTGGTATAGGGCTGAATTAAGGTAAAGACCTTACCGGCTCTTACATTTTTTTTTTACAAAAATTACAGACATATCCCCGCACCGAGAAGCGCTGCACTTTTTGCTTCTTCATCGGCAAATTCGAAACTATGGTTTTGACAGTTATTTGTATAGTGCGATAGCTCACGTCCTGCTCTGTGCTCGTGCTGGACATAAATGCGAGACATCTTAGCGCACAGCGAGATGGACTCGGAGACAAAATATAGGGGCCAGAGATTTGCATGTGAATTCTGGAGTGCATAAAGCAATCGCAGTAGCGACACACAAAAATTATAATTTTATTCATGGTAGTAGAGGAGCCGAGATACCTTATGCTACAGAGAGCTTAACTTCCTATCCGGAACGCTCTCTAAAAGAAACGTAGTCTGGGGCTAATGCTTCTGCGATTAACTTCGCTAGATAAGTCTTTAACGTGGAAGAAGCTGGTCGGACTCTGACCAGTGCATCGATCCCTAGTGATATGGGAGCTCCTCTAGATAACCCATCATGGCGTTAATAGAAGTAGTGCTTCCCCAGAGGTCGTGATATTAGCCTTAATCGAATGTCTATTTTGACCGAATATAATGGTTCACCTTACTATTCCACGAGCCCTCATCCATGATTAGACTGTAATCCGTGCTACCAGATCAGAGATGGCCGAGGCACGCATTATTCCGCGAACACTCCATGAACGGGGAGAAGTTAATGCACGGGTTAGTTAATGAGATACGACGGAATCTGCTTGATATCTTAATCGACTGTCGAACCGAAGCCGTCCAGGTTTGCCTCTTGGTGTCCTGTTATTATATCTATTATAGTTCGCCGAGTATTGCTTGGACTGTCTCTGGTATGGGTGTGAGGCCTGCCTATGCCCTTCATCTTTATACAAAATCAGTCCAATGTAAAAGTCCAGTCGTGGATGAGATTCGCTCTCGCTGTTAGAACCAAGCTATTGTCGGCGACACCTTTGCTTCTATCATATATGGGCGACCCTCCTTTGTTGAAACTGGGCTCATCGCTTTACATGCGCTCAGAGCCATGGATGACCTAGTCATCGATCCACTTCTGCTGAAACATAAGTGGATATCTGGTGATGAATTGCCAACAATGACAATATCCTTGAAGTAAAACCGCAAAAAAGCAATAGCAGAGAGGAGACATGGTAGACACAAAAAAGCGAGACTAGGTAAAATGTTGAACGCGCCAGATAGATTCAGCGAAAGGCACCAAGTCCTGCTGGTGGAGAGCAATATCACTTTCGGCTGACCCTGCTGTGGGCTGTCGTAAGAATAAAAGGTGGAATGGTATGATAAGCAGATTTCCTGTAACGAACACTTGATCGCTAACCCTTGCAATAGTCACTTGCTGCGTTCGTTCGATATCTGTCCCAATCCATTGCCATACGTCAATTGTAAGACGGGGGGCACGTCGATCAACCTTAATAGTCACTGTCAAGTTTGCGCCCCCCTTGGTAGAGGTAAGCCACCAGCCCACGTCCCGTTCCAACTTAGCCTGTGACTTGGAAACGGCCACTTCAAGGCTAACAGTCGGTTTCCCAGTGTGCCCGGGCTGGCCCACGGCGGGGCCCCAACCCCAATCTGCTTCCTTTCCACTGCTGTTACCTCGAATGGTAACTCCGCTGTAGTTTTGGAATGCAAATTGCAGTCCCATACCGGTTAGAGCGAAGGTGATCATGTTGTTGAACCGGGCCAGCATTTCCGAATGCACTGGTCCCATCATTTTGACGAGCACGAGGCTAGCCGTAAGATCAAAGGAGACTCGCAGGGAGAGATTGGTGGTAGCTTGGTCTTGGTCTACAAAATCGGATCGTATGTGGCGTTCTCTCACTTCGAAAAGGACGTATTCGCCAGTCGTCTCTATGGCCTGAGAATCGTTTGATCTTTCAAAACGTTCACGTTCAAGACTCATGATCTCGCCGAATTGATCTATCCCATTGTATGCATATTTAGGGATTGACGGTGGTAGATCTTCAAGGAATTTAGCGCTTTGAAGCTGGATCTGTCGAGGCATTATTCTGCAAACATCTATTATGACAAGGTAACTACGAAGGTGGAAGGTGCGGCCAACAGTCAACAACGTATGTGAATCACCGCTTATAGGCACCCAATCGGGGTACTGTTCCGGTACCCTCGATGATTGTCTTTTGAGGATTCATAGTTAGCCGTTAACTGATAAGATAGTTCTTGCGATAATGCTACTTTGTACTATTAAGGATGAGTGACTAGGCCTCAGGCACCACACAGAGTCGCAATAGGTTGCCCCATCCATCTCCGCAATACCAGCACTGTCTATCCCCCATTCCACTCGGAAATTGCGGAAACTCTACAGCTGCTTATTGCTCGAAGATATGTCACAATCAGACTTAAAGCGAAAACGGGCCCGAATTGCATGTGAACCATGTCGAGAGAGGAAAAGAAATTGCGATGGCGCCGAGCCTTGCAGCACTTGCCGTCAATGGTATGATTGCCACTACGAATGTCAGCCACGACAGAAGCACCATGCTCCCCAACAGCCTCCAAATGAAATTGCCCCGCCAAGATCTTCACAGCCCATTAACTCAGTGGATACACATGGGGTGTATCGTCGTGTATACACGGAGTACGTATTACATCCATAAGTATCGCTGGTTACGCCCGAGTGCAAATATAGAAACCTCTGTCACCATCTATTCTACTGTGACAGACTTATTATAAACACATTCTCCGTTCGTACACGCCTTGGGTTCAACGCCGACGCTACAGTGAGGCAGTAGAGGGCAGCAAAAATCGCCGAATAATCGGCGAAATGGAAGCCCTGACCACTATTCGTATTGACTGTGCTCGTAATACTGTATGACTTGGTTTCTATTGGGGGAACTTTAGTTTTACCTAGTAATATACAGACAGTCAGCTGAACTATGATATGCATAATCCTAGTAAGTACATGATCTTGCATCTATGCAGTCACCGTTTGAACAAAGAAACATATTATGCCATCTCTAGCCCCTTTATCTCAGCTTCATTATTCTTATTTATTCTAATATAAAATGTATGCCCAAATACAGGAATTGTCGATAATCGTAGTACAATCTCAGTCAGCTCTGATGTGAATAGTCAAGGTCAATCTCAGGCGCCATTATCTGCATCGGAATACCAAAACGCCACATACCGCCCTAAACCGGAACCAGTGCCCAGGTGAGCAATTGGGATGCAGTCTATGGAGTGCCAGAACCTTGGCAGAGACGAGAATTTCGGGCTGCTCACGTTTTCGTTATCTTCTGTAAACTGAAGGGATCTTGGCCCTTGTAACTTATTTGTCTTTTAACCTTTATCTACTACCAGTGTTGAGGCAGTCTTAAGGTGCCCAGTTACTATTCACCAGGATTGGTCTTCCTCCCCCCCTAAACGAATAGCGAGAAATGCACTAGCAACCAAGCCGATCTCCGAGCATTTGTACAACAATTATAGCTTTGACTGGAATGACTAAGATCGACTAACTGTCGAGAAAGTTTGTCTCGCTCACATCGATGTACGAAGTCGCTGAACGTTGGTCTCCCGAGATCTAGCTCCTGGACCTCCCCGAGGTCGGGAACCCAGATGGAGGGCGGGCAGTGGCATGTCTTGCGTAATAAACTCTCCCAGCCCTGGATCTCCACTTGGGCTACGCCGCCAGTGCAATCCATCATCTATTAACAACCTCGATATCCTTTCACCTTGCCATGGCACCTTAGCGTGAGGTTTAAGAAGTGACTTACAATTGAAGCTTAGTTAATCTCTACTCCGATCATGCCATTCAATTACGTTACTTTTTTTTCTTTGGAGCTTCATCAAGTCACCTACATAACCTCAAAATACGCAGCCAATTAAGAAGGTATTTATTCCTAAACTAGTCGTCTTGATAATGTCAATCACGGGTATGCATTTTCTGTCCCTTATTTTGCTAACTCTGTGCATTTGAAAGTGTCAATAGGCACCTTGTTATTCGTTCGAGGCAATGGCATCGTGCACACCCTAGAGCGTCAGGCCAAGCTATGTTGTACTATATTATTGTTATCAATATGCCGTTGCTAAGACCAATCAAACTCACATCTTACAGTAGACCAATGGTAAAATCTCCTTTGACTCTCGCAGAGATTTTAACCTAATTATCACATCAACCCAATGGTCACATCACTCTTCATTCACGCATAGAGCTCTACCTCAACTTCCAGATCCAGCTCAATCTTGATATTCAAGCTGCTGTCCTCCTCGCTCACGTTCGCTCGTCGATCCTTGACCCATGATTCACAAAAGGGACTAATCCTTCCTCCAGGGAGTGGCGCTGGGACTACCTTGCCCTGGCATTCTTGTGGCGCGGGTGCCGTTTGTGCGAGTTTCGCAAGATTGCAGCTGCCTGTAGGGTTGGGAGGGCGTTGGAGTTGTGTCTGCTCTTCGGACTCTTCGTCCCTGACTTCTTGTTGACGTCTGCAGATGCCATTAGTTTCGCGAAGGGTTAAGAGCTGAAGACGAATATATGGAGACGTACACTTGAGACATGATGGTGGATTGAATATAATACTGAGGATTGATATAGCAAAATTTCATCTATAAGAAGGATGGTGGAAATCGATATTATTTTACATGCTCTGATATCATTGAAAGAGAGGCGGGCTATCCCTTGAATTAATGCGGTACCACAAGCACCAGGGGAGGTACCCCCCAATAATACGCCACTTGCACAACACCAATGCCTCAATAACTTGCATTCGGGAGATTTTAAATAAGTTAGGCTGCATGGGGTCGGAATAACGAGTCATAATATCAACCATGGCACTATGGACCAAATAGAAGAAATAGACTGCATTTTCCTCAGTGACGCGTTTCACGGAAAAGGAATCAGCAAACGTCGACTCCCACTCTTCTCGAAAGACTTTTGAATAAAGCATCCTGTGAGACCATCTCGAATCCAATCAAAAAGAATCATAGTCCTAGGACTACTCACTGCTATAGCAGCTTGTCCTGCGATCGTTGGTACTACCGAAGCAGTCCCCTAAGGCCAAAAAAAGGCGAAAGAAAAACACAGAGGTGTGAAATCGAATCTCATCATTTCTTGCGCTAGGACCTCAAGCGCCAGCAGGTACATCGATGGATGCTCCGTAGTGTTACGCGACAATAGGGTATGCATTCTGCCAGAACTGGAACCCCAATAAACCTGTCGCCTTTGCTACTGCCGTTGATAACTATGGGTTGGATTGCCACATGCTGAGGGTGGGACCGATCTCTCACTGCATCCATTCGCAGGATATTTCCTCCCCTATCTCGAAAAGATTGGGGTCGCAAGGGAGAAGGAATGGTCTCCAACGATATGCGATGAAGCGCACACCTAATTTAGATATACGTGGACGAAGACACTTATGAGGTCAAATACGGCCTGCGAACAGACTTGGAGGACCATATTGTTGGGCCATGGGCTTGCACGCCACTCAAGAAGAGAATCGCTTTGGAGGGCTGGGAGGGTTTTATGGCGTGTGGAACTTGATGGAGCATGGGCGTTTTTTTTTTTACCGGGACGACGATGGCTTGCAAGAGAAGATGTTTAAAGGAAGGATTTTAGAAGTTGAGCTGACAAGGAAGGAAAGAAGGAAGAGTAGAGATGATGAGGGTTAAGTAGTCTTTAAGAGGTAGAATGATAAATACTACATGAGTTATGATGACCTGATTCTATGTGGAGAAACAGAGTGTATTTCTACAAGAAAACAACGCATTTCGCACGTCTTATCAATTGGAAGGTGATCCGATTTCTGCTTCAATCATGGGGAATATGGGGTCGAATGCCTGTCCAATATTACTAAGGACGTTGACTTAGAAAGTCCGAAGTGAATTCCTATATAGAGGAGGGGATTGCCTGGTATATCGAGCAGCGGCTTTCATTGTCCCTACCTTTGGTCTTGTTACTTCAGCCCGGGTAGGCCGGGCTGCCTGTGCTAACTAGCAAGGATCGCGATTCCAAGTCCAGCTAAGTCCAGATCTATCATCTTAACTCCATCAAAAGCAGTTCTGACGTTTCTTTGGATATCAGGTATTAATTGACAATGCTCTGTCCGATCAAAATTGACTACTAGATTGCAATATCTTTTATCCTTCCCAACCCAAACATTAAACATTGCCATCATGGCTGTCACTAGGCCCTTAATTCTAATCACCGGTGCAAACCAGGGCTTGGGATTCGCGACTGCACAACAGCTAGCCAGCACTGGAAAATACAACCTTCTTATTGGCGCCCGATCCCAAGAAGAAGCCGAAGAAGCAATCAAGCAGTTACAAGAGTCTAGCATTGATAGCTCTCTGACACCTATTGTCGTCGATCTCGACCAGGACGAATCTATTGCTGCCGCAGCCAAGTTTATCGAAGAACGTTTTGGATCACTGAATATTCTCATCAACAATGCCGGAATCAACAGATCGTCCGACCCAAACGTTACCCTACGCGAGACCTACCGAGCCGTGTTCGAAACCAATGTGTTCGGCGTGGCAGTCATGAATGCTACCTTCATACTAATACTACGCGCCTCAAAGTATCATGACCGGCGTATCGTCAATGTGACGAGTGGCCTAGGTCAGATTGGCATTGCGTACTCACCTACTTCGGAGTACAGTGCTAAAATCTGGGAGCTGCCCGTCTACCGCAGCAGCAAGTTGGCGATAAATATTATTAACGCTGTTGATGCCGTTAGTCTCAAAAAGGAGAACATTCTGTCAGTCCTAGCTGCCCCGGGCTTCTGTCGCACCAACTTCTGGGGTGGGAATGGCGTCAAATCTGCAAACGAGGGTGCTCAGCCAATTGTGCGGGCTGCTATTGAGGGTACCTCGAAAGAGCTGTTTGGAAAGCTTGTCGATGATGAGAACACGCTGGTTGAGTTCCAATGGTAGAATCTCACTTTTATGGGGATTGCGAGGGTGATGATGTAGGAAAAAGATTAACAATAGTTGTATAAAATCTTAACCTAAATGTGCCTCGAAGAATCCTTGTTGAATAGAGCAACTGGCGGATAGGATTCGCCAGTTGTTGATCATGGTCCGAGAATTTCGTCTCGGGAGTTCTTCAGTTGTTCACACTTCGAGCAAAGTACCACCTTTTTTATTCAACGTTTGTCTGGAGGTCTCAAAATAAATACTAGAATATCTTCCTACGACAATGGATGAGATTGAGAACTAGGTAAAGGGGAAAAAAAGACCTTGAGCCCATATTTGTATCAATATAGTACGGATATGGTCCCACGAGGACATATTTTGAAGTGCGTTGGAATTGCATACGGGGTGACACCTGGGAGCTAAAAGCCGAGAAAGCAATAGTGATATCAATCATTGAAGCTGCGTATATTCAACTGTGCCATGTCATGAGCCAAAGTGAAGGAATAGTCCGATTACGGAGTTAGATCTCTTCATGCTATTGATATGAACTTCCTTGAGAGAATCTGTCGCAGCCACTCACAATGCCCAAGTCTTCTCAATCTCGAGACTATCCTCCTCAATCTCCTTCCAACCCAAGTTGCTCCACCTCACAGGCCTCTCAACAGCATCAACAAACTGTTTCAGCGCCAACACCGTCTGCACCGCCCATCGCGTCTTACTAACTTTCCCAACGCCAACAGCCAACGGCGTTATAAGAATTCTCTCAATCTTCCTCGCAGATTCTACAGAACGATTATGCCCCTCCGCCTGACACAACAAGCTCCAAACACACTCATACACAACCTCCCGATCCCAGCGGGCATCGCTAGGCTCCCGCATTGTCGGACAAATAGCCACCCATTCACAGCCGTGCTTGTTCTGCTTTAGGTCATGTGGAAACTCGACAAGCGTGCACGAGCCCGGCGGCGCAAAACCGCGCCATTTCTCATAGAGGACTGTTTGTGCTCTGCGCGTTAGAGCGTGATAGTCTTGTCGTGGACTGAAGGTCATCGAGATGGCGTGGTCGAATGCTCCGTCGAGGCGGGCGTAGGAGTTTGCTGGCGAGACAATTAGGTCGAAAGTTGTTCCTTCTGGGAGAGAGTTGAGGCGCTCGTTTATTAGGGAGATCTTTAGTTTTTCTGGGTTGTGGTCTGGCCAGGTTGTTTCGAGGGCATCGTTGAAGGCGTCCATGAAGCGGATGTCCATGCAGAGCAGGAGGATTTCGGGGATGTTGGTTGTCATCTTTGCTTGAGGGGGTGTTAATGAAAGACAAAGTATTGTATATTTGATAAGAAATGATAGGTTATAGACAGCAGCGTGTGGCCAAGGCTAAGTAGACCTCGGGAGCCTCAAGTCAGCAATTTACACAGCCCCGCGTATGTGGGGATTCCATTGGGCTTGACTGTGGCTTTGCCTGTTGGAGACAGTTGATAAGAAGGATGAATTTATCATATACTAGCTATACTTTAGGGGAAGCTACTAGGTACGCCCAGATACCTTTCTTTTAGTTGTAGATGTCATGATTTGCAGGCAGAAATTCAACATTCAGGCACCAACGACGTGGGCCCACTTTCTTCTTTCGGAAGTGAATGTCCTCGGGTATATGACTAAGTTCCTGTAAGTATTCTGATGAGAAATTGGAAAGATCTATTGGCTGCATGTTCATATTCAATGAGAACAGCGTTTCGAGGCAGCTTGTCACCGAGAAACATGGCCAAATTAGGCCAAAGACTGGGTTGTATGTTGGTCATTGTCCCGTAGAAGTCCGGAACAACTCCTCGCTCACATAAATCCTTGGCTTTCAATCCTCGATATGCGATGGGTCCACAATTAAACAAGTGGACTCCTTTATGGGAGGGATCGTGTTCAGAGGGACCTCCACCATGGAACTGGAAGTGGTTAGGAAATAATCACGCAGATTGTTTCACGAATAAGAACCTTGAAAACCACAGAGCTCTTTGACTCGTTGAGCTTCTAGAAGAACGTCACATTGCCAGACCCTATTTCACAAGTCTAGTCGGCGTGGCATTGGCAGATCGGCCTGCGCCTCAGCCGCAACAGCGCACATAATACCCCTCCCAAAGAGGGCCAGTGCGTAAACATCAGCAATGTGCATCTTAAACTTTCGTTATTCTCAAAAGACCTAGCCTTGCACTAGTTACACTACGTTGACTGAGGCCTAGACCCTCGACGTCAAAAATTATGGCGACCATGAACGCTTTAAACAACTCTGACCTATATACCGTCGGATGGATCGCAGCTCTCCCCATAGAGCGTGCTGCAGCGACTGTAATGCTCGACGAGCGCCACAGCACGCCGCTTGACTTTGTCCAACATCTCTCCGACATGAATTCATACACCTGGGGCAGAATGGGTGAACATAACGTTGTGATTGCGTCGCTCCCTGCCGGCTTATATGGAACGGCTGCCGCTGCGAATACGGCGTCGAATCTTCTCTCATCCTTACCCCATATCCGAATCGGCCTGCTGGTTGGTATTGGGGGTGGTATCGCCCGACCTGACGATGGTCGCGATATTCGGCTTGGCGACATTGTCGTCAGCCAGCCACAGGGGACAACTGGCGGAGTCATTCAGTATGACCTCAAAAAGACTATATCCGATCAAAGACAGGAGCGAAAGGACTTCCTTAGTATGCCTCCACAAGTGCTTCTTCAGGCACTAGGGTCTTTGCAAGCAGAACACGAACTCGAGGACTCCATGGTGCCTACATTTCTGAATGCTATGCCGCGAAAGTCCCCGGCCGGTAATGGCATTAAAGGAAATAATGGTTATTTTCATCAGGGGATGGAAAATGACAGGCTTTTCAGGTCGTCATACACGCATATAGGGGGACATGACTGCCGTGGTTGCGATTCAACAGAAGAAGTGGAGCGCGATATGCGGGACACAACCGATCCGGAAATTCACTACGGCATAATTGCATCTGGAAACACACTTATCAAGGACGCTGCCACGCGAGACAGGATTGTGGAGGATGTTGGTGAAGAATGCATATGCTTCGAAATGGAAGCTGCTGGCCTGATGAATCACTTTCCATGTCTTGTGATTAGGGGAATTTGTGATTATGCTGACTCGCATAAGAATGATCGGTGGCAGCGATACGCCTCTGCTACGGCTGCTGCCTACGGGAAAGAGCTTCTCAGCTACGTGCCTGTCAGGGGACTTCAGGAGACACGGAAAGCTCTCGATGTTCTCAATTCCAGTTGGTCCCCTTCGCCTAACTGAAGTTGAGCAATCTGCTTATTTTTCTAAAGTGAATCAGGATATAAAAAGCCTTCATGTCCTAGCAGGCAATACGATTATAGGAATAGATGGTCTCAAGTTAAGCAGTCACTTCAATGCCATTGAAAAGTGGCTTTCGCCTTGTGACACGTCGACCAATCTCAACGAAGCGCTGAAAAAGCGACTAGAAGGAACCGGTCTCTGGTTTCTCCAAAGCGAAGCATTTCAGGCGTGGGAAAAAGGAGAACGCCTGTCCCTCTGGGTGCATGGAATCCCTGGGTGTGGGAAAACAATCCTTAGTGCTACGGCTATCGAACATCTCAATCAAACAGCTGCAATTGAGTCTTCGCCCATTACGCTTGATTTTTTCTTCGACTTCAGCGATGCCGATAAAAAGTCATTGAATAAGCTTGTTCGATCACTTATTGCACAGCTTTACTCAAGATGTCCTGATTCTCGGGCAGAGCTGGATAGAGTGTTTTCGTCTCACGAAAACGGGAACAATCAGCCAAAAGAGAAATCAATTTTGGAGACATTCTCGAAAATGCTGAATCATGTCAAACTGATTCATATCATCATCGATGCTTTGGATGAATGCGAAACAAGGAAGGAGGTACTCCTTTGGATAGAAAGCCTCATCAACCTGAAACATCCAGGCCTCCACCTGTTCATTACCAGTCGAAAGGAAGAAGAGATTGAGTCAGTATTACAGCACTTGATCGATAATGAGGGCATCATCCCCCTCCAGGGAGATCAGGTTAATGTTGACATTCGCGCGTATATCTATCAACGACTGCGGGATGATCGTGGATTCGAGAGGTGGTCCTCACATCCAGATGTACAGAGCAAGATTGAGAATGAGTTGATGCAAAAGGCTAATGGAATGTAAGGTGAAATCTTTTACGGTAATTCAGAATGTTGCAGTTGACTAGTACTAACTAATAATAGGTTCAGGTGGGCTGCATGTCAACTTGATGCTCTACAAGATTGCCTAAATCTTGAGTTGCTTGAGAAGTCGCTCCAATCTCTTCCCAAGACACTGGAGGAAACTTACGGTAGAATATTGGCCAGCCTTAGCGAAAACCATAGAGAGTATTCCCTGAGGCTATTGCAGTTTTTGACATATTCAGATCGTCCTTTGACGCTCCAAGAAGCTGTTGATATTATGGCGGTCGATTTAAGTCGAGATCCCTGCTTTGACCCGGCACGGAGAATGCCAAATCCGCGGGAGATCGTGAGATTCTGCTCCAGCCTCGTCTCTCTGGTCAAGAGAAAAGTTCAACCGTCAATGGGTGATTCCTATTCAGAGGACTCATGGATCTACAATTCAGACTGGTCAGAGGAGTCAGAAGACTTGGAGGACTCAGAGGAGAACTCAGAGGAGTCAGAAGACTTGGAGGACTCAGAGGAGAACTCAGAGGAGTCAGAAGACTTGGAGGACCCAGAGACCTCGGATCGCCCAGAGGCTTCAGAGGCTCCAGATGACCAGGAGGAGGTGGAGGAGCTTCAGTTGGCACATTTATCTGTTCAGCAATACTTAAAGTCCAGTCGGATTCAAAGTAGTGTCCCAGGCCATGTAATTGATGCCGGTGTGGTGTTTCAAGATGGCATGTGTGAAATGAACGCAAGAGGTTTAATCACAAGAATATGCCTCGCATATTTATCTCACCCAAGCGAGCACCAAACTAGTGAACAAATCCAGGCGGAATTTCCATTCGCGCATTACTCTGCTCGGCTTTGGATTTATAACGCAACCACCACTGAGACAGACGAGATGGTTGAGCAAAGTATCATGGACTTCTTTTTGCCAAGGGGTCAAGCATATATGGTATGGCGTAAACTATGGCGCCTATATCGCACAAGATCAGGTTCATATCCAGCAATCATAGCAGCTCCGTTGTATTATGCATCCTTTTATGGCCTAAAGCATACGGTACAATTGCTACTGGAGCGAGGAGCCGACGTCAACGCACAGGGAGGCAAGTTCGGCAATGCACTCCAGGCAGCTTCAATGTCCGGACACAAAGATATCGCACAGCTACTCCTCGTAGCTGGCGCAGACGTTAATATAACTGGAGGTCATTATGGGAATGCACTTATAGCTGCTTCAAGCTCTGGGCATAAGGACATCGCACAGCTACTACTCGCAGCCGGCACCGACGTTAACGCACAAGGGAACTTCTATGGGAATGCACTACAGGCTGCTTCAAGCTCTGGACACAAAGACATCGCACATCTACTCCTCGCAGCCGGCGCCGACGTTAATATAACTGGAGGTCATTATGGAAATGCACTTACAGCTGCTTCAAGCTCTGGGCATAAGGACATCGCACAGCTACTACTCGCAGCCGGCACCGACGTTAACGCACAAGGGAACTTCTATGGGAATGCACTCCAGGCTGCTTCAAGCGCTGGACACAAAGACATCGCACATCTACTCCTCGCAGCCGGCGCCGACGTTAATATAACTGGAGGTCATTATGGAAATGCGCTTACAGCTGCTTCAAGCTCTGGGCATAAGGACATCGCACAGCTACTCCTCGCAGCCGGCACCGACTTTAACGCACAAGGGAACTTCTATGGGAATGCACTACAGGCTGCTTCAAGTTCTGGACATAAAGACATCGCACAGCTACTCCTCGCAGCTGGCACCGACGTTAACGCAACCGGAGGTCATTATGGGAATGCACTACAGGCTGCTTCAAGCTCTGGACACAAAGACATCGCACATCTACTCCTCGCAGCCGGCGCCGACGTTAATGTAACTGGAGGTCATTATGGGAATGCACTTATAGCTGCTTCAAGCTCTGGGCATAAGCACATCGCACAGCTACTCCTCGCGGCCGGCGCCGACGTTAACGTAACTGGAGGTCATTATGGAAATGCACTTATAGCTGCTTCAAGCTCTGGGCATAAGGACATCGTACAGCTACACCTCGCGGCTAGTGTCGACGTTAACGCACTGGGAGGCTTTTATGGGAATGCACTCCAGGCTGCTTCAACGGCCGGACATAAAGACATCGCACAGCTACTCCTCGCAGCTGGCACTGACGTTAATGTAACCGGAGGTCATTATGGGAACGCACTTATAGCTGCTTCAAGCTTTGGACACAAAAGCATCGTACGGCTCCTCCTCGCGGCCGGCGCCGAGGTTAACGCAGAAGGATACTTTTATGGGAGTGCACTACAAGCTGCTTCAAGATCTGGACATAAAGACGTTGAACAGATACTTCTCGCGGCTGGCGCCGACTTCAATGCACCCTGAGGCTATCATCAAGGTCCACCTGGTGTTGCTTTATTCCACAGTAACAAATATATCTGGTAGGTACCCTTACAGGCTAGCGCTGAGATCATTCAAGGCCCGGAGGAAGGGGCAGGGAGAAGCTTTGGTGGGGATACAGCGAGCACGAGTATCTCCAGGATGCTTGGCAAGGTCGAGAGGTCAGGAAGACGAGCTGCAAGGAAGTTTATATCCTTCCAAGCTGCCCGGAAGATGGTATCTTCAACAGGCCGCAAAACCATGTGACTCTTTCAGTAGTATTTTTTTTTTGAGAATCCAAAGACTGTATTCTTGAACCTGGTACTTTGTAGATGCAGCTTTCAAATGTAAATAATGATCCCACTAAATTAATTGGTCGAGAATATGGGCAGCGGCAGTAACCCTCATTACTCGGGTCCTTAACTCCGTGCTGCCAAACTTGAAATCCTTCTCTATGACTTCACTCTTCGTAAGTTGAAGCTACCTCTCCCTAGAATAAGTCATGATATATTTACAAGACGCACTGTTCGCTTTTGAATAATCTCAGATGAGCGTATGAAACCCCTACGGGCTCGTACGCATAACTAATAGTCAGCTGACGGCCTACATTGAACGATGACCAGCAATCAAATATTGTCACGAAAAAGGTTGATTTGACAATTGCAACGATGATCCCCCGTCCACGACCAATGTATGCCCATTGACATAGCTGGCAGCCTGAGAGGCCAGAAACACCACCGCGTCGGCAACCTCCTCCGGGTCGGCCAGTCGTCTCATCGGCAAATCACCCAGCATAACACCCTTAACAGCCGGTGCCTCGTCCAGGAATTTATCCATCAACGGCCCTGAAACATACGAGGGAGCAACGGCATTGATTCTAATCCCACTGCGCGCGTTTTCAAGAGCTGCTCTATCAAGTCAGGGATCCACGTAATGGAACCAAAGAAAGAAAGCACTCACCGGCAGTTTGAACCAGCCCTTTGACAGCGTGTTTGGCCGCGATATAATTGCCCACTCCGAGGAACGCCCCTTCTGAAGCCAGCGAAGTTAACACTACTATTGAACCCCGGGTTTGGGTCCGCCGTCTAGTCGAAACTAGCTCCTGGACGGTCATTGCCCGGATCACCTCGCGGACGACTAAAAAGCACCCGATATTATGCACCTCGTCCATGCTCCTATAGGCTTCTAGGCTCATGTCGCTGATCGGGGTTTGATTGGCAGCGGGGGTCTTTCGTTGGTCAGAATCATCTATCACAGAAAATCACAACCCGGTTGGCTTACTCCGGCTGTAGTCACGCAGATATCGATGCGGCCATAACGCTCTTTGGCTTTCGCTACCATCTCTTGCACCTGCGCTTCTTCGCGGACATCAACGTGGTAGGCAGTTGCCTCATAGCCTTCTCGCCCTGCGACAGCGTAGCTTGATGTGGCGGTTTCTTGGGCTTGGGAGAGATCGATGTCGGCGCAGACTAGGGTGGTGAGTCCTTGCGTGACAAGCGTATAGGCGACTGCGCGCCCAATGCCACTTCCTATTGTTTGATTAATCTATCAGTTTGGACAGTGACTCGCGCAAACAGTTGGCCGGGGAGTTGGTGTTGGGATTGAGGTAGACGAAAACCAGAAAGGGGAGTAAATAAACAGCATACCAGCACCAAGAACCAGAGCGACACCTTCCACTTGCATTGGGGCTATGTACGTGTTCTGTTCAACCTCTATAGTTGCTGGCGACTTGAGTCTTCTTTATGCAGGCCGTCGCGTCCCAACCCACATCTTTCGGCAGTGGGGGCCGACGTAAACCTAATGACGTGCGTGATGTATGACTCTGGATATCATTCACATATGATAGTGGGTACGTGGAATTAGAAGGTTCAGGATGTCAATCCTACCTTGGAAGTCCAGGCTAGACTTGGCACAAAGATAGGAAATGGGATCGACCGGTGTCCTGCCACATACAGGCGACTTGCCAATCTCAACGTCGAGGACGGCCCGCAGTTGGCGGCAGTGGCGGCGGGCCCTTGGTCGAGTGCTCTCCTTTTCCATCTGAAACGGGGGCCAAATACTAAATTCGGGTAAGCTCTCTATTCAGGTTACATCGTCTGTCAACCCCTGTATGCCAACCCCTGTATGCCATCACCCTATAGGTATTCTGAGAATCTCCACGCCATCGGCCTTTTGGCCAAAGGAGAGATTCGAGATGCCTAGAGCCAATTAATCTCTCATCCGTATTTTAATCCACTGCCATGACCAACGAGAGGTCCGTCCTGCATCGATCACCCAGCAATAATCGCCTCAATATGCCATGGACAACAGCTAAGCAGTCGGTGAATACCTTCACCCGGCCACTTGGCCCAAACGAGGTGTTCATCAAACTGGTCAGCGATCCCGGCCACCCGCTCGGTCGTGAACACTGGGCTATCAACTACACGGTCACTATCAGTCCTCGTGGGGCATTCACAGCCTTGTCGGACTCGCCTGACCTTCTACCAGATCTCATCCGCTACAGTTGGTTGCATTTGCGCTTCCAGCACCCCAGTCTAGCTGCGCATCCGGACTCCAACTCTAATGCTATCTACGCGGTTCCTGACTCTGCCGATGCTCTTAAAGAATGGACATCGCAGACATTTACCGTGGAGGGCAACGCGGAGTCCGCCGACGAGGTGATCCCCACCATCGCACCAGCTGCCGACGCCCGGCTGTACTATGTCCCCCAGTCGAGTGAACTGCTCCTGCACACCGCGCACTGGCGCATGGATGGAGTCGGTGGCCTGCTCCTCCTCGGCCAGCTGGTAGACCTGATGGTCTCGCACGCTGACACCCTCCTCTTGGGGAAGCTGCCAGACCCGTTCGATTCCTTCCAATGGGGATTGGAGGTCACACGGCTGGCGCCACCAGTCGAAGAGGCGGGCAACATGCCCCTCACAGCAACTGACGAGCAGAAGGCTGTCGCCCACGGGGCAGTCGGTACCTTTGCCCTGGCGGCGGGCGCTCTCGGGGTGCCCTATACCGGGGATGCCGCGACCGTGCCCTCCGGCACACGGGCCGCCGAACTCATGTTCTCACCCGCCGCCACGTCCGCCGCTGTATCGGCCGCAAAAGCACGCGGCATCGGGATGACAGCCGCCGTGCATGCCAGTCTGGCCGCAGCCAACTTCCGGCACGCGATCGCCGAACACCAGGGCCGCCACTACACCAGCACCATCAAACAGTCGCTGCGGCCGTATCTGCCCGAACCGTACTCGACCCCCGCAGCAGCATCGGGGCTATACACGTCCGGCTGGTTGGCGCGGGTCGATGCCTCCCGGACCTGGGAGGAGAATGCCCGCATGTATCAGGCGGAGTATGAGAAGGGCATTAGTAGTGAATATCTCCAGGCACATCGGGAGTATGCGTCCACTTTGGTGGAGGTGATGAAGAACCTGCCAGCTCCCACAGAGCCGCCTAGTGATATCGATATCAGTAGCATGGGGATTATGGAGAAATATCTGGAGCGCGAATATGGAGCCCCGGAGCGTGGGATTAGCATCACGCATGCTGGGGTGGGCGTGGAAATAATTTCGCGCCAAGGTGTGGTTTTTGTGTGGACATTCCGTGATCAGTTGACTCTGCGGCTGGTGTATAACGAAGCTTTCCACACCCCGGGGCAGATGACGGAGTTTTTACACGACATCCAAGCGGACCTGTTGAAGGAACTGGGGGTGGCGGAGTAGAGGACTATCTGATTCAAATGGCCGAGAATAGAACGGCTTGCACTATAAATTTACTGTTTATGATCCTCCTTTAAGCTTAGAAATTCAGTCATTCAATGTATTCATCTTCTTTCACTGGTTTTTTTCCATTTTATTTAGGGGAGGGCAGACATGCGCCATAAAAGTAGCAAGAGACATACATGCCTGCGATCCATCAGACACTATCCCGCTCCGAGACCGATCGTGTGGCGTCGATGGTCATTTGAGTGTGATATCTGTTCGGAGTACCCGAGTGCATGTCCATCAGGATGGCCTCTCTATCTTCTTCGATGGGACGGAATGATCGGTTGCAACTTAACAAGTCCGACGCCGTTTGCTTGCTCACAGACAATGACAATGCACCGGTGCTCTGTTGCATATTCCTGCGTCTTAGGCGGCGTGCGAGTTCCATAATATTAGGGAGGCAGACGGACATGAGAGAGATCGGGCCTTCACACTGCACCCAACAGATATATTCGATGGTGCTCCAAGTCAGATCGGCTTCCAAGGCCGAGCCGGCCTTGAGGAGAGTAATGAGGCGACCGACAGACACGATGACCACTCTGGCAGGTGTCGATGCTGGTTAGCAAGCTCCTGATGAACCGCGTTTGATGTTCTAGAGAGAACTTACGAGTAACCGCAAATAAAAAGGCCAGTTAACAAGACCTTTTTCGCCTTGGTCATGTGCAACGACCATAGAAGTGGCAGCGGGATTAACAGGATGATCAAATCCAGGATCGCGCTGGGCGCAGCAGTCCCAGTAAAGAATTTCCACTGCTTGAAGCATCTGGCGTTGGGGACGACTTCCCAGGAGGCATCTATGGGCGTACACTGGAAGGTGGTCGCCAACCAGGCCCCGATCAGCCAGCAAACGCAAAGCGTACCGACCACCCAGATCGTAGGGCGGAGCCAGCTGGCTCCACGTCTGAGCACTCGGTCGTAGAAGCAGAGCACCGATAACTTGGGCAAGGTAATGCATGCATCGTATAAGTAGGCGGCGGCGAAGACAATCTTGGGGCCCTCTAGTTGATTGCTGATGGGTAATGTGGCTGAATGACGGCCTAACCCCAGGGAGATCCAGTAGAATATAAGGGCTGATTCGGCGATAATGAAAGGCTGCAAGGGTTACCACATAGTCTTTTGTGTCAAGTCGAGGAAAACGCCTCTGGGGAACGCACCAATGTCAGGATGGCAAATGCGTCGTCATAACCAAACTTGTGGGTGGGCGAGCCCCAGATGGACCAGCATCGGAGGGCGACCGATACTACAGCCAAGATGAGCATCACGACACAAAGGGCGATGAGCCCCGGCTGTCGGTTACCATCAGACTCTGCGGAAGACATGTTAGATCCGCGATGTCTCGGATCTGAAGGAGAATTGGCCTAATCATGGGTATAAATGGGGGAGTACAGACCTGAGACAAAAAGGAGACGAGGCAATGCAACAATAAAGCAAAGGCGTTAGTGTAAGGATAATCACCCACGAGCGTCTTGGCCCGACATGCACGTACGAAGTACCTAATCAAGATAGAATCACCGGCCGACGGAGTAGTGGGCCATATTGCTTTCTGCATGAGCACGTTATTTCCGAGACACGGCTGGTGGCCTTAGCTCTGGGCCGGAAGGAACGATGGAGTTCCTTGTTTTGCGCTGTGGAAATGAGGAAGATCGCCAGTCCAATTGGATTAAACAGCCCGATCCACATACCTCACAATTATCATTAGCGTATTCACTACTGCATCAAGTGTAGATATCACATATCACACCCCACAGTGTTTGCCGCCGAATCTACCGAGTGTGGCATAAGAGAATAACAGACATTTCACGCACGGAAATAATGACACTTCAATTGTAGGCCCTTCTTTAATCCACTCGAGGTTCCGACAAGACACTTCTGTTTTGAACGTTAGCAGAATGGAGCACCCAGAATGGACTCCTGCACGCCAATGCGAACCAATCGCAATCGTGGGCATAGGTAGGAGCGCTAAATATTCATCGAATCCGGTGTACTCACATATGCATTAGGATGCCGATTACCGGGGAAAGCCTCATCCCCATCCAAACTGTGGGAATTGCTTGTCAAGAACGAGACGGGCCATTGTGCCGTTCCATCAGAGCGCTACAATGCAGCGGCATATTATCACACGGATGCCGAGCGACCAGGAAGTATCAATTCGACCGGTGGATACTTTATTCAGGAGGACATCCGCGCCTTCGAAAATGCGTTCTTTGGGATTAACAATCTCGAAGCCACATCCATGGACGCCCAGCAAAGGAAGCTCCTCGAAGTAACCTACGAGGCGTTGGAGAATGCCGGTGTGCCATTGGAAACAATACAGGGCTCAAACACCGGCGTGTATGTCGGCAACTTCACCAACGATTTCTTGAACATGCAGTACAAAGACCCAGAGTACTTTTCCCGGTATAGTGCTACGGGATCGGGATTGACCGTGCTGGCGAATCGGATTACACATTGCCTCGATCTACGTGGTCCGTCCCATGTGGTTGATACAGCTTGTTCGTCGTCCTTGTATGCGCTGCATTCGGCCTGTTTGGCCCTGGATGCACGGGACTGTGACGCGGCCGTGGTGGCCGCTGCAAACCTCATCCAGTCTCCGGAGCAGCAGATGATTGCCGTGAAAGCGGGGATTTTATCGCCTGACTCGATATGCCATACCTTCGATGAATCAGCCAACGGATATGGTAGAGCGGAGGGTGTGTCCGCTGTATATCTGAAGCGGCTTAGTGATGCATTGAGAGATGGAGATCCCATTCGCTCAATTATTCGAGGAACCTCTGTCAACGGGTGAGTCTTCTTACTCCGGTGGTAGGTCTAAATGCTAATCGTAACCCCCAGGAATGGACGGACACCAGGAATTGTCCAGCCCAGTGTGGAAGGGCAAAAGGCTGTTATTCGAGCGGCGTATCGTCGGGCGGGTCTGGACCTGGGAGACACGGACTACGTCGAGGTAAGCTTCTCCAAATGCTGACAGATCACCATACTGACAGCGGAAGGCGCATGGGACCGGCACCAAGGTCGGTGATCCTATGGAGGTCGAGGCCATAGCCGATGTTTTTCGTCATCAGACGGGACGGCCGACCCTCATTGGAGGAATCAAGCCGAATGTTGGTCACAGCGAAGGAGCCAGCGGTCTTTCAAGCCTAATCAAAGTCACCTTGGCGCTCGAAAATGGGTTAGTCCCTGCGACGGCCGGGGTTAAAGCGATTAACCCGAGCATCAAGCTAAAGGAATGGAACGTGGACATTGTTACTGCCAATCAACCGTGGCCGGTATCTCAGGTCCCGCGAGCCTCGGTCAATTCGTTTGGTTTCGGGGGCTCAAATAGCCATGCAATTCTGGAAGCAGTACAGACGGACCTATTGACCAACCGCTGTAGGGATCCGCTGGTAGGCAAAAATGCAGGGAGGCTCTATCTGTTACCTCTTTCGGCTCGATCGAAGGCATCCCTCAAACAGATGGCTAGTAACTTAGCTGATTTCGTCTCCCACTCAGCTCGGCAGATTCGAATCGATGATCTAGCTTTTACGTTGAGCTGTCGTCGCTCCAAGATGGCTACTCGTGGCTTCCTTATTGAATCTCAAGCAAGCCTGGATAAGGGGCTCAATATGGCGACCCTGAACCTGAAAGATTCTAACATTGAGGGACCATTCCCGTTGGTCTTTGTTTACACTGGACAGGGCGCACAGTGGGCTGGGATGGGCAAACAGCTTCTGGGCCATAGCCGTGTGTTTAGAAAGACCATAGGCTATCTTGACTCTTGCCTCCGAGCCCTTGATCCAAAACATGCGCCCGCCTGGACACTCGAGGGTGTTCTGCGAGGTGATGAGAACTGTGATATAAACGCCGCTGAAATATCACAGCCATTATGTACGGCGGTGCAAATTGCGCTGACGGACCTACTCAAAGATTGGGGTGCTCTGCCAAAGATGGTGACGGGCCACTCTTCCGGCGAGATAGGAGCAGCGTATGCGGCCGGGGCTATTGATGCCCGGCAAGCCATCTTTTCGTCTTTCTTCCGCGGAAATGCTGTCTCCGAGGACTCCACTGAGGGTTCAATGGCTGCTGTGGGACTTGGGAAAGATCAGACCGAGGCGATAATCGAGCAATGTGGGTTGAGAGAGTCTGTTACCGTTGCTTGTACGAACTCGCCAGAGAGCACGACCGTGAGTGGAGATACAGTTGCCGTCAAGGAGCTTCTTAAGACATTCGAAGAAAAGGATATTTGGGCTCGAAAGCTAAAGACCGGAGGTAAAGCGTACCACTCGCACCATATGAAGATTTTGGGGTCAAAATATGAGTCCTTACTCCAGCGCTACTGGGATACAACTAATGGCAACCACGACGCAAATGGCGCTGTGAATGGTCCGTCATCAGTGGTCATGATTTCCAGTGTGACTGGTGGGCTGGTAAGTACAAATCAGGTTGGGATGCCCGCATATTGGCGTACAAACCTCGAATCTCCAGTCCAATTTGATGAGGCGATTAGAACTATCCTGGTACGTGGCAGTTGCCATCTGGTAGAACTTGGTCCGCACTCGGCTTTACAGCTCCCCATCAAGCAGAATGCCTCGACACTCGAACAAAGTCACTATATTTATAATCCCTCTCTCATACGTGACCAGGATGCTTGGTTGACTACCCTTCAGCTTGTCGGCTCACTGTTCTTGCATGGACACGATGAGATTCAATACCACAAGATGTTTGCGGATAGACAGACTGTCTTGGTTGATTTGCCTCCTTATCCCTGGGACTACAGTTCTCCCACCTTGTGGTCTGAGCCTCGCGCCAGTATCGAGTTCCGTCATCGCAAATACCCCCGGCACGATCTCCTCGGGTCCCAAGTGTCGGGAGGGAGCACCGCAGGAGTGACGTGGCGAAATGTATTGAGCCTCAATGAAGATGAATGGCTTACGCATCATTGCCTGGGCCCGTCGGTGGTATTCCCCGCCGCTGCATATATTGCGATGGCAGTCGAGGCGATGTGCCAGGTTGCAGGTCTGCAGCTGGAAGATTGTCCTGGTGTGGAACTTCGGGATCTGAACTTCATCAAAGCTCTCGACATGGATCCCGAGCGAAGGCCAACAGTGGAGATTTTTACCGAGATGCGTTCGATGAAGATTTCCAACACGACGAATTCAGATAAATGGTGGAGATTTGATGTGGTCTCTGTCGACAGTGATTCCCAGACGACGTTGCATATGAACGCGGCTGTCCGTCTAGCCGAAACCTCGCCACGGACAACTCGACAGATTAAGCTTGACAGATCTAAGATGCAACAGGATGCGGTCCGTGTCTGGTATGACAAGTTCACTCAAGAAGGGCTCAACTGGGGTCCCAAGTTTGCTGTCATGGAGGAGGTCTTCCGAGATCGCGCACGCACGGCGCACGTAGCAGCAGCCACTACACATCTCCAGCGGGGAAAAATGTTTGGTCAATACATTGCACATCCAATTTCCATAGATGCAATGCTACAAACGGCTTTCATTGCGACTACTAGTGGCTGGGTAAGTAAGCTCCGGGCCACCGTCCCTGTTGCGATGGACTCGGTTTACATCTCCCCTCCGTCGGCTCTCGACATGAACACCGACAAGCCATGGTGCATTGACACGCAGTCGGAGAGTGTAGGATTTGGAACGGTGAAAATCAATGCAGAGCTATACAATTCGTCTGGTCAGGTCTTGATCAGGATGGGTCAGGCTCGTTGTATTGCCTACCAAGGGAACAGACAGACGGAAACCACCGAGCAACGCAATCCTCTCATGAGAGCTACATGGAAGCCGGATCTCTCTGCGCTAACAAGCTTAGGTCTTGATGAGTATCTGAACTGGTTTGGACAGAACTATGGCTCCAAGGAATTGGCTGATGAGGACATGTTGCCCTTGATTGGTGCCCTAGATTTGGCCTGTCACCAGCGGTGTAATAGCAATATTCTCGAACTTGGTCACCAAACCCGGATAGCGGAGATTATTCGTGGGCTCTTACGTGTCGACTCCTCTTTCCAAAGGTATAACACTTATTGTCGAGGAGTCTTTGCAGACAATGATCTAGTTGGTGGGGAGGTTTTCTCGGAGACTGCAGATGAGCAGAAACCAGAGCTCCCAGCCGGGATTCCACAGGAAAGGAAGTTTGATATAGTTATCGTCCCTTCAGTATGTTTGACTTTTCACAGCTTTGACTTGACGCTGATATGCAATAGGTTGATCTCTGGACGCCGGCCATTTCCAGCTGGCTCACATCAGGAGCAACTGTGATCATGATTGGGAATGCACTCAGTGATGATGTCAGTTGGACGAAGGTCATTAAAGGAGGTGGTTCGTTTCCTGTAACAGTTGCGACTATGGGGGGCCTGGCTAGCAAGGGGAAGGTCGACAAACCCCCGACAATCGTGGTGAGCTCTTTTGATGGCCTTCCATCATGTATATTTCTGACAAGTATGCAGGTGACCCGAGATCACAACATAACACGTCTAGATTTACATCTCCAAAGGGTCTTACAAGAACATTTAGGATCCGTAGTCAATATTGTTGGTTTGTCCCAGGTCACCATCGAGACCGTTCCGGACCGATCGTTTGTCATATCTACCCTAGAACAGCAGCAGCCTCTTCTAAGCAGGATTGAGGAGGGTGAAATGGCACAGGTGAAAAGTATTACCGATCGTGTAGCCATGATTTTATGGGTCGTCAATGGTGGCTTCGTGGAGGGAGAAAACCCCGACTTTGCGCCAGTTCTGGGACTCTCCCGTGCGCTTATGCTCGAACAGCCTTCCCTTCAATTTGCGGTTCTAGATTTGGACGATAAATCAGCATCATCTCCCGACACACTGTACAGCATCGTCAGTGTTTTGGACCGACTGATCCATGAACCGGAGCCGGACCTTGAATTCGCGCAACGAGATGGCGTCCTTCATATCTCTCGCTGGGAACCGGACGAGCGTCTCAACGAAACCTTCCGTCTCAAGCAAAATAAGAAAACCATTGAGCTTCCTCTAGCAACTTCCGGGCGTTGCGAATTAGGTATCAAGGACCCGGGACAAATGGACACGATCCATTTTGTGCAGAAGGAGTATCCAACCGCGTTACACCCAGATGATGTGGAAATCGGCGTGAAGAGTGTAGGCATGAACGCAAAGGTAGCTCTCATGCATGCGAGGATCCATTAGCGGCGTTAATAACAAGAAATAGGATCTGTATGCCATAAGCGCCAAAGTGGACACCAAGGATGCATCATGCTCGTGTGAATGCGCCGGTGTTATTACTGCTGTGGGAGAGAGCGTTTCCGAGTTTAAGGCTGGTGATCGTGTAGTTGCAATGGCCCCCGGCCATTTCGCAACTGTCGAGCGCTTCCCACATTGGGCAGTGTGTAAACTGAGCGACGAGGAGGACTTTACGGTAAGTGATCGAGTCTCGACATGAAAGCAGAAGCTCATGCGTGTAGACGGCCTCCACTATTCCGATTGTGTTTTCGACGGTTATTTATGGACTGAAGCACCGGGCGAATCTGCAACCAGGGGAGGTATGTCGCCGTGGTTCTTCACTCGCATGAGCTGGGCTTAATATAGATTAGACCGTCCTCATTCATTCCGCTGCCGGGGGCGTTGGGATTGCGGCAATCCAATACGCGAAGCATCTCGGGGCAAAGGTCGTATTTCTGCAGATCCAGCGGTAAGTTCGAATTAACTAACTCACTCGATAGATCTTTGCCACAGTCGGAAACGAATCTAAAAAGTTATTCCTCATCGAGAAGTATGATCTGGATCCAGCGCACATTTTTAGCTCGCGCGATTCATCCTTCCTCCCTGCCATTATGAAAGCCACTTCTGGTCAGGGAGTTGACGTGGTTCTGAACTCTCTTACCGGTGATCTTCTGCGCAGCAGCTTTGAAGCATGTGCCGACTTTGGCCGCTTCATAGAGATTGGGAAACGTGACATCCTTGATCATGGTGTTCTGGATATGTCCACGTTTGGTCGCAATGTCTCCTTCATGGCATTTGACCTGTCTAATCTCTATCACTCTAACAAGAAATCCTACCATCAACTCTGGAAAGCCCTGCTTACAGAGAGTCTGGATCTAGTGAGATCCAAGATCTGTGGGCCGTGTTTCCCAATCAAGACATTCGACTCGTCAGATATTACCGATGCTTTCAGGCACTTCTCCCTAGGCACGCGAATGGGCAAAGTGACCGTATCGTTCCAGGATCCGAACATCAAAATAAGGGTGATCCCGACGAAGTATGAAACTGCCTTTAGTGCCCAAAAGTGCTACCTCATGGTCGGGTGCCTGGGCGGGCTAGGTCGCAGTCTGTCTAAGTGGATGATATCTTGCGGTGCTCGACGATTCATCTTTCTAGGTCGATCCGGTGCCGATAGGCCTCAGGCAAAGGAAATAGTCGATGATCTACGAGCCCAAGGAGCCCACGTCACAGTGATCCGGGGGGATGTTTGCCGGTACGAGGATGTCGAACGAGCGCTGGAAGCCGCGGATTGTCCCATTGGTGGCGTGATCCAGGCGGCCATGGCACTCAGCGAGGCCCTCTGGAGTGATATGCCGCACAGCGCATGGCACACTACCATCGGCCCTAAGGTTCAGGGCACTTGGAATCTTCACAATGCGTTGAGCCAGGGTCGAGACGCCCAGCTGGACTTTTTCGTCATGACCTCGTCCATCTCTGGGACCGTGGGCACAGCGACTGAAAGCAACTACTGCGCTGCCAACTCCTTCTTGGACGCTTTCGCCCGTTATCGCAACCGTCTCGGGCTGCCGGCCATCTCCATTGGCTACGGGATGATTTCGGAAGTGGGATATTTGCACGAGCACCCCGACATCGAGGCCCTCATGAAGCGCAAAGGGATCCACCCCATCAACGAAGACGAACTGATCCAGATCATGAACATGGCCCTTGTAAACCAAATACCATCTACGTGGGACTCTCGGTACGATCATCTGGCGGGCAGCCACCTTCTCACCGGGGTGGAATTCATTGGTCTCCAGGGGCAACGGGAACGGGGATTCGAGGGAGACAATCATGTCTTTGCCGATCCTCGAGCTGCATTGTTCACTGCGTCCTTTTCTCGCTGCGCCGCGGGCGAGCGCGAGACGCATAGCGCAGCGGCGCATCTCCCTGGGGAGATCGCACGAGCGCTGCGCGACAACCAAGATACAGAATATATCCTTGATACACTTCGGGGTGTTGTATCGAAGAAGCTCTCCAATCTTATCCTTCTGCCGGAGAGTGAGCTGGAAGCAGATCGGCCTCTGGGCGACTTCGGCTTGGATTCTATGCTGGCTGCCGAGTTTCGAACGTTTATTTTCCGCACATTCGAGGTCGACGTACCCTTCATTGTGCTCTTGAAAAGGAGTACGACTGTGAATCTTCTAACCGGACTCATTGCCCAAGGCCTGCAAATGAGTACTTAGTATTTCTTGATTTAGGTCCGGCAGTCCCATCAGTTCGCCCTTCTTATTCTAGTTATTTTTTTTAGCTTACACCAGCAAGAATGGGAGGTCCCCATGATGACCCTGACCAAACCAAACTATATCCCACTTCATCGTATATATATGTTGTAGTGTATGCCGGATCCTAGGCCCTCTATGTGAATTTCCCGATCGAGAGGGGGTTATAATTAGGCCGAGGGTATAAGGACAAAAGCCTGGAACACAGACGATATTGGAGGTTTGGGTTCCTTTGTCCAGATGAGATTACCAACCATGCTTCTTAGATGTGTAGTCTGAGCACTACTCATACCCCCAAGTGAATATGATATATATAAGCTTGTCCGTTGGATAGAAATAACATTCAGCTAAAACATTGAATCTTCCTGGTATCTGCAATATTCTGTGATATTCTTAGAACTATCTCGCCTTTTAATATGTCGCTTGCTCGATCAAACATGGCTACATCTGTGGACTCCATCAACATCTTCCGGGTGGATGGCATTGTGGCTGTTATTACCGGCGGTGGCAGTGGTAAGTCTTCTTAATTCCCTCTTCATTGTATTAGCAATCCTCATCTAATTTTACAGGCATTGGTCTGACTATGACCCGGGCCCTGGCTGCCAACGGTGCCCACAAGGTTTACATTCTAGGCCGTCGACTGGAAGTTCTCGAGAAGGCCGCTGCCGAATATCCCGATGTTGTCATCCCCCACCAAGCCGATGTGACCTCCAAAGCAGACCTTCAGACGGCTGTGAATCGAGTCAAGTCGGAAGTGGGCTATGTTAACGTTGTTGTCGCCAATTCTGGCAGCATCGGACCCCCCGTACGGTTCAACCCGGCAGCCTCTCTACCAGACTTGCGCGAATCTCTATTCACCAATTTCTCGATGGAAGGCATGACCAAAGCTCTCAACCTCAATATCACTGCTGCTTTCTTCACAATGACTGCCTTCCTCGAATTGCTCGATGCAGGAACGCAAAACGCCTTGGATGGCGGGTTCGGCAAGCCCCTGAAGACGGGCAGCGATGTGCCCTCGATTCAGAGCCAAGTTATCTTCACGACAAGTGTCTCGGCCTTCAGCCGCCACTAGACCTCGTCGCCACCGTATCTGACTAGCAAGGTGGCGATCATGCAGGTGGCGAAGCATGCTAGTACCCAGCTGGCCAGGTTTGGCATTCGCGTCAACGCCATTGCTCCTGGCAGTATGTTTCTCTCTTCTTACACCTGGACCCATCCCTATACTAATGCAGGCGATTATTTAGTCTACCCCTCGGAGCTATCATCGGTTCTTATTTCAAGCCGCAACCCCGAGGAAGAGACCTTCGAGGATGATCGCTTCATCCCAGCCCGCCGTTTCGGAGGAGATGAGGAAATGGCCGGTGCCATTCTGTTTCTGACAAGTCGGGCAGGCAGCTACTCGAATGGATTAATCCTCACTACCGACGGTGGTCGCTTGTCCGTCATGACCGGTACATATTAGGTTCGAAATGGGGGTTGCTGTTTCTACTGAATATGGGGATTGTTGTGATGGGAGTTGAGAAATCATTCAAATTGCTCTAATCTCTATGTGATGTCTAGTAGCGTGAGGATGTCTAATACAAAAATTCCAGTGTTTACTAGCCTCAACTTTCTCTGTGATGGACTTAGGACTGTATCCGTTGACGGCCGTTGCCGGCGCTTTTAGTTTTAGCGGCGGCCGACAGCAGGAATTGCGTCGGATCGATGTAGTTTGCGTGGATCCCCATCTTTGTCTCCCGGATTATAAGGTTTATATACTCAAACCGCGAGATTTTGAGAGTTGCATTGGATGTATGCTAGTGGTACTCCCTCAGTTCGTCAAATACTCGACCGATTTCAAGCGTTAAAGCCAATGTTTGGAAATCCAAGACAAAAATAATCTAGGGGCCAAAGCAAGGCCACAAATTGGTCGAAGCCTTCAAATATTTTCCTCGTTACGTGATATTCGTATGAGAGGAAGGTCAATTGCTGGAGATACTGCCCAGGTGCATTGATGAGATCGTACTAGCAAGCACCTCTTTTCTTCTTACTCGTCTACCCGTACCATGCTCTCTATCCTCGCTTTCTCTTCAAAGCTGTAATTCATCCCGCTGACGATGCGCACCACCGCGCTTGGAATTGGTTGAGTGAAGCTTGCAGCTGAGAATCCGGGGTCGCTGATTGATAGTCATTGATATTTTTTCAGCGCCGCTCGAACGATATACAGGCAGCTAGGGGGAAGGTGATCGATTTGACTAATGGGGAGGTGTTCGTGCGCGGTGGCGATGTCAATGACCATTTTAGTGATTGTGTCCAGGGCCTGGTGGGAACTATTGCTTGAGTCATAGGCCCTCGGGGAGTCTCGGGGACGTTGGTCAAGGAGATGCCAATGGAGAAGAAACAATGCACTATGCGTCCCCGTCAAATTAAATCGCTTATTTTGAGAGATGAAATCATGAGGTGGGGGGACAGACCGGATCGTTAGAGCGATCGGGACACAAAGTACTCTATAGTTGCCCCCGTGTTGCTGCATTATAACAGCCAGAAACGACTGCAGTGTCCGATCGCATTCAGTTAGATGTGCGTGTTTCTGGTCTGGATCCGCCATGGATAGCGCCTACAGCACCCCATCCAGAAGCCATGCCGCTTGAGCGGCTCGCCCGAAGCCACCAACCTGGGGAGAGTTCAGGGCCTGGATCGCGAGGCCAGATGTGAGCGCCGTAGGGAAATTCCTCTGGTCTAGAATTGCGGGTTCGAGTGGTAGACGATCATCGCTGGCGGGCATCACGGACCCCAATGGCTGATTCACAATCGCTAGCTCACACAGGAACGTTCTATGCCGCCGTCGGCCGATAATCGCGTAGTCGACTAACCGTCACATGCAGTAGAGAGAACCGAGTACGTACCGCTCACATATCCGGATTCCCCACCAGGTATTAATAGCCTCTTCTTCTGCGGTCCAATCGGTCCGCAGCGGATCAGTTCTGGTCAGGGAGGGGGTGGATCGAAGCCGGGCTGCATACGCCATCCGCGTATAGCTTCCGATGGTCACGAAAGCCCGCTCCGGATAACCATGGGCATACTCGTACACCGCCAACAGCACGCCGGCTTGAACGAGGTGGGTTGTGGGCGCGCAGAGTGCTTGTGCTTGAGCCATGAAGGACTTGGTGGCAGTGTAGAGTGTCAGATATTCGACACGGTGCCCTCCTTGCTGCCCTAAATGGTCGGGCGAGTCTGCGGAGTAGATGAGTAACGCCATGCATAGAAGGAGTAAGGCGAAGTCAGCCTGCGGATTGGCCCCAAAAGAGAGGAGGTGGGTATGGAACCGCCGTCGGGAGATGATGGGCACGAATGTGTGAATACCCTGGAAGTATCGGACACTGATTTCATCAAGATACAGCCCCATAGTTTCGAGTAGCCGCTGAGCCTGGACACACAGTGTGGGCTCGACCGCTGAGCCCGGCACGCCGTCGGGAATGTGCGGGCTGCATGCGAGGAATAGTTGCGTCGAGGCACTAACAAGGTTGCTAGCTCGCAGAGCGCCAGCGCTTTTTCGAAGGCCACTGGGGGACAGGGGCCTGGTTGCGGAGGCAAGGACGGAATCTGCGATTGATCGATGTCGCGGCCTATGATTCGAGGTCTGATACAGACAGGGTAGATTATGACTGCAGGCGCTAGTGTATCAGCGCGCATTCCGGCCGTCGGGTGGTGTAGAAGCAGCAGCATGATACTTGGCACAGTAGCGACAGCGTGGCAGAGACTTGTCACATCGTTTCTTGCGAGTCTTGCAGTTGGCGCATACATTAGGGGCCTTCGAAGTGGCGGCCGCTGGCATGATTGCTTAGCAATGAAATTGACAAGCTGGCGAGATTAGAAAGAGTCTCATGCGGCTGTCAACTTGTCTTGTCTGTCCGGGATCGTCGGCCCCGCCGTCATTAGCGGCCGCTGCTAGGCCATTTACAGACAAGCCTACGGCTTCAGTTTTACTCAGTGAACAAAGAGCGGCAAAGGGTGAGCACTAAAACAGAAAGGAAAATACATCTTGGCCTAAGAGGTGCCTATGTATCGTGCGGAAGACTAGACGTGGATGTTCTTCTTTTGGAAGCATATGTTCGCTGTGCTAAAAGGGTAATACAAGCTATGTACATGTACTCGTGAACAAAGTCTCATTCATCCAACCCAATGTCCCTCTCCTTCCTCAAAGTTGCCTCCTCCGTCAAATTGGCATCACCTCTCATGGCCCGACTCTCCTCTTGAGTTGACACGTACCGAATCAAGCTTTCACACAACCGATCCAGAACCCACTGCGGTTCCGTCTGTTTTGCCAACATGGGACTGTTCTCACCGATCCAGTCCCAATTGAGAAGTCCATATTCGTCTTCCTCCCTTACCTGATGGTCTCTCTGTGATAGTGGCCGAGCTTGCGGATCAGTGAACTGAATAAGCCGGGTAAACTCAACCCATTCTTCGTAGGAATATCGTTTCCGCTTTCCTTCCCGTGCCTGTTTTGTGACGCGGCGAATAGCGAAGGCAAGTTGCTTGGCAAGCTCGAGTGGGGTAGGATCGCGGGCAAGTTCCTCGAGGGGTGGGTGCGGATGAGACTCGGCCAAGATATCGCTTGGCATATTAGATTCACCAGTGTTCTCTGGGTCTACTCGTTCACCGTTGTCGGATTCATTAGCTCCCTCGAGGGGGAAACCGCGCTTTCGTCGCTTTTTCTCTTCACGAGACTTCATGCACTGAGCAATGCCGGGAATCCGACCCAAGAATATCTTGTAGACCTTGGATTGAGGAAGGACCACATAGTCGGCGACTACATCGGTGCCGCGCTTGAAACCGGCGACGACTGTGTCGCTCATCTCGGAAATAAGCATGGTCATGGTTGGGATGGCGATTAGAGACCATACCACAAAGAATGGTCTTCCTGCATTCGACTGCGGTGTGAAATCACCGTAGCCGATGGTTAGAAGGGAGACGAAGCAAAAGTAGAGTGATTCAAAGTAAGTCCAGCCTTCTAATTTCCAAAACACCACTGCTCCGCAGGACCACACTATTCCGAATGCAACGATGCTAATGATCAAATTGTTCCAGCGACGGAAGCGCAGAGTATCAGACTGGATACGGCGCATAGCGTTAAACCGATCTTTTTCTTCGCGCATGACAATGATCCTGGGTCGGCGAGCCGTGGCAATGGCATCGATGGTGTTACGAATCGGCCGATGCCGATGGCGGCGATGGGTGTTAGATTCTTGGAGAGCGAGAGCCGGAGGGGTGATAACTCTCTCGCCACTCAGGCGTCTCCCAATGGGATATTTGAACTTGTGAAAACCGATTGCTCGCTCGAAAGTGGATTCCCGTTTGTGTTCAATGTGTCTCCGAATAACATTGTCGTAGTGAACCTCGCGAGCGAATTTAAAGATGCTTTCCACAACCAGACCCAAAATAATGATTCCAATCACTGCATACGGCCAAACAAGACCTCGACCAAGGGCAGTGCTGGGGGTTATGTCGCCATACCCTAATGTGAGAACGGTGACATCGGAGAAGTACAATGCATTGCCGAAAGAGATCCCGATCACTCGCTGGAAAATAGCAGCGCCAATTAATAACCAAACTACCAATGCAGTCATTTGTAGAATCAAGGTTCGTTGCTCATAGGTCAGCGCGAAATGTTGTGGGTATTTCCCAAGGAAATAGCCTAGCATGTTGATCATCAAGATGAGGCTCAAGGTAAAATAGAGGACTGCCGCAATGACGGCACTCCAATAAGCCTGCGAGTAGACCCTATCAATGCCTACCGGAGGAGCATAGATAGATGTGGCTATGATAATTCCACAGAGCTAAAACCATCGTTAGGTTTGGGACATACAGAACCAGAGGCATTACTCACGATTCCCGAGGCTAGAAACCACATAATGATCGTCACAGGCAAAGCTATGATATAGCGTACGATCTGGGTGAAATTGAACAATAAAAACGCATTGCCCACGATTCCGCAGAAAAGCGAAATAGCATTTAGGACAGTGTCCCTATTCGCGGTGTTAGATAAACCTGATTCAGGGTACCTTCTTGCTTTGTACTCACCAACGAGGGTCTGGATATCCTACTTGGGGGAGGCTTCCATCATCAGAGTCCTGTGAGAGAACTTTGCTTCGCCATGGCGTAACCAGCGCAGCAATTGACATGATATTGGCGAGCGGTCCCGTTGTAGCAGCAATCAGCGGGATGGCCGTTGATGCAACCCACCATGACTGGGGCTCGTCATCCTCAGACGGTCTCATGTGAATATGACCTCGGATCCATTCCCACGGGGATAGTCCATCAGACTTGTCATCTGTGGACGTCCTACTTGTCATGAATCCATGACGCATTGTTCATCCAGCATGACCATGTGCCTAAATCGGGGGCAGATGCAAGTGCAATGACCCTTGTGGATCTGAGACTCTTCCGGATTTCTTAAAGCACCAGGTTACTTGCCAGGAATGAGATGTTTGAGTTAAAGGAAACTTCAAGGGTGGCATCCTCATCTGTTTTTTGCAAGGTGAGATTGCATTGGGACAGCGGGAGAAGACGGATAGGAGCCGTAGTAGCTATTGACTCTCAGGAAGATCTCTAAAGAATATCGACTCGAATAATATCCCAGATAATCCTCATAATCCGAGGGTTGAAGCACTAGGTACCTACAGGTAGCATCACGCAGCGAATGATGTCAATAACCAGCTCTGAAAGCCGGTGGTCCCGTGACCGTTCCAAACGCGTCATCATTCTTCGACACAACATTTGAACTCTACAAGTTATTGAATATAAGGATTTTGAACAAACTTGGCGAATATGTTCAAAGAAACCCCAAAAATCGGCCCGACAGGGCAAATAAAGTTGCATAGCCACATGGACTTGGAATCCTGGCCCCAGCTATAACGTAGGTAGTCATTACTTTATGGCCGAGGTCTCACTTACGCAATCCCATAGGCTTCTGCTTTTATATTGAGAGACTGTCTTGGCCTTTCCGTCATCCAAGGTCCACAATATACATATGGCCGCTCGGTTCTTTTCTCCACCTCAAACCCTCACAGCCAACGTCTCACAAAGCTCTGACCCCGAATGACGGGGATTCATAAACCAAGTCTAAGCCAATATATAAGAACTCCTAGCACCTATTTAAACATGTACATGAGTAAAATCAAGAGTAACACTTCCCTAAAAGCTTCATTTGTCAAATCAACTTAATATCAACCAAAACTTTTAATAGCCGTCCCCATCCTTTCTAAATAATGCCGCATATCCAGGATCACCATGCAACCCAAGACAAAGCCACAGGTCATGCACGCAACCCCACCCCTGCACCTCAGCTGTGATAGGATCGCCACACCCTCGGGTACCAACCAACGTGCATGCAGATGAATTTCGATATCTAAACCAATAGCAGCTGTAATCACCTGCATGAGAAAACAGCGCTGGGACCTACATTTATATGAAAACATCATTCAAAAGATAGTACCTGCTTGGGAGGCTGAGCCAGTAAATAAGCTCTTTAATATTAAAGAGCAACGGGTTATTCTAGATGTGTATGGATCTACGGGGCGGGGTACTGATCAACAGATACACAGAGACATTGTGCATAGGAAGCGCCGGGGTGAGGGGTAGCTCTCTATCACATCATTTGAACGTGGAAATAGTACGGTTTGGATAGAGAATGTAAAGTATAACGAGTGACGTTTGGGTCGCGTTGGTTCTATATACAACCCGATTCCTCCAATCAAATCAACAAAACAGCAGGGTAACAGTGGTAATGCCAAAGACAAAGGAAATAAAAGACGGAAAACAAAACAGAAGCACGTATGTAAGAAATCGCAAGATGGTATCATCGAAGCAGAGGTGACACGGACTTCAACAAGACTGAACGGACTTGACGGCCAGAAACGAAAAGATTAAACGAGGACGCCAGAAATGGAATAGAATGGATCAAGTGGACGCCGTCCATGAAACGAGATCAAAAGCAAGGCGCCGGCACCAGAAAAAAAGAAAACAAACACAACGATCTTTTGGGTCGAACCCTAGGCAACATGTGCCGATGGATTCCGAAACAGTAAATGCGACGAGCAAAGCCAGCCGAAGCCAAAGCAACACGCTCCAAATGCAATTCAACAAATGTCAAATGCTCCAAGTGTAGATAAAAGCAGTAGTAGGAAAATCTGTCTCTTTGGGGGGTATCGCTCCCTTTGCAGTCGGTATATAATAAAAAAAAAGCGTACGAAGGAAAACATCCTATGCAGCCGCCGGTCGGCGCAGGATGTCTTCACAGTTGGCGTCGAATCGCATATTCCAAAGACGAATACTATTCATGAGCTTCTCGGTATTTTCAAGCTCACGGTCGCGACCAAAAATCGATTCGACAAATTCACAACCTGCATTGCGACCCATCGATACAGGTCCTTTGCCACCTTCTCGCTTGGCGGCCTTCCACATGTAAAGTTCGCAGCCCTTGAGGAGCTTCTTGAATCGGGACCAGAGGCGCTCGCCACTTTCCAGGAAGTCTTCGACGACTTCCTGCGCATCCACACTTCGAATGCGGGGGAGGCATTCGTCGGCCCTCTTTACTTTGCCTGCCAGCTTGATCAACAATAGCCACAAGTCGCCCGCGACGTCGGCCATGGGCGTCGATGCCCCGTGATGAAAGACGGTCCAGTCGTAGATCCACTTTCCGAGGGAGTTTGCATCAAACACACTACCAAGCAAGATGATCGGCGCCTCGGTGGGGTCCCAGTTCTTGATCGAATAGCCTGCGGGGATCCCTGCAGCCTCGGCGTCATCTTCTGTGGCGATGGGTGGCGGTTTGGCCGTGGCAGGTGGTGGTTTTGGTTTGCTGGGAGTACGAGTTGACGTAGATTGGCGTCTGGTGCGAGTGCGCCTGGCAGCTTCGATATCCTCGTTGTTAGGAGCCTGAGTGAAGTAAAAGTGAGAATCAGCTGGATTTGATTTGCGGTAAGAGGTCGAGGTGCGACGCTGGCCTGGGCCATCTCGAGTGGGGTTCGAGGTCGGGGGACGACCTTGGCGACCGGTACGGGGTTCGCGGGCGTTGGTGCGCACATCGAATGCTTCGTCGACCACATCTACGAAGATGGGTCGAGTCTGCGATTGCGACGAATAGTATCCGTTGCCGAGGCCATCCCCCGTAGGATGACCGGTCGAGGAGTATCGGTGTTTGGGCTTTCCCGCAAAAGAAGCACTTACATGATCGTGCTTTCGCGATGGAATGCCATAGTCTGGGGAAGCTTCATAGTAGCCTTGTGGGTAGCCAGACGTATAGTATGGTGTTTCTTTGGTGGCCGTGTAACTGGCCTTGCGGTTGTGTCGTCGCGAGGTGCCCCGGGGTGAAGCGTAGGAGTTGGCGAACTGAGAGGCGTAGTAGGCGTATTGAGGTGAGGTGGGAGGTGATTGAGTGTACTCGTAGGTGGACCACCCGGGCGGTGGACTGGAGTAATGATACATTATCGCACGAGCATATGGAGAAGTCGATCAGATAAATGTAAAAAAAAAGGCCGGAAATGCAAACAATCCAACAGTTAAAATGAAAAAAAAAAAAAAAGAACACCAAGTATATTATACAGGATATCGTGCACCCAAACAGAAATCGACGCCGACTTTAGAGCAGGTCAGATAGGGTTTTTTTTTTGAATAAGACCGTCACCGTGGTACGGTTTCCGATTGAAGAGAGGAGGGTTGAAACTGAATGTGCTGAGAGAGCATTTGAACGTTCTTCGGTCAATCCGAGGAAAAGAGAGAGAGTGCGTTTAGGGGGATCCTAAGACCCAAGATCTCCTGATAAAAGGAGATTGAGGAAAACAAACAGCAGAGAGGCCCTCTCCAAAAAGATGTTAATGGCTTTGAATTCAGAGAGGGAAAATTTTCAACCCGATGAAAGGGAAAAGGAAGGAAGATGGATCCCTATGTCAGCGCCGGCGATATTGGCGAAGGCGCATCCGCTAGTGGGCGGCGCGTGTGAGTTGGCGTTGTGGGTTGTGGCGTTTAACTTTCTTACATGTATTGAATTTCATGAATTTCAAGGTATTTTATTCATTTCCTTTATATTTTAATTTAAGTATATAGTAATTCCTTCTTCTGGATAGTCCTGTCTTTTATAGCTTTTGCGCTCGACCCCATTACATATCATGACTCAACTTTATGTGGCAAATACATTCGAGTCACCATTCTAGTATAAACTAGTACTTTCTATCTCACTCGTAAATCTACTAGAACCAAAGTACCATCAAGTCGCGATGTCTCTACCCCTCAAGCTAGTCCAGATGGAGACGCTTCCATTGGACGCTATATGCAAACCGCTTGGCTGATAGCCCCTCAGTTGGATCACGCAGCGGGCAACTGCATTTTCCTCGGTATCTTTGAATTTGCCGGTCTCAAGGCAACTGCCTAACGAGTTTTTTGTTTTTTTTTATTATCTGGTGGACTGACTCACTTTAAGGCAGACAAAAGAAAAACAGGCGTGAAGGTCGCCACTAAGACGTAGGGCCATTCTATAAAAGATCCTACTGGCTGCCTTACAGATGTCGATGGAACTAGTTTAGATCAGCTGGCGTGTCAGGGTTGGGTTGGATAGCGCAAAGCCATGTGCTTGACTTCCAGAACTAGGCTACATTTTCCATGCTCATCTGCATGAACACCGTCATTAGTTGCAGCACGCAGAATACTGTATACGGTAAAATAGTACTTTATATCATTCATATAGAATAATATCCTCTTTTGCTATCGGCAGTATTTGAGACACAGTAACTACCGATATGTACTTACTCGCTAGTTATAGGCAGCGCTCGATGTATGTTGTATGCAGCACTAAAGCCGGTTCCATGGTTGAACCAGCGGCATCCCAGATTTCACGACGGCTCATCCCGCCTCGTCCAGTGGTTCAGACTCCACTAACACCCCAGATAGCTCGGACAATATGTATTCTAATGTTATAATGTTACTAGTAGTATCTGTAACATATATACGAACACGTTGCCATGGCAAGACACTAATGAGTCCCATCACGATATCTTTTACACATCCACTTCGCACTGCCATGTTGGGCGACATCACGGATCATGCATGGGCTTTACCGCTGCGTCGCTGGGCAGCAACGGCCATTTTGGGCAAAAATATAGAGATTTCGCAGACCGCAACTTGCTTCTTGGTCTGAGCAATAAGTTGAGTGGGCTGAAAAATCTTCCGTCTAGCAAAAATAGCCATTATCAAGTATGAAATGGTGCGTAACGGCAAAGCGTTAGGATCGAAGCTGCATAATGGGGGCAGTGTCCTCCAACCGTAAGCAAAATGAAGTCATATTTGGATCACTATTATGTATCCATTTTTACGCAGTTCATTATTTCAGCGTGGGGCGATAAACAATAGGCGACTTGCTATCGTTACGATCGCATTCAAGTTTCAAGCCCTAGTCTGCCTTTTCGGGACTGGTCTGACACTATCAGATGCGCAGTGTGCGTCATGACTAGCAGTGCTATCTGGACTACACACCAATATCACTACATTCACAACCAAATATTCTCCTATTCTATGAAACAGGGCACATGCCTCTGTATGTTCAATGTAAATGACACCGCAACTTCGCGCCACAAATACCACGAATACCAACATAGTTTTTACGCTCACGCACCGAGGAAAGGGATGAAAGATGGAATCTTGAGCACGTCCTTGCTGCCCACACAAAAGAATCCCAGGTCCACCCCTGATTCGAGGGATTTGTTTTTTTCTTGAATGAGTCAACCCTTCGAGAATCCCCCTGTCTTAGCCAACCAGATAAAAGGCAAAAACCCGTCCTGCACTGCCGATCATCTATGGTTGCACATGGCCTTTCTTTTTTTATTAATCCAGAATTAATTAAATCTCCTAACATGTTTTGATTGTATCCGCAAGATCTCACATGCAGGCGACAGACTAAAAAAAAAGAAAATATAGCATCTGCCGACCATAGATAAATCAGCGTCTAACAGATCTTACTCGACCCCTATTTTCATTTCCTTTGCCACCCCAAACTCATCTCAGCTGAGGGCAAAGAAAAAGAGAGAAAATAAAATGTATTTAATATGGCTAACTCGCCTAGTCATGGAATTTCTAGAACAAGGTTTAAAGCCCAAAACACCAAGGCCGCTAACAAGGTTGCAGGGGGGCCAACGGGCTGGAAGCCGGCACGCATAATCCCTCGGCTGTAGGAACATAACCTTGCACTGGTGCACGGGGACACATCTTTGTACACCGTCCCCCTGAGCGAAATAATTGGCTCTGTTTAATTTATATCCCTTCTTGTGCGGCTAGCATAGGTAAGCTTAGTATGACCTACATTAATCATCCAGATTTATATCCTCTCGGCTTAACACCCTTGGATAACCAGGTTTGGGATATACAACATATAGGGGGTGGACGCCTAGATCCGTGTGGGTACACCGTACTACAATTTACAGACCCCTGGTAGACTACTGATCTCAATGTGGGATTGGTAAATTTGTTTTTGATATCAAGCCCGCCAAGTCTGGAAGTACAGGGGAGCGGTAATGATAACAGCCTCCTTCACCTACTTATAAGCACCTACCTCTTTACCCCCTAGCCATCTAATTAAACATGCACGCACTGGACAAGGTCCATGAAACCATATCACATGAAGTACTCCGTAAATTGCAACATCCTATCTATCTGCCACCCCTTGCACAAGCGGACGTCGGCTCTGCCGGAGAATCAAAACAAAACCTTGATCACATTTTAGTGTTTCTTGGTATTCTAGGCCCGGTTGGAATACTAGCGGTCGGGGAGATCCTCGAGGGTAATTGGTACGTGTATTGTTCATAGGCTTTTGCGTCGAGCTTTTGAGGATTTCGTTGTGCGTGCTGATCATGTAGGGCTTGGGTGGCTGCCCTTGCCCTGTGCCCTATAACATACTGCGTAAGCGCCTATAGGTCAAGTTTTGGGCTACAGTGCTTGTTGGTACTTTTGTAGTTGCACTGTGTGATGTGTGATAGGGGACATGGCTTGTGTTAGGTTGCTACGGAGTATGCGGTGGTCCTTTGCGTGTTTTTTTTTGTTTTTTTGTTTTACTTTTACGCATACTTCTACGGAGTAGCTGGGGACGACTCAGTTATCTCCGAGTGGCTTGGTCCAGCCCCTATTCTTTGGCCTTTAGGTCTTGAACTAGGCCGTAGAATATATTCCATACAACGTATCATGAGGGACTTTTGCTCAGGCGGAGCAGATGATTGGGAATTGCTTGTGAATCATGGGAGAACGGTGAACCGGTTGATTCATGCATTCATTGCATGGACAAGATTATATGTATATATTTGAATGGTTATCTTGATTCTGTAGATACACAGATATGCATGAATTTCTATTTAAAACTCTATAAAATGTGGGAAATAAGAGCAGGTATGTATAACGTAGACGGTATTCGCTGGAGGCAATAATGCTGCATAGAATGGATGGTATCATGTTTGTCGAAACCCAACACGCGAATCGCTGATCGTCGAACAAAGAAAAATCCAATGAGTCCAACAGAATGCTGTAAAGCTGGAAACGGCAAGCATATGGCTTGGGCGAAGATTTAAAAAAGGGATATAAGATGAACAGTCTATGCAACCATGTATTCTCCGTCCCCTCGCTTGGCCTGCATAACTCGGGACCAACGGAAGGCCTGTGATGAAGCTGGTGCCCTGCCGCCAGCCAGCGGAGGCGGGGGACCGAACCCGCTAGGATAAACCGGGAATGAAGATTCATCGGAATTCTCAGCCCAGATCCGTTCCAGAAGCTCTAGGCAGGAAATGTTGTTTATAAAGCCAGAGTCCTTGGAGATATCCCTGCACCGATTGCGGATGATCGAACGGTGATCGTCCTGGACACACTCCGAACCGACAATGAACAGTGGCCAGAGAAGATATACATCCGATTGCACGGTAATGATGCAGTGCATGGCGAGCTGGACAAGGTGCTGGATACGGCCATGACACGATGGAAGGGTCGGCTCGGCTAGACGCTCACAGTAGAGAAGGGCAGCATGACGGAAGCACTCCGAGATCTGGTAGACATCCTGGAGATTCTCAGGTGCCACTTGGTATGTCGATGAGGAATTCTGTGGCGTCACGTAGGTAGTGGAGTTCCACGTCATTGTAGACGCAGATAAGGGCGGAGACGGGAAAGCAGCCTGAGTAGGTGGGTCAAATCGCCAGGATTCGAGTCGCTGCCTGAGCGAATACCACTCTGTCCAAAATTCTGGGGAGGAAGGACGACGGCATGAGTCACTGCTTTGCGGCGGTGTGGGAAGAGAAAACCCGTATTCCGGTACAGACCCCATTCCTGAATTGGGCGCAACTGTTTCCCACCCCGGGAACAGCATATTAGGGGGAGGGAAGTAGTGGAGACATCAGCGTCATTCGGGCGCGATAGATTGGGCTTCTGATCCTGACTGAGGATATTCAAACGTCCCAGCTGCGAAACCAGTTTGAACAGACGACCATCACAGCCGGCCAGGTTCTCCAGACCCCATTCTCCATCAGTTATTGAGCTGATCTGCAAACACGTGCCGGGGAGTTGCACATCACGGTCATTTGTGGTTGCCGTCAATGTATCAAACCACGAGAACATGCGGATGAACCACTTGAGATCATCTGGTATGACACGAGAATGTCGCATTCGGATCGCAAGTAGTCTTGTTACTCCAGCAAATTGTTCACGGAAGCTGCCGACACCAGTATCACAGCTGTGGAAAAGACAGAGCATTAACAAAGTTGCTAGTACGGAGTCTGACATCCTGCGATGAGGGTCGGCCAAGTCAGCATTCAAAGCCTTGACGGCCATCCCTCGATGGTGATTTTCTTCTCTAATGTACCCTTCAACCATCGAGATGCCATAACGATCTTGGAAATCTTCATCTGTGAGGGCGCGGTGAGCCATTGATGACAGACGTGCCGGTAGAGTTCGTTCCGTAGAGAGGTGATTGTGCTCTCGCCTCTGTCGCAAGTTGCTCGTAGACAACGTTGCAATAGCCTCCTGCAGAGCCTCGCTCTCCATCGCCAGGCGTATGACATGGGTTCGGAATGGATTTGTGGGGGTATCAAAGGCAACAATCATGGGGGCAATGACTTCAGCGTAGTAACTGATGAGATAACGAATGCGTGGGGTTCGCCCCACAGATCGAGCTAAAAGAAGCTGAGAGAGTGACGGGGAATGGGCGGCGTTCCAATGTATATGATAATTAGGATCATGTTTGACATCTTCTTCATCCGTGTCTTGTGACGCTGGGGGAGTAGCAGCCTGACATGAGTATGGGCCTGCAGTCGGCAAAACCAGCGATCCAAAATTAGCCGTCGGGGTTTGAATAGGAGCATATAGCAGTGGCGGCTCTGGGGTCATATTTTGGCTCCTGTTGTTTGGAATCCTTGGGCGACTAGGTAACGGAAGCCCCGAAATCGCAGGCGGAGCAGCAAGCGTGCTCGACCACGATTGCGGATCTGGCATATCCATTGTCCAGGCCATGTTTGAAGACATGTCGAAGGCAGCTGGCATCATAGGTGGGCTACCTTCTAGTTTCATAACCGGCGTCCTTGCGCCAAAAGATGCCATTGCAGGGACGGTTGAGGAAGGCAACGGGGCCGAAGCATTGCCCGGAGCCCGTGAAGACGGGCCGCTACCGCTTGAGGCCTTCGGTTGTGATTTCGCAGCATTTCCCGACGATTGCCCTTTCGATTCCATCACCGGAAGCTTCTGACCCCGGAGTTTCCCTCGACTTGCGACTCCAACACCCCATGTCAGTGTCGTCTTGTATCCGGAACATTCGCGGCCCAGGTCGAGGCACTGGGAGCAATAGGGTCGACGCCGGTCACATCGCGCGCCTCGCTTGGAGCAGGCAAAGCAGTCATCTGGTGCCCCGCTGACCACGGTTCTCTTGCGGCGTTTGCGGACCGGAGCATTCGGGTCGATTTTGCGGGATTTTCCTTTGGGCGCGGGATCTGGAGCGGGACGATCTGCATTATCAGAGGCCATCTTTGACGGGCGTGGGCAATGCCCGCACGGAGTCCATCCGTTACAGCCAGAAAGATCTGTTCGATTGGAGTAATAGGTGTTCACGGGTAAGTTCCTCGGGTTGGGGGTTGAAGATTTGTAATGGGGGCGGAAATATCGAATGAAACGAGATCGGCGGATTTGAACAGGGGCTCGGGGGCAAGGTGTATTTAAATAGGAATAGAGTGTCCGATTCTGCAGACTGAAAAAGAAGGAATAATATGACGGAGAAAGGTGTTGGGGGGTGGATATGCGATCTTCCCGGTGGAGGCTGATCCGCGCTTTAGTCGTTTAGGAGGAACTGCCTAGGTGGATTGGGGCGCCTTTTCGAGAGGCAAATCAGGGACTCGTTCGTCTCATTCGAATAGAGTCGCTCAAGGTTTCACATGCGTTATGATTCGATCGTGTTCCATATTTGCCTTGAGGTGGCCTTATAACGTATGTTAGTTAGGAAGGCCTCGGCTTGCAAAGTATGGAATCGGGGTATTTCACGAGTGGTCGTGCCTCTCCGAGATTGAATCCTTCAAATGATCCAATATATTGATCCACATATAACAATATATGTAGATAATAATGTTGGTCCAGGATGTACAACATAAGATGTAGGTACCTGCGTTGTTGTAGACTTGCCAAGCCCGGTGGGCTAATCTTCTTTCCGCCTAAACCCAGACTCCCTGGAACAATGCGCCACAGCTCTGGAACCTGGTCATCGTGCTCTGTCAATCGGACAATATATATGCACCCTTTTCTTTTTCCTTGACTTGGTGAACAAAGATCGGCGTGGCCGTGCGCCGCTCCCTAAACCCCTAGATCAAAGCGCAGTTGCCCGAACTATCCAACAATAATGAGTGCTTTTCGACCGGCAAGAGCGAAAGCGCTCCTGCTAGCGATGCTCACTTTGATTCTAGTGTGCACCGTCTACTTTTACTGGTCTCCGACCACCGCGTCCTCCACCGTCTCCCTGGTTCCAAACACAGCATTCGAGGTCCCCCTCACAGAACGCCAGAAGGACTTCTGGAAAGTCCTTCGACCCATAATTGAACGCCACAACCCGAATTGCCCTTCCCCGGAAAAGCGAGGCGATGTCGAAGCTCAGCACTTTGATCCCACAAAAGACCAGCCGCGACCCGATCTGACGGGCCTGAGCGAGGGAGATGTACGCAAGATGGAAGAAGCCCATGCGGCCTTCATCGAGGATGTCAAGAATTCAGGCAAGCAGTTGAAGCCGATCCATACCTCAGGCAAGCGAGGGCTGGTATCGACAGCTGGCGCTACGTACCTCCCCGTTTTCGTCTCATCGTTGCGCATGCTCCGCCGCGCGGGGTCCAAGTTGCCGGTTGAACTCTACATGAAGGATGCTACCGAACACGAGAAACATGTTTGTAACGATGTGCTTCCCAAACTCGATGCGCGGTGCTTGATACTGGCTGATGTGGTGGGTAAAAACATCATTGAACACTATCAACTCAAGATCTTCGCTGTTCTTTTCTCATCATTCGAAGAGATCGTCTGGATGGATGCCGACTGCTTCCCTCTGGGCAAACCTGAGGACCTGCTCGATTCGGAGCCATTCAAAACCAATGGTCTTGTCACATGGCCCGACTTCTGGGCCTCCTCCGCATCCCCGTTGTACTACAAAATTTCACGCCAAGAGGCACCATCCATGGCTGCCAGACAGTCATCAGAAACCGGAGCATTCTTAGTCTCTAAGAAAACCCATTCTCTAGCTCTTTTGGTGGCTGCATACTATAACTTTTACGGCCCCTCGCATTATTTCCGCTTGTTGAGTCAAGGAGGACCTGGCGAAGGAGACAAGGAAACTTTTATCCATGCTGCCTCGGCTGTAGGCGCGCCTTTTTATACTGTCAGTGAGAGGGTGCAAGCCATCGGACACCCGAATGCGGATGGGCTGTCTGGATCGGCTATGGCACAGTCAGATCCGCGCGAGGACTTTGCTTTGATCCAGCAGGATAAGTGGCGTGTAAAAGACGAATCCGTTGCCCCCGCACCACACATCTTCTTTATTCACGCAAACTATCCCAAGTTCAACCCCGGTGACCGGATCTTTGGCATGGGATGGGAAACAACTCCTACATTGAAGGACGACGGCTCAGATGGACGTGCCTGGACGGCACCCCCAGAGACCATCAAACGATTTGGATACGATGTCGAAAGAACTTACTGGGAGGAAATCAAATGGGTGAGCTGCAATCTCGAAACGGCGTTCAAAACGTGGGAGAACAAACTGGGATTGTGCCAGAGAGTCGAGGAATACTGGGGTCATGTCTTTGCTGAGCCGCATGACGATGACCCCAAGTTTACCCTAGATGGCTGATCACAGATCTCACTGGCACATTTTGTGCCTTGGGCCGCTCCTCGACTTGTCCGACCTCCCCCCTCCCCCCACCGAACAGGATTTCGGTGTTTGGCTTAAATCCAACTGCACTTCGGATATAGGCCTCCCATTGCCTCGGCACCCGTGATGACAAACACTGTCTTGGTTGGCAGTGGGTGTCTTCGATCACCCAATTTTCTTCTGGCTAAATCAGCCGTTCAACCTATTGGAAAGGTTTCAGGTATCCAAGGCCTGTTCATTTGGATTTGTATACGCTGTCAATACTTTATCTTGTACAATAGTTCGGCCCTTGGAATCTCGGGTCTCGTACATATCACATAATTTTGTTGAGGAAGCCGATCTAATGACACATATTCTATTTATTCCTATGTTTTACAATGGCATACCTGGATTTGAACCATATTTTACCGCTTCTCGCTCCTAAGTGGGAAAATGTAAATATGGGACGCCACCTTGATACAGCAGAACAAATAGGATGGAACTATTGGGCCAAAGAGAGGGTTCCGAGTGGTATGTAGCGCTGAATTATCTAAAGGCATCACAAATGGGCACACTTCATTATTGTGGGCAGTTAGGTATATCCAACATTCAAAACAGTCACTATACACAAGCTACATTTCCCCAACACCAATGTAATCTGTCTTATCTTCAATGTGTGTATTCATTCATTGACCTCGTTCTTCATTTAAGAACGTCGACCAGATATCATTATTATCGTACATCATGTTCCAACACCAACCCCTCCATCCCTAGCTAACGAATATTCAATTCTAATCAGAAGACATGAGGGGGTATTTTGTAGCATCAAAAACCATTGGCAAATTTAGTGCTTAATGCCCTTTTCCCGCAGACGCTGCTCATCATCCGCCTGGAGCTCGGCATCAATCTTAGCACCCTTGGAGGGAGCATTGCCGTGTGACTTGGCCTGCATCGAAACCAACGTTAGCAAATGCACCTTGAGAGGCTTGCCTATACCATGGATAAACTTACGGGCTTGGTAGGATCTTGCTTGCTCAACTCCGCCTCGGCGTCGTACTCGTCGTTGTGCGCCGAGGGGTCGGCCTTTTTCTCCTGGGAGGCAAGCTTGTTGGCAATGGAGCGGCCATCCTTGGAATCAAGGTTCTTGTGGCTATGGGGCATTCCTTCGTCGTAACGGGCGCGCTGTTGGAGCTCGGAGACGGGGACATTGCGCTGGTCGCCTGCCTCGTAGACACCACGGTTTCCGACGCTGGATTGGCCTGACATTTTGCGTAAATGTAGAGTGAATTTGAGGTTTGTTAAGAGGTTTGTAGAAGGGCTTTGAAGGATGTAAGGTAGTTTGAAAGTGTAGTTTGATTTCTCTTTACCGTTAAAAAAGCTCAGTCTTATACTTGAGATGCTGTGATGTCATGCTGGAGTCACTGAGATCATAGTGGGGCGTTGCCCAGTTTGAAGGCAATGACAAAAGATCCTTGTTCGGTTTCTGATCGCATTTGCTCTGGACCTTTCCTTGTGGTTCTGGTGTCTGGGTTGCAATCAAGGCATTGGTGTTTTATGACATTGTTGATGCTTTAGAGTTCCGCTTGCTAGTGGCTCCACTTTTATACTTGTTCGGATATGAAGTTGTAGCTTACTATCTATCCTTGTATGAGATGCTCCTTCATATATTAATTTGAGTGTATCTTTGTACTTGATTTCATCTTAGATATGTTTTCGTGGAGTGTGATGCATTCAGTCCGCAATTGGCTTAGGTATGATGTCTTGCTGAAGTAGGAAACACTCGCAAATCTAAGGTAGTATCAAATATCCCATATTTTATTTCTTAAATCCAAGGATTCTACTTTCCTAGAAAGAAGGAAATCGAAGGATTATACTAGGATACCATACAAAATGTTCTGAGCCTGCAGTGACCCACTTCAGCCGTCGGAGTGCACTGCGATTGATGGAGAGATCATAACTTTACGTTGTATTTGACGCTGTACAATATACGCCATGTTCTCTCGATTACCAATCCGAGCCAGCAAGCTGCAGCTGAAGCCCCAAATCAACCTTTCGTTTCTTCTACCATACCAACCGCCAAGAACAACCATGAGTTTTTCCACCGCCACAGCGGAAGTCCAGCCCCGCTACCACCAACTTTTCACCGAGCTAGAGAATCGCTTCAAAACCACCAGTCTAGGCAAAGACAAATGGTACATACTAGCGATTACCACACTAGTCGCCAGCCCAGATCCTGAGCGAGCAGACCAGCTCTACCTCCACCTCACTCAGCAAGCAGACTATGCAACCTCCGCAGCCCGGCAAGCCCTGATCCGGCGGCTGCGCGAGGCGCTCGTCAAATCTGTGCCTATAGTCGGAGTATGCAAGCCCATCGAGGCAATTCTAGCCATTAGTGAGGTCGAGCGTGACGAAGACAAGGATTACACCTTCACCCGCGAGGGATGGCAATGCGACCAGGCCAACCACGAGCGCGGCACGGGGTGGCTGCAGAAGCTGTACGCGCGCAACACGACAGACACGCTGGACTTGTTCAGTGCGCATAAGGACTTTTCTTGGCTGTCCAAGGAGATTACTTACGGGTTGTTTTTGTCAGATCGTCAGGTCTTGGATGATCTTGATACTCAGCTTGTTGTGCTGCCTGGTATCATGAGTCAGAATCTGCCTAAGGAGACACATTGGCATATTCGTGGTACGAGGCGAATTGGGGTTCCCCAGGAGGAAGTTCAGGTTATTTGGGATTGTGTGCAGCTTGTGGCTCAGTTCTTTGATGTCAGGCTTCATAAAGTGCCGACCGTTGAAGCGGTTGAGTATGATGTTTAGACTTGGAGCTTGACTTAAAAGCAGTGGTTTTCGGGGTTTTATATGTTATAACTTCGTAGTATACGAATGGATATGCCTACGAAACTTCAAACGCTCTAGTATTTTGGATTTTAGTTGATTTCTTATATTGTCTTGTATAAATATAGGGGATTGATACAGACACCCCCCCTTTGGATGCCAACACCCCCCCTGCCTGAGGATTCAGGCATTTACTGACCGCTTTTCTCACCGCTTTCATCCTCGAACTTTTATTTATTGCTACCACTACCCTGCATGTATATCACACCTTAGGTACCTCAAATTACTATGTAAATCGCTAGTAAAATTAAGTCACTCCTGTACCACTGTAGTACCTAACAAGAAATCCAAAATAATTGTTGTTTACACCTTCAAACCTCCCATGTTTCCACCCATTTCTCTCGCATTTTATTGCTTTTTACAATGGCTTCCTCACAGCCCGATTCGCCGTCCGATTCTGAGCATGAAGCTATTCCCGAGTCCCCGCCGATGCCGCCAAGCCTCCATCACGCGCCGCCAAGCCTCCATGACGCTATTCCCGAGTCCTACACCTTCCCGCTGCCTCCTTTACCTCAGCAGTACGATACGCCTGAGCAAGGAATTGTCGCGATCAATATCTTCGGCCGCCAGCATGGCTACGCAGTCTCAACTCTTCGGTCGAAACGTACAAAGAAAGGGGTCCTAAAGACAGTTCGCCTATGCTGTGACCGGGGCCGCCGGCTAAGAAACAGCCCGAATAGCCCTACGCGGAAGCGGGAGACTACCTCGCTAGCGATTAAATGCCCCTTTTCGATATCGCTACGGCTTTAAGAAGGCCGATGGAACCTTACAGTGGAGAATCAACACCATAACCATGAGTCCTCGCCTCCTCTTACTCATATGCCACACCGGAAGCAGGAATTGTATGTAAAGGCATCGAATATTAAGAATCAGCTCTAGCAGGGTCTTTCTACCCGTCATATTCTCACCGGCATTTAAAAGGACGACCAGGATTCCTGCCTCACTGCCCGGGATATCTACAACTTTCGGAGGAAGCTTCATGTTGATTTCCTTGCTGGCCGTACACCGCTTCAAGCTCTCTTGATAGAGCTTCCAAAGGACGGCGAATGGATCTTCAAGTATGAAGTTAACGATGAGAATCATGTCACAGCCCTCTTTTGTATGCATAAAACGAGTATTGCATTCCTTAAGACAAATTCATGGGTTATTTTAATGGACTGTACATATAAAACTAACCGGTATGGCCTTCTAATGCTCGATATCGTCGGCTTTACTGCTACGGGCTCAACCTTTTACATCGGCTTCGCATTCATAAAGGACGAGAAAGATGACAGCTACGAAGTCATTTTAAGCTGTCTAGCAGAGGCTTACGAAGCTCTTAGCCTTTAAGCACCCCGGACCATCCTTTCCGATAAGGAGCAAGCGCTAATGAATGCTGTGAAGGTCGTCTTCCCTTCTATAAAGCATATGATCTGTCTATGGCATATCAATATGAATATCATGAAGAAAGCTCGTCCGATTCTCGCAGAGCAGCTAGCAAAAGAGCGGCAAGAGGCTGCTTCCTCGGCTTTATAGCGTCAGACGAAGGCGGAGAGAGACCGAGAGCTTCGAGAAATGGTCCATAAAGCATGGAAGACGATGCTGAAGCGGTGGATTCGCGTCGTCTATACGATCACAACCGTAGAGAGGGAGGAGAGATGGAGACAATTCAAAGAGCACTACAAGGAGCCGATTTTTGAACCTTTACTCCAATATCTACAGAGTGAATGGCTAGACGACTGCCCTGAGTATTTCCTTCATGAATACACCTCCGAATACCTTCATCTCAATGAGATTGCGACCTCTCGGACCGAGGGAGCTCACTGGCTGCTTAAGCAGGGCCTTCAAGTCTCAACTAATGATCTACTAGTGGTCCTTCGCACCTTTGAGAATGCTGTAAAGCTTCAATTTCAAAAGGCTACCGCTAAGATCGAGAATGAGAAGGTAAGAAGGCCTACTGATAGTCGCTGGAAGCAGCTATTCAGGCTAGTTCTTGGACGAATTTCAGCCAAGGCGATGGAGCATACAAAAGACGTCTATAACCGCTTCCTGCCAGCAAGTGACGAGAAGCCGCCGATTCCTCCACTTTGCCGCTGTAATTCGCTAGGTACGGCAGGGTTTCCATGCATTCATCTCATCATACAGTACGAAGTGGAGAACAAGAGCTTTGAGCCTGAGTTATTCCATCAACACTGGCATTTATACAGTGTCTCTGCGCCTCCTATTGACCCGCTACTCCTACTCCAGGATCCTCTCCAAGTACGCCGGCGAGGACGCCCCCAAGGCGCTAGGAACTTCATCGGCGGCGAAAGCACCCAAGCAAGCACCCAAGACACCTCCACCCAGCGAGAACCCTCCGGCTTCGAGCTCATGCTATCCCAGGAAGGTGGACGTGGACGTGGCCGTGGACGTGGCCGTGGCCGTGGCCGTGGACGTGGACGTGGAGGAACACAACAAGCCTCGCAGGGTGATAACGGAGTGGGAATAGCTTCGTCTACGGCCCAGGAAGCCCGTACGGCATCGCCGGCGAGCATTCCTCCTTCATCTCAAGGGTCGGGAATAGCTTCACCGGTCGCTCAGGACGCGAATCGCCGGTCGGGCCGGATCAGGAAGCGGCCAAAGCATTACGAATGGTAATACTGTCGAATTTACAATATTTCTTCATTATTCTCATGCAATTCTCTAAGAATTTGACGAAAAATGGGTGCTGGCCCCTGCAATTCCTTCATTTCTGTAGAGTTTTTGAAAACAGCATCTATTTCCTATTTGGGACTAGCGCTGTGCTTTTGGCATAGTGGTGGTAGAGTGCGAAAGGGACTTCATTTAATTAGGGGGTTGCATAGTAAATGTAAGTACCTCGCTGGTGGCAGAAATATGTCCGGCAGAAAATATGCTGGCCTGAATCCTCAGGCAGGGGGGGGTGTTGGCATCCAAAGGGGGGGTGTCTGTATCAATCCCCTAAATATATCTTGAGTGCATATATGTCAACCATACACCCTTGGACAGGTTGTTGATGAGATCCTATATATTAACAAGGCTTCTCTTAACTCTTCTTAAGATCGAAATAATACATAGGGCTTAGCATAGAACACTGAAATCAATGGACCCTGGAGTACCTGGGCAACAATGACCTATATCGGCGATAACAGCCGATAAGGAAAAAAGTTCGAAAGCGGCCGAGCGCGGGGCCAATATCAACTTTTGAACTTCAATTCTACCCAATTCCAGACAAAATATACAATTAACACAATATGGTCAAGCGGAAAGAACTCGGTGATGTCACCATGGGCGGCACCAAGCCAGAAGAGTCCGACTCCGACGAGGTTAGACTTACACCCTGGACTGTGTGCCGTCGAATTGCTAACAAGAATGACGATCGCAGGACATGGACATGGTCAATGTTGAATTCGAATGGTTCGACCCTCAGCCTATCGATTTCCACGGCTTGAAGAATCTCCTGCGCCAGCTATTCGACAACGACGCTCAGATCTTCGACATGTCCGCCCTGGCAGATTTGATCCTCTCCCAGCCAACGCTGGGATCAACAGTGAAGGTTGATGGACACGAATCAGACCCCTACGCATTCTTGTCAATTCTCAACCTGCAGGAACACAAGGTTCGTGGTTTCCCGCTCTTCCTCTCTACGTTGTACTAACTATCTGCTCCCAGGACAAACCCGTCGTACAGGACCTGATCAACTACCTCAAGACCAAAACCGCCTCCAACCCGTCCCTCGCTCCCGCTGCCCAGCTCCTTTCCCAAACCCCCATCCCTCCCATCGGTCTCATCCTGACTGAGCGGTTGATCAACATGCCCTCCGAGATCGTCCCTCCCATGTACAACATGCTCCAGGAAGAGATTGCTTGGGCTGTTGAGGACAAGGAGCCCTACACCTTCTCGCACTACCTGATCCTCTCGAAGAACTACGAGGAGGTCGAGTCCAAGCTCGACCAGGAAGAGTCGCGGCCCCAGAAGAAAAAGAAGAAGGGTGGTGAACAGGCCGAGCGCTTCTTCTTCCACCCCGAAGACGAGGTTGTGGAGCGCCATGCGCTGTGTGCTGGCTCTATTGATTACACCCACAAGGCCGACGAAGGGCACTCAGACTCCAAGCGTGCGTTCCAGGAGCTGGGTATTCGGACAAAGGGTAGCTTGATTTTGATTGAGGCGACTAAGTTCGAGCCTATGGTTAAGGCTCTTACTCAATACATGTCGTAGTTAATGTTAAGACTTTGTAGTCTGATGCATTTCATGCCTAATTTACGACAAAATATATTCAATTCTAGCCTATTTGCTTTTGTCCTTTGTCTTCTGTACATTCTAGGGTCAGTGTTGCGTCGGCCACATAATTCACATAATTTTCATAAATGTTGAGATTCAATGGGTTGATCGTATCGTAACCTCGCCTATGCTAAGATGCTCCTTATTCCCATTGTGTGCCCTTGAGTCTCTGCATCAGGTACTCGACCTCGACAATCTTGGTCAATGGGATGACACATTCCTATCAAAGTAGCACATAAGTCAGCGATCATACAACCAAAACCAAAACCCCAAATACCTCTTCGTACCTTGTACATAGCAACCACAGCATCAATGTTAATCTTAGGACCATTGTGATCAGGTAAAGCAGGATCAGTGCCATAAGTCTTCGCCTTGAGACCAAGACGCTCAAGAACCTTCATCTCCACAGCGGAATTGGTAATAGCAGCATCGATTCCAGCCCTATCCTCAGCCTTAATCAGACGCACAAAAGTCTCAGGATCCTTCTGGAACTTCGACTCCGCAACGAACTTTCCAAAGTGAATGCGGCGTGACAGTGCCTGCAAACAAGCAACGTCGCATGTGGCCGCAGAGCCATAGTTCTCCTGTGTCTCGCCACGGTCCTCCCGTCCAAACGAGGGGCACACTGTTGGCAGAACTTCTTTGATGTACCGCGCCTTGATCACGTCGTTGACGCAAACATCATTCTCGTGCAGGATGTGTGGGTATTCGAGCGGCTGCAGGATCGGGTCTTCGAGCACGTCTGGGAAGAAGGGGTACTCGTCAGGCGATTGGTAGCGGCGTACTCGGGACTGGACGCGCTCTTGTTCGCAGAGCAAGTAGTCGAGCAGACTGAGCTCGCTGTTGGGGATCTTAACGCCGCCGGAGGCATAGATGGTCTTGTTTAGCGGAAATTGAACCCGTTCGATCATATGGAAGGTAATTGTGTCTTCCATGCGACTGGGGACCTAGAGTATCAGCTAGCAACTCTCATTGTGGCGGAGTTTGGGGGAGTTCATATGGAAATGTAGTGTTTCGCATGAATATAGTGCACATGTGTGTGGTATTGGCGGGGGCGGGGGAGATTAGTAAAGTCTTTCAACCGGAAAAGCTCACATCAACTGGAAACGAATATTAGCAAGGTCCAATGCCTTGGAGGCATCAGAGAGGTCAATGGCGGCATCCATGGCTTGAAATGTGGTGATGTGTAGATGGAGAGTCTGCGGGACTGACGGATTCGTCAAGTCTACTCCGCTCGTCTTTCCCATTATACATCGCAGAAAACAGAGGAAACGAGATCTGCTGTGTCAGCAGCTCTCCTTCTCGTACGTAGACCAATTTATTAATAAGAAAAAGACAGTGAATAAGGAAGCCTTCCAAGGATCTGGTCTATGATCTATTGGATTTGGTACTTTTGGACATGCGACCGAGGCACTTGCAGGAACACCACAATCTAAAATCAACACCCTTGAACATCCTTGCATTTTGACCAATATTGATCGAACTTAACCAAATTTAGTCAAGAGGTGAAAGCGCCTGGGCTGGTTTCAGCTTGTAAAAGTACCATACGGCAGAACCCGGGGGAACGCGGTAAACTCGCGTGGGACACCAAGTCTCCTACTTCCACCTACCGCAAGCTGCCAACTTTCCCCTCGTATCGCATGGGTTTTGGTTGAGCGCAAGAAACACTTGGCATGGAGAACCAGCGCCGTGCCGACTCGCCGTCGGGTCTGTCAGATATCGTCGAGGGCGATGGCCTTCTAGGCACTGGTTTAACGGTAGGCTTTTTCCCACCCTGCGATGACGTCCCCTCACCAAACTGCAGGCTGACTGAATTTCATCTGCGGTGATTGCAGTCTCGTCACATCGAAGCATTCGGACGAAAAGTCACAACAACTGCAGGACACCTGATGGGACCGGGCGAACAGCATCCTGCCCACTTGAACCATGCTATGACCGACATCCACCGCGAGCTGCGGCGACCGGCCACGCAGCGCAAGGTGTTCTCCCTAACACAAACAACACCAACCGACCTTGTCCGTTCAAAGCTTTCAACTTCCGAGATCCAGTCCCGTGCCCTCTCCTCCCTCCCGGATGACCTTCTCGCCAACATCCCTGAAGACAACAGCTCCTACTCCCTTTTCCAAGGCTTCCAGGCCTCCGTTCCTGACGAGCAACACGAGAAGAAGCGACACCGAAGGCGCACCTCCAAGGGGAAACTTCTCAAGGATGTTGAGAGAGGTGGCACCTTGTCTGCCGGCCCTGCTGGGTTGAAGGAGCAGCGGAAATCGCTGAGTCGCAAATTGGAGTTGATGGGAATCCGGAAGAATATGTGCAGTGCGGAGATCCACGAGATCGATAACAAGGTCGCCAACTTGCACAAAATGCGCAAGATTGTTCTCGATCGATTGGCCGGTTTGGAAATGGACGAAGCAGGATTGGAGCAAGAACGTGGGTTAACACATCGTGACAAACGGGATCATGGAGAAAAAACTGACGAAGATGGAATAGTGACGGATCTCGATAACAAGTTGGAAGATTTCCCAGAAGAGGAAGAATCACAGGACACAGCAGTTCCGACGCCGCGGTTAGATGGCCAGGATTCTATTGAATCGTCGGGAGATCCAGCGATGGACGCTTCATTCATGTCAGAATCGATTTATGAGAAGATCCCCTCGCCTTCACCAAAAAGTCTACGACATCGATCTAATCGTATGGAATCCTCCGACCTGGTACGCGAATCACAACTGACAGTAGATTTAGGGAAACGATCGATGCCGATTCTACATGAACACTTCGCCCCGGGGTCTTTGATCAAGGAAATAGAAGCGCACACCGACATGGTCACGGCCATGGACTTTGACTATCCATTTGGTACCATGATCAGCGCTGCCCTAGATGATACCGTGAGAGTTTGGGACATGAATGTCGGCCGATGCATCGGTTTCCTGGAGGGACACAATGCCTCGGTTCGCTGCCTGCAAGTGGAGGATAACATCGTGGCCACGGGCTCCATGGATGCCTCTGTCAAACTGTGGGATCTGAGCCGTGCTCGGCCCGTGACTCGGGACGGGCGCCTCAACAAGCACGAGCGTGACCAAGAAGAGGGAGCTTTAGAGCACACCTTCCCCGCACCGCCGTCCTCTAACCTTGAAGACTGCAATGTATTCTCGCTAGAGGCACACGTCGACGAGGTGACAGCGCTTCATTTCAAGGGTGACACCCTCATCTCAGGATCTGCAGACAAGACGCTCAGACAATGGGATCTAGTCAAAGGCCGCTGTGTCCAAACTCTGGACGTTTTGTGGGCGTCCGCGCAGGCATCCTCGTCCATGATGGGTGACTCTGACTGGCGACCCTCGGGTCGCATGCCCGATGCTTCGGCCGACTTTATTGGCGCAGTGCAGTGCTTTGACGCTGCGCTGGCATGCGGTACAGCAGATGGAATGGTCCGTCTCTGGGATTTGCGCAGTGGTCATGTCCACCGGAGTCTTGTAGGACACACGGGGCCGGTCACATGTCTCCAATTTGACGATGTGCATCTGGTCACGGGTAGTCTCGATCGCAGTATTCGGGTAAGCACTCCAGTTTTTCTTCCTTTCACGCTTGACCATATTTCTAAGTTTTCATAGATTTGGGATCTACGTATGGGCTCTATCTACGACGCTTATGCATACGACAAGCCAATCACCGATATGATGTTCGACTCCAAACGAATCGTGGCCGCTGCCGGGGAGAGTGTGGTCAAGGTCTACGACAAGGCCGATGGCAACCACTGGGACTGCGGTCCAGGTGTTGGGCTTGACGACGACGGGCCGTTCCCTGCGACCATCGAGCGGGTTCGCCTTAAGGATGGATACCTTGTGGAAGGACGTAAAGATGGCACTATGGCTGCCTGGACGTGTTAGACATGTAAGATCTGTTTTAGAAGGCGCATACTTGGGGGGTCACATCTTCTTTCACCTCAGCCTTTTCGCGACCATTGTATAGTATTCATTCTATGTCTTAGTAGCGACCGGGAGAATCATGGGCAGGGCCATGTTAGTTATTCTGTATACAGCATGAACAAAGTCCTTCAAACAGGGAAAAGTAGCTGAAACAAAAATAGTGTCAAGATCGTAGTAGTCCGAGGTTGACAAAGAGATCTAACCAACAAAGACTATGGAAGTGAGACCGTAGTTATAAAGAACAGCAGAAATATAAAGAACATGAGATTCCAGAATCCGATATGCATATACTCAAAAAGTCGATAGTTGAGATTCTTCAGTGATCTTCAGATCTCCAGTTGCGCCTCCACCCTTTTTCCCCCATCTATTTTTCCTCACTTCAACCTCCTGAGTCTCCCCCGAATTCTTAGCAACTCAGAGCCCCAGGCTATCGCTCTACTTGAAACAAAGCGAACAACCCCTGGACATTTGGGTGCATCACCCTCGGAAGCTGGTAGCTGGTAGCCGCAAGTCACGTTCCCGTCGCGTCTGCGCGTCTCTCCGGGGTCGCGATCTACAAGCTACGGACATCTACACACCACCTTTCGGAGTCTGCATTTTTAATTTTGTTGTGGTAAGTCTAAAACTATTGTCGCTTTCTTTTTTCTTGCTCAATGCTTGTGGCAATGGCTCTGGTCTGTCACACTACCTACCCATGTTGAATTCTCGTGACACCATCCAGTGTCGCATTATGTTTTGATACGTGAATGTGAGGATGTTCTGTTTCAATCATTGGTATTTTCAAGGTTTCAATTTATACATTGGCTATGTCCTATTGTCTAGGGTTGGTTTGTTTTATCCAGTCCAAAGCTAACATCTCAACTAGACAAAACAACAATTGTTTTTGGAACCCATTCTAGAGGTTCAAAGTACAGATGCCGCCCAAACGTGTTTCACGCCGGGCTGGCGCAACTCCTCAGAGAACACATCTGCAACCCGAATATGAGTCAATCCTCGACCGCGCGCAAGCGCCTGTTTTGCCTAGTGTTCCAGTCCAAGCATCGTTCAACTATGGCGCTACTACTACCACAGCATTACCTCAGCGCATGTCGATAAGGCCCAACATTGGGATTGATCAGATGGCTGGAACAGTCGATGCAAGTCTTGAGACTGCTCGAAGGCGAACAGCGGCTACAAAGAAGAAGCAAGGCACTCAAACACGCAAGCGTGAGCCAACACCCGACGAAACCCAGCTTCAGCAGTCGCTGCATCGTGCAGCAGACGAACACTCCGATCAAACTCCTTCGCCTCCAGTTCCACATTCGGTATCTACGGATAGTCCTGACGCTCAACCACCATTACAACGCCAGTTGTCGAACTCTCCGCTTTATCCATCGCCGCTTCAGCGGATGGGTTCTCCACGCATTAATAGTCCTATAGATAGCTCGCCATTCCGCCACAGCTCTGTTGATAATGCTTCTGTGGCGTCTTGGAATCTAGAGCGTGATATTAACGAAGATGACCTGCAAAGAACGCGACCAAGCAAACATGGGCGCAACATCACAGCGCCACCTCGACGAATTTCTGGCCTGGCTAATGTTCTCGAGGAGGACGAAGAAGAAGAAGAAGAGGAAGAGGAAGAAGAATACGTCAAGTTTGAATCGGAAATATATCATGATTTGGAGCCCGATGTCCCCAAGGAAAGCTTTTTGCGTCGATGGCTAGAAGCAGTGCGGCCCCGACGTCGGGAGCCCCATATTCAGAATGAAACCACCAACGAGGTACGCCGAAAAAGCCGGACACAGACGTTTCGAGCAGCAATGGAGGGCCCATACCAAAACTGGATCCGGGCTGCGTTCTATTTTCTTTTGTTTCTGAGCTTGATTTTCGTGCCCTTGATCGCCGCGAAGCTTCGCGACTATCTAGAGCACGGTTCTCTGGATTGGGATACCTCTTCGAACATAACCATCTCTAAACCGGAAGTTTTCCATAGCCTCCGGAGCCAGGTATCAAAAATGGACGTTCAGATGTCATCCTTGTCCAACGAGCTCAGTTCTGTTCGATCAGAACAGTCACTTTCCAGCGTTCATGACTCGATGCCCACAGACCCAAGCCTCCATCGGAAACCGGTCTACAAGGTAAATTTCCTCTCGGTGGCGTTGGGGGCAATGATTGACCCAGCGAAAACTTCACCGACTTTGGGTTCCAAACAGAGCGCTTCTTTCCGAGCACTCCTCTGGGCGAGTTCATTTGTATCCAGGCGCGCCATTCGAGCACCACAATCTCCCATGTCTGCCCTAACCACATGGGAAGAGGTAGGCGACTGCTGGTGCAGTGCCCCTCGCAACGGAACAACCCAACTATCTGTACTTCTCGGCCGCGACATCGTGGCAGAAGAGTTGGTAGTTGAGCATATTCCCGTGGGCGCTTCTCTCGAACCACAAGCCGCACCTCGAACAATCGAGCTATGGGCTCGCTTCAAAGTCAACCCCCACAAAACACCACTCAAAGCCAAACCAACACCCGAGGCTCGACCTGGCCGTGGCTTCCTGAAAGTCTTCGGTGATGCCACATTGTCACAACTCCCACTGTCAACACATGCCCCTTCGTCCCGTGAAACAGGACTTGGAGGATTCATAATCCCGGGAATTGGTTCGCTTCATGGGTTGGTGATGGATCTATTGCGTCGGAGCAACCCCTTCGAACCACCAAGCGCTTACTCAGACGACCCAATCCTCGGTCCCGACTTCTACCGCATCGGGAAAGTTGAATACGACCTCCACAGCCCAGATTACGCACAGACATTCAAGCTCAACACCATCGTCGACGTGTCAACTATCCGTGTCGACAAGGTTGTCTTCCGAGTGACTTCAAATTGGGGCGCCAATCACACATGCATCTACCGATTCAAGTTACACGGGCACATCTAGGCCCGGCTACAGACTGCGGGTATTCGGTCTTGAGCTTTGATTCGTCTCTTCACAACTCTCTCATGTATTTACTCCCCAAGAGACCAGGTTCTGGCTGGTCTAGAATTTGGAAAAATGTGCTTTGCGATGATACCTTGCATGGCTGCGGCGGCGTTCGATGGGTTTCTTTTGGGTTAGTGCTTTATTTTTTTTCGTCTCGCGATATTTACATATATTTTTTATAGCCATGTCATATGAGAGCCATGATTTTATTCGGGCTTGCTTTTCTCTGGCGCTTTGTTTTTTCAACAGCACGGCTGCCGTGCTTCTCTAGTCCCCGTATGTCGTATAACCGGACCCCATACTATACAGCCATGAGTTGGTTAGCCTCAATTCACTACCACATATTAACAGCCTTATTTTCGCCCTACCCTGTTAGCTTAATGCTTCAGGATTCATACCCTTACAAGCCTATAAATAGTACGTGGTCTATAGGTTCTCATCATTCACGGTCTCCTCCCCCAATAGTTTCATCTTTTCTCATCAGCAACGCCTTCCAATGATACTTCAATACGTTGTCCAACAGATCGATTGAAGATAGCCACCGAGCCCTGTAGTCCAGTAATTCCTACATGTAAACACGTCGATTCATTCGTGTTGCCTTGCGGAATGGCCTTGTATATATGGCTTCGGTTAATATAAGACGAGGAAACAATGGCTGGCTTTTGCTAACTCATCAAGAGTCGCTCCTTCCTACTTTTCCTATCATTGGCTGATTCCTTCCAACGTTCAGCATCACAGCTTACAAATTTCTTATATTATACCTACCCGTGGACCCCCAGGCACGTAGCGCATGTTAAAAAGTCATATCTCGCAAGTTTTAGTCCAACCAACCAACAGCGGGAACAGGAATAGGTGAAACAGCTGGGTATAGACTGTTGTGATCGAGTGCCCCGCACATGTGAGAGTGTGATGGATGCGCTAGCTTATCAGCCGCAATGGCTATATTACATGCACTGCCCCAAAAGAATTATACTTACTTCTTTTTGAATTCTGACCCTCATATTGCCAACATGGGCGACATAAGCAATTCAGAGCCCATGGCGGAAAGAATCTCGCGGTTGAGCCTTGACTACGCATACACTACTTGTCGCTTGGCCGAACCTAGGGAGAAACTAACTCTGGAAGAGGCGAAGGCAATACTCGATAGACTCTACGAGTCCGGAGTGCCATTTTTCACCAAAGAGTTAATCCAATATATGTGGGATCAGACCAAGCGAGACCTAGCGCAAGGCGACACAATACTTACGAAAGACGTAACCGGCGCGATTGTTGCGTACGATGTGGACACGGGGAAGGTTCAGCCATGGGTGCTGGCTGATGATACGGAATTGGAATATGTGTGGTGAGTACATGCCGTTGATAGGCACATGTGTGCTATGGTAAGAATTGACATCACCTAGCAAGGAACTGGTCCTCGATTATCAGTGTCGAGCATCTCTCAGAAACGATATTGATCGGGGAGGATACTCGTTATCACACTGGGAGCTCTGTCCAGTCAGGATCATGCATAAAACACATGAATGGGACAGCAAGCTTGAGAAAATTATTCCACGGCGTGGCCCCCTGGACCGTGAAATGGTTGCAAAAATGTTCCATGACAAGACCCAAGAATGGAAAGAGAGCCCAGCCTGCGAGAAGTTCAAGACAATTCTTTCATCTTCGGCAAAGAATCATGAAATCGACAAGATCGTCACGTTTGCTCTTGGTACGATGTCTCACCAATGTTTTAATGAGAACGGTAGTCTCGAAACTAGCGCTGGATGGTCATCTGCACTTCAGCATGCGCTTCTCGTTACCGTGATGGAATGGCTAAAAGAAAGAGATCATAAAGAGAAAGTCTTATGTTACTCACAGGACCCAGCTTATACCGAGGTGGATAAGAAGATTCTGGACGAGGAAGGCATCGAGGTGATTGATGATCCGCGTGGTTGGCTCGAGGTGGACGAGCACTCGGTCGTACTCTCCATAGCACCGAATGTGCCTGTGAAGGAGATTATTACGGACATTGCTCGACCTGCAGTTATTATTTGGTGTCGAGTGGAATTCTACGATGGACTTGGTCAGGGATAGTGAGTATCAGATCCCTATCCTCTGTTCCATGTGCTAACGAGGGTAGCACGGACCCTGACTCTCCGCGGGTCAGAGCAATGATGGAGGGTTATGAGCTGCATGAGTTTGGCCCTGATGAGGAGATGTTCTGTGATATTGTGGTCTATATCCGGAAGTCGGTTGCTGCCCCAATTCCCATAGATGGAAGATTTCCCTAGAGTTTATATGTCGGCGCAGTGACGCCAGTATACCGGAGGATTTATTACTCTCATGTGTTTTAATCTATGCTATGTAATCCAGGTTCCATAACTAACTGACTAGTTAACTATAAATTGCCAGCAGAGCCGATACAGACATACAGAGAGTTGTATACCATTGATTGGACCCCTACATTTATACAATACGGATCACTCCGATATAATATTCACGCCTGAGGGACCAGGTGTCACGGATATATAACGTAGTTAACTGTTTCACATGCGAGCTGGACACCCCAGAACACATAGTAAAAGCGATAAATTACAACATGATATCGCAACAATGTGTTCTGGGGGTGTCTCGCTTGTGTGTCCATGTGAAATACGTTATATGTATACATATATTGAACAAGGATGATTCGAATGTTCCCGTATAGTCTACTTGACCCTCATTTGAGAGAAATAATTAATTGAATGTGATAATCTGATTAAAAAATAAATAAATCCCATTTTCATCTCCTATTAATTTCCGATTGCGTAGGATATCCACCCCCCACATATCGAAAGGCGGAAGACCCTCGGGACCTTCATCTCTGGTCACGCGCTTTTCGTGCAGCCCATCCTCGTACCTACGCCCCTAATGGCCTCCGAGCGAGCGATCGATCGGGATGAGCGACTGGGCCTTGTAAGTCATTTCACTTTTGCTTTTTCAAAGGGCGGGGGGAAAGACCCCTCTTTATATCTGACGTTGGACATGGGGAATTGTGAACGTGTTGCATGGAGTCACCAGGCGGGATATCCAGATCTTGACTAACGCAAACAGCGTGCCATTCGCGATTTCCTCAAGGCCCGAAACTCCTACGATGTCCTACCCCTCAGCTTCCGACTCATCATCTTCGATACCTCGCTTTCCGTGAAGGAGAGTCTGAACATTCTGATCCAAAACGGTACGTTGCGATTCCACCTCCTTTTTCTACAAAATTCCCGAACAACCCCCAGCTGACCGAAAACCCGGCAATCGGGAGGTACAGGCATCGTTTCAGCTCCGTTGTGGGACTCTAAAGCATCCAAATTCGCAGGTCTTCTGACCACCTCCGACTACATCAATGTCATCCAATACTATTTCCAGAACCCCGCCGCACTGGACCAGATCGATCAATTCCGCTTGGACAGTCTGCGAGGTGCGTTGGGACCCCCGTGTCGCATTCCTGCAGGTACACCCCGCAGCTAACGGGAATATACAGATGTTGAAAAAGCGCTAGGCGTGGCGCCGCCGGAGACCGTCTCCATCGACCCGGAGCGCCCTCTCTACGATGCCTGTCGGCGCATGTTGGAATCGCGCGCCCGCCGTATCCCCCTCGTCACCAGCGATAGTCAGACCGATCGGCCCCACGTACTCAGCGTCATTACGCAATATCGGATTTTGAAATTCGTCGCTGTCAATGTGCCCGATACGCAGCAGCTGCGTCGTCCGCTGGGGGAGCTTTTGCTTGGATCGTATGATAACGTTGCCACGGCTTCGATGGATACCCCCGTCATTGATGTCATCCATATCTTGGTCGAGCGCAGCATATCCAGTGTGCCGATCGTGAACTCGGAAGGCGTGGTGTATAATGTGTTTGAGTCGGTCGATGTTATTACTTTGATTAAGGGTGGTTTCTACGATGATTTGAGTCTCACGGTTGGGGAAGCATTGAAGAAACGTTCTCCGGTATGTAATTCCCGTTTCCTAGTGATATCAGTGATACTTACCGTTCTGCGCAGGGTTTCCCGGGTATCTACACATGTTCCTTGAATGATGGTCTGGACACTATTTTTGATACTATCCGCAAATCCCGAGTGCACCGTCTTGTCGTCGTGGATGAGCACTTCAAGCTCAAGGGCGTTTTGACTCTGAGTGATATTTTGCACTACATTCTTCTCGAGGGAGAGAATGAGGAAGCATGATTGACGTCGAGTTGGAACTCGTGATTTTTCCCATACATATTCCTTTTTGCATCGTTCCGGCGTTTTGATCTGCCCTTGTCCTGAGGGAAACCTCCAAAGACAATAACATTGCTTGGGAACACATGGGCCCGGCGAGGCCATGGCTGTTCTGGGCTTTCTTTTTGGGCTTTACGAATGTACAGAGGTAATGACATGGTTTTCAAAACCGGCTTTGTTTTTTTTCATTGCCTACAGAAATAGAGGAAGATTTGAATGTCAATTTGAATCTTAATTGTTCTTTTTGATACCGTTATCGGACTTTTGATTTTGACGGCTTAATTTAGACATGTAAGTTGAGTACTTAGGAATCTTAAAATAGTCTTTTGGTTCTAGGACTCCTGGTGATCTGTTGTTCCAATGTTGACCATCGAAGGCCAAATACAAGACGTAGCTTCCTCATCTGAGCTCTTTCCACAAGCCCAAGGTTGCCCAAAGCACAACACCGGCCCCGTCCTCGTTACTTCATCGCCATTTCTTCCTCACGTATACATTATCGAAACGTAATCATGCGGCGTCTCAAAACTGTGTTCCGGTCTAGATCTGATCCACCCAACCCTGCTACATCTCGTATTTGGTCAAGACGGCATCCAGCGTCCGGGGGAGACACATTAAAACCTCAGCCAGAAGCCGCTTCGAATGAACTACAACGCGATGAGCCTACAACCGAAGCGGGATCTGCCAGCACGGATGCGAACAAGCCACCTTGCTCGGCCACAGTAGCCCCTGTTGACAATCTCGAGCCTGGGTCGGACGCCCGAGCTACTGGCGAGCTTCCTCGGTCCAAGAATGGCACCAGGCGTCTGAAGAAAATGTATTCTCGCTTGCGTAGCAGCTTATCCCAGGAAGATGATCCCTTCACAGACACACAGCCTCAAACCACGCAGGAGGGTACCCGCAAAGAGAGGCCGAGCTCCATACCTTTGTCCTCCAATCCATTTGAGCCAGATCTCGCTGCAGAGCCGCCCATCTCTGGCAAGTCTGTCAGGTTCGACGAACCTAAGGAAAGGCGGAAGGTCAGCGCTCAGACGACCCTTTCTCAGGAGTCCAGCCAGATTGAGGATACTGTTTGCCGAGACCCGGCCCGGCATATCGTGATGCCTATCCAGGAGCCTTTGGAGGAGTTGGGGTGGTCCGGACTGATGTTATACGACGCCGAATGTAGCAACAATAACAGTCATATACATGAGGACTCAGACCCATTCTCCGACGAGAAGGCCACCGACCGACAAGTCAAGGGATATTCGAGGCATAGTGCAGGCACGAGCCGAGAAGAATCGAGGACTTCCGAAGGAACACTGGAGCCTATCGCTGAGACTGATTTCGATACAATCGAACCAGTTATTGAGCCAGCCCAGCCCGAAGGTGCGGGCTCTCAGAGGGTAAGCTCGGCGAACAGCCAAACAAGCTGGAGCACACTTGACCCGCCAAAGGCTATCTCGGCCTTCAATCAGATGGCCTCTCAGTTTGGTATCCCGATTGCGATTACCGATGGTGATTCTCCACGTACGTCTGTCTTTGCCTTTGTATGAATTGCCACTGACTAGATTCCAGCAGCAGAGACCAATGTTGGGGACCCAGGCGCGAGTCGTCGAGTTGGGTTGTTGGGCAAAGTTCGCAAGGTGCGATCTAATTTGGCTCCCGAAACGCCTCCTTTGGCACCGATTCCTAAGCTGCGACGAATGAAGACCTTTGCCAATCTACGCCGGCTCGATCCGATGACTTCGTTGCAAGGAAGATCAATCGAGACTTTGGCCCGTCTTGGAGGACACGGCTATCTTATGCTGACGGAATTGGCCCCTTGTCCCGCGCAGCTACCCGCGTACATTGTAGCAACGCTGGTGTTTCTGCACAAATATGGTTGGTGGCGGCCCTTTTTTTTTTATTTTACGCCATGACGTGGCTGACTCGGGTTCCTGCAGGGCTTGACACTCCCGAGATCTTCATCCAGTCCGGCGATCTGAAAGCCGTTATTCGTTTATATGATCACTTTGCTAGCCAAGTGCTCGAGGCGGAGAAAGATGAATCTAAGATCTCCCTTACCATGCGGGTGGTTGCCATGCCGCAACCCCGTAAAGATTCGGCGCCCGTGCTGAGTGTGGCCTGGGCCTTGAAGGCCGTGCTGGCGGGGCTTCCAAACGGGATCCTCGGGAGTGTCCGGCTCTACCAGGTTTTCAGGGCGATGTACTACCATTCGATACCAAATCAATGCTCTCACCTCCGTGTGCCTGATTGCATCTCTGAGGCGAGCCCAACGACTGCCGCCCGAGTGCAGCTTATGTGCCTTGCGGTCATCGCCCTTGCCACGGAGATGCAGCGGGATCTTATCTGTGCGATATTTGGACTACTTTCCTTACTGGTGACTGCGGAGACCCAGGAGCAGCCCGGGATGGAGCTCCGTGATCCAGTGGCGAGTCCGAACTTCCACGAGTTGGTGCGGGTGTTTGGACCGCTCCTCCTCGGATCCAGGCAAGAGCGAGATGGCACTGAAGTGGAACAGGAGATTGATGATCAACGCGTGGCAGGGCTGATGCTCAATAATTGGCATTTCGTACATCGACAGTTGCGACACTGGACGAGTGGACGGTACGTGGTGGGCCGGGAATAAGAACACAAAGGGCGTTTCATAGAGACTGTGATTGGACTATTCTAGAACCTTTATACTTCCAGGGAATTCTGTCCCAACCCTGTTTTTCCAAGGTTTTGACGGCTTTGACTCCTGTTGGATAACCCTTCTTTTTGTTTCTACCTTTATTGTTTTTGTTTTTATTGTTTAGTTGGGCTTGGTCTAGGTCTGAAGGGAGAAGGGGTATTAAAATCCAATCATTCATTTCTCTCTACATTCCTCTTCGTGACACTCAAAACATTCACCTGTGCCATTTGTTCGGATCTTCTGGACGGAAGTCTTGTCCGACCGTCCAAACAGGTGACCTTTACATCTTCAGGCACCGACCAAAGCTTCGCAGAAACTTTTTGGTTTAGGGTTGTTAGGGCAAGACTGTCTTAACTTGGCCTTGCTTCCTCTCTTAGAACGGAAATAACTTTCTCATAACTTTCTCTCCAAAGCTTCTCTACACCCGTGACATGTCTAACCTCAAATCCGCAATGCCATCAGGCCTGCCATCAGGGTTACCCCCAGGCCTAACAGATATCAACCTCGGTCCATCCCCATTCACATCTTCCTTCTCTGGTGATTTCCTAGGCCTCCCAATACCAGACGACGATCAACTCTGGGGTCTAAGCCCCGTCTCACCAATGGCGGGCTGGGACAAAGACTCGGGATATGCCCATTCCGCACTCGAACGAGACCTCAAAAACGCCCAAGTCCGAAATGGCCAACCAACTCCACCCCCATACGACGATGGCCGTGAACATTTCTCTCTAGACATGATGGAAAGCGCGAGCAAACGAAGGCGCGTGCGCGAATACAAAGCCGCCGCCGCTAGCCTCAGCCCGGACCTTGACGATGCCCCGCACGAACGCGCCAAGCGGGCTAAATTCCTAGAGCGAAATCGTCTTGCCGCCAGCAAGTGTCGTCAGAAAAAGAAAGAACATACTCAGCTGCTGGAATTCAATTTCAAAGAACAGTCGGAGAAAAAGGAACAGCTCGTTGCGGAAATTGCACGTCTGCGCTCTGAGATTCTCGGGTTGAAAAATGAGGTCCTCAAACATGCTCAGTGTGGCGATGAACCTATTAAACTTCATCTCGCGCAAATGGTAAAGAAAATCACCGATAAAGATGGGGCTCCGTCTAGTGGATTGGAATCGCCCGTCAGAATCCACGATCATCCCTCCGTCTCCCCGCTCGAACCAACCCCAGCTCCTCCCGTGACAACTTCCGTGCCTGTGTCTGCGCCCGCACCGACGGCGATGTCATTCGGTTTTGACGATCCGCTGCAACTTGAGCCGGCTACTGCGGCAGCAGCCGAAGCATTTGAACAGCAGATGCGACGCGAGTCGGAGGTTTCGCTCGTTTCTGAGGGGTCTTATTCGTTTTCGGCGGAGGATACCTCCTTTGATGATTTGATCAATGTATAAGTGTGAACAGTGGATGTTATGTGTTAACGACTTTTTTTTTTATGTGGAGGTAATGGGGCAGCAGGTCTGTCTGTCGTTGGGTTTTCTGAATTGAATTGCGATCCAGTGGGAACTGGAGGGTGTCTGGCGTTTTGATTCTGCGGGTAAACGGATCAAGCTGTTTGTGGTATTCGGTATTGCGTTTGTTTCTGTCGATTCTAGCTGCCTTGAGGGCGATTGGCTAGTGGATTGTTGCTATGGGCATTGGCCTAAGATGTATTTTTCTATATGAATCACATGGCAGATGGAAATGAATTGTTTCTATCAATACGATGGTTTTATGGTAGGGAGATAACTATATATACCAAAGTCAAGATCTTCCACCGGTTGACTTGACATGTGCAAACGACATGTATTAGGGCAGTATCCTTCTCATGCTCAGCCCATCAACCCTGCCAAACATCCACTTAATCTCGAGAGACTTGCCGTCTCGTTCAGACAGAAGCAAAGCCCACAATCACGCCGTCGAGAAACTCCAAGATAATACATGTAGGGAAGATCTCGCACACGACCGCAACAACCCCAATTCAAGTTATAAGTGACAATATCGAGATATATTAGGGCAACCGTAGCAATCCCCGAAGTATCCTATCTAGGCTAGGGATGCACCCACCGTGGCAATATCAACGCCATGAAAGCCCCACAGGCTAACAAGAGTCTCTGAAAACGATCGAGCACAACAATTAAACAAATAACCTCAATTGTACCAAATATGCCCGTCAATAAAAGTGTCTTCTCCCAAGCTTAAGAACTATGGCTCGACTATAATGATAAGAGTGGAATAAGATGTGTACTTCTGCTTGTATACTTCAATTATGTCGCATTCTAATGTCATTGGCTTATTCTCTCTTAGTCCAGTGGAGACACTCCGCAATTACGTGCCGACGGCCGATGGCCGATTGGCGACCCTTTTGCGTACTTTGTATGCTTCCAGGATCTGCGAGATCTACGAGATGTCATACATACCGTTGACATTCCCCCTCACTTCCTCAACTCATCATTCTAAATAATGACAGCCAAACGCCCCAACTTCCTTGTCATAGTCGCCGACGACCTCGGTTTCTCCGATGTAGGCTGTTTCGGCGGAGAAATCCGCACGCCTAACATCGATCAAATCGCTAAAGAAGGTCTCCGATTCACCGATTTCCACGCAGCAGCAGCATGCTCGTAAGTCTCAAGTCTCAACTCAAGCCAGCTCTCAATCAAACATTGAACTCACAATACCCAGTCCCACGCGCGCCATGATCATGACAGGCACAGACCATCACATCGCCGGCCTAGGTAATCTAATCGAATGGACCAACATCTCCGGCCAAAACGGTCCGAAGGGCTCGGCCATGAGCACCGCACCGCAACGCGGAATGCCTGGCTACGAGGGATACCTCAATGAGCGGGTCGTGGCACTCCCGGAGATTCTGCGTGATGGGGGATATCACACCGTGATGTCGGGGAAGTGGCACTTGGGATTGACGCCAGAGCGGTCACCACATAAGCGTGGGTTTGAGCGCTCGTTCGCGCACTTGCCCGCCTGCTCAAATCACTATGCGTTCGAGCCGGAGTTGAAAGATGAAGACCAACTCCCGACTTTCATTGAGGCAAGTTATATCGCTCTGCACATGGAGGATGGAGAATATGTGCGTCGGCTCCCAGAGGACTGGTATTCGTCCGACGGGTACGGCGATAAGATGGTGTCTTACCTGAAAGAATGGAAAGACAGCGGCGGCAGCGATGGCCCCGATGGCCCCGATGGAAACGGAGACCGACCTTTCTTCGCATACCTCCCGTTCACAGCGCCGCACTGGCCGCTGCAAGCTCCGCGTAAGTACATAGACCACTACCGCGGTGTGTATGACTCGGGCCCGGACATCCTCCGCGAAAAGCGACTCCAGCGTCTAAAGGAGCTAGGGATGGTACGCGAGGACGTCGAGCCGCATCCCGTGCAAGCAGAGGAAGTCAAGGCGTGGGAGGAGTACAGCGATGAGGAGAAGAAGAAGTCTGCCGTTGCGATGGAGGTTTTCGCTGGGATGGTTGAGTGTATTGATTCGAATGTTGGGAAGGTGGTTGATTACCTTCGGTCCATCGATGAGCTGGATAACACATTCGTGTGTTTCATGTCTGACAATGGAGCCGAGGGCGCCGCCTACGAAGCCTACCCGATGGTGAAGAGCGGGGTCATGCCTCATCTGCAGAAATACTATGATAACAGCCTGGAGAACCTCGGGAACGGGAACTCGTTTATCTGGTATGGCCCGCGCTGGGCGCAGGCTGCTACTGCCCCCTCGCGGCTGTATAAGGCGTATACCACGGAGGGTGGCGTGCGTGTACCATTCACCTGTCGTTTCCCTGCGAACTTTGATATCAAGCCTACAGATGTTGCTGGTAAGGGCGGGATCACGGATCAATTCGCCACGGTTATGGACCTCGCCCCGTCGATCCTCGATATGGCGGGGATCAAGCACCCGGCGCCGATGTACCAGGGTCGTGAGGTCGTCGAGATGCGCGGTCAAAGTTTCCACCCCTGGGCAATCGGCCAGGCGGAGCGAATCCACCCGGTTGAATTTATTCAGGGGTGGGAGACGTGTGGACGGGCAGCGTTGCGTTGTGCAGACTGGAAGATCGTTTTTATTCCCAAACCCAAGGGCCCTGAGAAGTGGCAGTTGTATAATCTCGTGCAGGATCCCGGGGAGATTCACGATCTGTCAGAGACCGAGCCGGAGAAGATGAAGCAGTTGCTTAAGCTATGGGATCAGTATGTGCTTGAGACGGGTGTTGTCCCGCTCTGTCCTGATCTTGGGGAATTCTTGGAGGCGACTGAGGCGCAGATGCCTGAGAATGCGTGGATGGAGTTTGATTATTGGAAAGATGGGGCGCGAGATGAGCCGGAGAAGTTTACGAGGCAGCCGCCGAGGTTTCAGCGGACTGTGAAGCCTTTCTAGTCTTTCGAAGGGATCCCGCTGAATCCAAATCAAACGAATAGAAATGACTTCTAGTCAGCCTTTTGTTTCAGCCCATGCAGCTTGCCTATAGTAACCGCGGGGTAGATTCCACCAGGTAAATCGCTTAGCGACGTCTATAATACAATAACATTTCCCCAGGAGTTTGTACGGAGCAAGATGGCCGAGAAGATGGTTTAGTGGGCTAGTATTAAATATTCTAAAGGTTTATATATCCTTATACGACGCTAAATCTCTCAGAAGTATATAGAGGCTAAAATATGGTTGGTACAAATACCATAAGTCTGTTGATCAGTATCCAGAAGTAGCCCTTTGAATCTATTCTATTTCAAATGCACCATTATACGACTTCTAGAAGTAGATAGTTTTCTTTTCTGGTGGGTGATTGGACTTCTACAGGAAAACAGCAAGGTGCCCTATATTCGCGCTTGTTGCGCCTATTTTAGATTGATCTACTTTCTAGGCCTAAAAATACGATCATATTTTGTATATCGACCCGAGGTAGTTTGTAGACCAATCACAAGTGTAGATTAATATCGTAAGCATGAGTCTTTCTGACTTCATATTCTTTTCCACGTGGATATTTATCATCGTCGATCCCCCGAGAACCGGCGTTATTGCGGGGAAACCACCGTCGAATTTCATTGCGAGACAAAACTAAACAGACTACGTTCTGTATCTAGTATGCTTTGGGCTTAACCTAGTTCCATGGAGGTAAGAATTTTCCTCAAATCACCTCTAACCCCGACCAACGTGAATTCTCCACAGGTGCCAAAAGCTCGGGGAGCTGGCAGGTCGGGCCCGCGTCGACGGACAGGGTGCCTAACATGCAGGGCCCGTAAGGTCCGGTGCGACGAAACAAAACCAAGCTGCTCCAATTGCGACCGACTGCGTCTACGATGTCACTACAAACCCCCTATCGCCCCCGGCGTGGGGTGGGGTTCGTCACCAACTCGCCCAAACGATACAGCTGCATCGCCGAGTAATACATCACCGTTAGAGGGTTCGAGCTCATCCGCTACAGCCACAACTTCATTACGCTCCCCCGACATCAACTTCTTTAGTACCGTGCTCCGCGCAGACGGCCACGCAATACCAGCGCCGACACCTACACTTCGGCAGCTGCCTACAGACCAGGACTCGTATCCTTCCGAGTTTGACATGCTTCAATTTATGGGCGGGATCACCTCCGAGCTAGAACAGAAGCAGAAACACCTGGATTTGACGACTGGGCTGGCGATGGCGTTCACCGCTAGTCCGGCGTCGCAGTCGCTACCCGCGACATTCATACCAGGCATGGATGAAGCGCAGTTTTCAGCGGACCGTCGTATTCCACTTACTCCAGATACTTCATCTTCACTTATTGATGGGACCTCAATTGGAAGTGCTTCCGATGCAGGCGGTACTTCGTATGAGGACCAGCTGCTACAGCATTTTCTGACTATTGACCTACCGGCTACTATATTTGCGCCGGTAAACATCGAGTGGAAGTATATGCGGTCGGCGCTGCTGGCTCATGCGCGGGATTCTAGTCCGCTTCTGAATGCTTTGTACTGCTATGCAGATGTCCATAAAGCGATGATGGAAGAGAAACGATGGCGCTGGGCGCCGGCTTTTTATAGATTGTCCAGTTCAGAGATCCAAGCTTGTATTCATGGCGAGGTGACCGATTCCACCCTCATCAAAGTTTTTGGTTCTATTTTTCTGTTAATGATATCCGAGGTATGTTCAGCTTGGTTCTGACATCGAGCAGACTTGGCTCATCTGGTCCCAGATTCTTTCATCTCCCGAAATATGCACCGGAACTTCTTATATTCACTCGGGGTATCTCATTCTACAACGATTTCATGATCGCACCCGGCACTGGACCGGTATCGGCCATCTCCTAGTGTCATGGGTCTCGCTGCTAGATGTCAAGTCCCTGATTGCAGGCCGAGATGGCGATCCTCTCGCCGAGCTCGGCACCATCCCAGAACATAGCATACCACTGAAACCAATAGATACCCAAATTTCCCAACCCCCTCACGCAAGAGCGCCAGCAGAAAACTACAAAGAAGAAGACAGCATCGAAGACCCATTCCGCAGTCCCAGCTACCTCGTCTACGAATCAATCGTAGGCCCAGCATTCCAATTCTTCGTACAAGCCCAACAAGTCGTCCGACGAATAGTCGGCATCGACCTCCACCACCGCAGCCGCGGAACCCTCACCGACGAGTTCGAAGTCCTCCAGCTCGCCCACAAAGTCGGCGCAGACCTCGAAACACTCTGGCACAGGCGTCCCTCAGTAATTGACGTCTACGGACGGCCAGAAGCACTAACGGATATCCTGTGCGTTCCCGTGGCATTGGAAATTTGTCGCACATTCAGACAATACGTGGCAAACTTCTTAGCGAACTTTATCTACTTGCACCGCGTTGCATTTGCAATCTACCCACGCACAGACCGCGTCAACGGCGCCGTCGATCAGATCATTCAATTAGCTGCAGTTGATTCGACCAGCCCAGACCATCTACCTGTTAGCTTCCTGTGGCCGCTGTTCATTGCTGGGCTTGAGGGTACAGAGGACCAGCGCAAGTGGATTGTCCACGAGATTCAGCGTATGGCTGCGGCCCACGAAGCTGACTCGGCTCCTTCGGTCACTCGTCACCCAACCGCTGATAGGGTTCTCGTGCTCGTGGAGGAGATGACTCGACGACAGGATGTGTCGCGCACATGGGCAGACTCGAAATGTGTGAGGCGGGAATTATTTTCGGACTTTTTCGTTATAATTTAAACGTATTCGGCGCAATGTATATATGACTTTAATAGCTCAGCGTTGTGGCCATATATCCAGAAACTTTGTTTTTCTGGTTGATTTTTTTGACGATCGAGATCGTCAAGAGATGTTCTCATGAATTTTATGATACAAGAACTTACAACCACTTCAAATGCCCTAAACCTCCCCAGACCCAACGGCTCGATATAACACTTTATCACCACCCATGCACCGCGATCGATGCAGTAAATGGCCCCGTTCTCTGCGCACATACGCCGCAAAACAAACAGCAGCAACCGCCACAGCCCCCGAACTGATCATCACGGGATACCTGAACTGAGCCGGCAGCGGGAAAGCAATCGTCGATGCAAAAGAAAGCATCTCGAAAACATTCTGCAGGGCCATTTCAGTCGCCGAGAAGCGGGCACGGGCATGTTCGTTGATATTCTACATAATATCATTTGATCAGCACATGCAACCCACAAGCCAACAACCAAGAAATCAGTCCACTTACCTCCTGAACAAGAAACTGGACAGACAAATCAAATCCCCAAAGTCCAACCCGACTCAAAGCCACACCCGCAATCAGCGTACCCGCCACGACCCGCGAACTCGAGTCCCAAGCAACGAACGCCACAGCCGCACCTGCAACGCAGGCAAATTGCCAATTCAGGAACCACAGCCCGGACCGAATCGGACCGATTCGGTTCATGATTATAGGCGCTGTCCATGTGCCGGATAGCTCGGCGACTACGGAGCCGATGCGCATGTAACTGACCTGTAACGAGGTGAAACCCGCATGTAGCAGGTATGTGACCATTGTTGCGCCGAAGGATAGGACTGTTAGGTAGAGGAGGCTTAGGGCGAGGGATGCTAGGAAGACGGGGCTGGCTATGTATTCTTTCCAGGGTGCTAGTGGTGAGTCCGGCAACGAGTGGGGTTTGCCAGATGGATTTTGGTCAGGGGCCGCACTCTCGCTAGTTATATCATCTGCTTGTGGTATAGTATGTGTTTTGGTCAGGGCTGGGACTGATTGGTAGACCTGGGCAATGGCCATGTATTCGACCAGCACGGACGTGGTGTTTAGGATGAATACTGTCCATATTGCGTATCGGGTTGATATGCTGTCGACCAAGGAGATGAATACTGGTGCTAGGAGCTTGCAGATGAGATCTATTCGTCTCATTGAGGCGTTCAGGTCTGTTATTTGATCACAGTTAGATATTGTAGAGATCCAGCTCGCTTCGGCTTTCTTACCTTGTCGAGGGACATTGATACTATCCGAGATCACGATGGCCTGTCAAATTATCAGTGATGTCTCTTCAGAATAAAATATACATCGGATGCATGGAAGCGGTCAAACAACCCAAATACGATCCCCGTACATACCCAGTCCCGTTCCACAGCCACTGTATTAGCCGTAGCGGCCAATTTCTCTATACAAGCCAGCAGGCCCTGGAAAACGAACAGGACAATTGTAAGCGTCCAAGAGACTGTAGATAGAGTCGCTACAAAACACAAACATGACACTGCGACAGGGAGTCTTTGCCACACTATTCGCTCGATTAGCCGTCTGAACAATAACATGATAACACGAAATATCTTCGCGGCACTAACACACCAATCGAATATCTCACGGCTACGAGCCGGTCTGAACGATCAACTTGCGCACCCAGCCAGGACGATAGCGCGACGGTTGAAAATGCCCGCACTAGAGCGTATATCGAAGCATACAGTAGTGTGCCCGGAAAGATCGAAGCTAGGAAAAGCACGGCGCCGAATTCGAACATGCGTGAATTCCATGCTGAGAGTGCGTGTGAGATGTATAGGCGTGTTAGTACTGAGTGGGCTTCTGGTGCCGGGGTATTATTGTGGGGTGGTGAAGTATCATTCGCCGATGCCAGTAGATGAGTGCTGGAGGAATTGGTGACGCTTTCCGATAAGTGCTGACTAGGCCCTGGGGACGTGCTCTCAAGCAGCATGTTGAAGTGTGGGAATTTACAGATGTGCGAGCGTCTGGTTTATGGATTTGATTGAGATTCAGTTGGGGCGGGATTTACAATGCCGCGGGTGGGCTGAGCACCTTCGCGGAACCATTTTAGTGTGCTATTGCGTTTGATCTGAGTCGATCTAGATATTACTCTTTTTTGTTTAGTTGAAGATAACTGCAAGAAATGCAATAGATAGTATATGGTATATGGGCCCAATTCCCAATAAATTCTAATACACAACAATAAAAATTACAAGCTATAGACGGTATCTCTCTCTCTATTCAACCCACTTGAGTCCTTCGGGAGATGATGTCGTCGTCCGTCGGGCAATGACCTCGACGACCTTTCGGCGCACACCCTCGCGGTGGGCGTATTTCTGGAGGAAGTAATCGACCACGGGTCTCCGTGATGGGTGACCTTGGCGGACAACCTTCTCGATCTCTTCCTCGGAGGGAAGAGCGAAGTGGGCGTGAGGGTAGTTTTCGTAATCTCCCTGGCTCAGGAGTGGTAGGCGGGTCTCGTGGTCGGCGATCTCGAAGAAGCCATCAACAGTTTTATCCGAAACCTCTTTGAGAGTAGCGGGCTGCCATTCGGGCTGACGGGCAGGCTTGGACATCAGACGGGCCTTGACACCCTCGACGAAATCAGGGTGGCGCATGAAGTTGGCAGCGACCTTGTGCTCGCGCTGGAAGGTCTCTGAGATGGACCACTTCTTGCCAAGACGCATCTGGCGCAGGGTCACCTTCAGAGAAGTCGGGGAGCGGCCAGACAGAGTCTCCAATGTCTTTTGTGCCCACTCCTTGTGCTCGGTCTCCTTCTCCAAAGCCTGGATGATCTCCTCCATGGTGTTGAATCGGAAGCAGCGGTCAATCGCAGTGCGTAGGCTACCAGCCATGAGCATAGGCTCCTCCTCAAGTGGGGGGAGGCCAAGAGAGAACTCAGCCATGGTCTTGTTGACGATTTCCAATCGCTCGGGAAGCTCGACGTGGTCGGGGAAAGTCAGCTCAGAGAGACGCTGCGCGACACTGCTCAGCACGCTGGAGTGCAGGTAGTGTGTAGCAATGCCTGCATACAGAGTCTGGACACCCTTCAGGCGCTCCGAGGTCAAAGCCAGGTATGTGCCGGTCTCACCATCGAGACGGGGAAGGAAGAACGAGCCACCAACGTCGGGGAAGAAGCCAATGGTTGTTTCGGGCATAGCAAACAAAGTACGCTCAGTCGCAATTCGGAAGGGGGCGTGCATGCTGAGGCCAACACCACCACCCATGGTGATTCCGTCCATAAATGAGATAACAGGCTTCGAGTATGTAGCGATCAGGTGGTCGAGGCGGTATTCGAGTCCGAAGAAGTCTGTCGATGCTTGTTGTCCTTTCACTCCACTCTCATTTTGCAGTGCCAGGGCAGCAACGTCGCCTCCCGCGCAGAGCGCCTTGGTGCCGGCTCCGGAGATGAGGATCATGTTTGCAAGATGAGATTTCTCCCACTCCTATCCAACGCTTAGTATTGTGTGTTTATGAAGTTCCGGGTATCCACTCTAACCTTCAATCGAGGGAGAATCTTGCGAGCCATCGAGCCGTTCAGGGAGTTGAGCTTCTTGGGTCGGTTGAGCTCAACGCTGCGGAGGCCGTAGATCGAGTTGAACAGAACATCGTCGCGCTCATCGCCTGGGAGCTCTTTGGGAATATCGGATGAAGTCGACATCTAACGATAGTAAGCATTGAATATCGGGCTTCTCTCCGAACGGGGTGTATACCATAGCTGTTGGCCGAAAGGCAGGGTTGGTCACCTTGGCGCGTAAAGGCATTGCAGGAACGCGCGAGATCCAGCTCGGCGAGGAGACGCGATTGAATTGTCGAAGTAACATTAGAACTGGAATATGACGAGAACCGGGCAAGAGGGTTATGTGGTGACAATCAGGTGTTTTCTCCGCTTTCTTGACCTCGGGAGTTTTTCGCTGGATTTTCTCTCCGCTCCGAGGGTCAACTCCCGCCCATAACCGACAACCTTGGGTATTTTGGGGATACCCCAATTGATGTTATTTTTGGAATACGAATGGAAACGAATAATCTGACTGGTATATAATATAAAAAGCTGCTAAACTACTACATATGTTGTAGCCCTCAGGCCGACTCGGAGAAGTGATAACGTTCGAAGTATACATGGTCTATTTGTACATAGCTAGATAATGCCAAAAAAAAAAGAAGAAACAGAAAATGATGCAATTAAACATTCTTCCATGTAGACGCCATCCGGCTAAAGTCCAGCGGATACACCTTCTTTCCGTCTAGTGAAGGCGAAAAGAGAGTGTCCACCTTCGCCAAGTCCGTCGTATGTGCAAGCAAGATCTTGTGCAATGCATTCTTCTCAATGACCAATCTTGCTGTCTCCAAGACATTTTTCACATCCAAATCCTCGACGCTGATCGTTCGTGCGTGGTTACCGAACTTTTCGACCGCATCGGAGAGCATCTCATTCGGCTTCAATGTAATGAATGTAGACCGGCCCTTCTGATACCAGCCATGAGCTTGGATGAGATTTTTGATGAAGAACGGGCTTGAAGCTTCATCCATCTCGATGTTGTTGTCAACGACAATCAATTCGCCGCGTGATAGCCGGTGGCTGAGGGCAATGCGCCAGGCCTGGTCATAGATCTTTCGTGGCAAATCGGTCGAGAAATCACGAGGATGAGGTCCGAAAGCCACACCACCACCTCGACGAACTGGCGACATCTTATCACCAGCACGCGCACGACCGGAACCCTTCTGCGCGTACAGCTTCCTGTGACTACCGTGCACATCGTCCCTCCATTTGGTGCTGGCTGAACCTTGTCGGGTGCTGTCACCCTCGTAGATGACTGCGCGGTGGAGAATATCGTGACGAGTGGGCATCTGAAGTAGCCTCCGGGAGTAGTGGACCAGACGCTCGGGTTGCAGGTCAGGCCAGCGGTAGGTCATGACTTGAACAGGGGTTTGGCCACCTGGACGTTGTGGTTGTTCGACCTGGACGGCATCCTGAGCGGCTACTGGCGATTGTGGTTTGGCTTCAGTTGCCATTGAGCGTGTAAGGCATCGTTGCTTTATGATTCGACGCGCTGTCAGTAAATGCATCCTCGGACCGGACTAAGAATAATTCATGGAGTGCACTAACCGTCACCTGCTTGGGGCCAGACATGAGTCCGCCCGAGCTGCGTGACAGCAGCCTCAGCGACCGAATAACATCGTTACCTGCCATTGTGAAAGGTACTGCGTGATCGACGTATAAGTTGGTGATGTCCGGAGTGTTCAACGGAGCAAAAGTTGACACGGGCGGTGGGTGCCAGCAGAATATTGACGCTACAAAGTATAGACACAACTAGTCCAATTTAGGTGTCTTATTATCCCCAGCCAGGTCTTGAGAGGGGATCCTTCATTATGGATTGCATTTCGAGAATGTTACATCCAGATTTGTAAAGCCTGTATTGGCATTGTGAATAAACCACGCGAGGCAGAGCAACTATCAAGGCAGTTTATTGACTTGATAAAACACGGAGAGATGACGAGGAATGAAAAAGAGAAGACAGTGCATCTGAATTAATTTCACTACAAGGGGGATCAATGCATATACGGCCTCTGTTCTTGACATTATGTTGAAGATACACACTATGATGTCTGTTTCGTTGTCTTTCTGAATTTCTTTTTCCCTTCGCGGTATTAAACATTTAGGAAGATGAGAGACGGAGGAAATCATAAACCGTACAGACGACCTTTCTATTGTATAATTGTGATTTTCATGCTTGAAAGGTTCTAGGTTGATATTGATGCGCATGCTTACGGAGTAGATAATGTAGGACTAGGGTTGGTCACGTGATAGGCTAGGTCCGAACAGAAAAAGTTCCCCAGGAAGACAACAACATCGGATCCTCAGGCCAAGCCCATCATAACCCCAATTCCTCGAATCATGGCCCACTGCGAACGGGCTTCGAAGCCTCTGCTCCAATGCCTTCGCAACACCTACTCTAGGGGCGTGGCTGGAGTCCAACTCCAAACACGAGCCTTCCAGTCTACCGCCAGCGTTCGAGAGCCCGAAGCTGAGACTCCGAGCCAACCTTTCCACAAGGCACCCGATCCCTCCCTTGTGACGAGTCCCCGTCTTGAAAGACGACTGCTGCGACAAGGAACCACCCCCATTGGATCTCGTCGTCGCCGTGCCGCGCTCCAAGATTCCGAGAACCTTCCTTTCGAACAACTGCCCTACCAATGTTTCCAAGAAGCCCGAAAGATCTTGCTTGCGGACCGCGAACAGAAGTTGAAGGATATTGAGGCGATGAGACAGCGTCTTGCCAGGCAGGAGGCTTTGGCCGACCAGGAGTCTGGAGGAGCCAAGGCGAAGAAGTCCCGCGTTACTGCGATGCAATTACACCTGGAGCGACTCAAGGTCCTAGCCGATATTAACGACCCCGCGGTCAAGCGGAAGTTCGAAGATAATGAAGGTAATCACATCTGGGGTCAACTGATCAAATTAGGCTGAGGCTAATGATCCGTTTTCTATCAATTCAGGTGACATGTCCAAGCCCATCTACCGCTTTTTGGCCGACCGCAAATGGCGCGAATACCGCCGCAAGATTCTGGTCCAGCGTATCACCCAGATGAACGTCGTTCCCGATGTCCTGCCTCACTGCGACCCCATCGTCGACACAAAGTTGTACTTCGGCAAGCGACAAGTCCAAGCCGGTGAATTCGTCGACGCGAAAGTCAGCACAAGCGCGCCTAAACTCGACGTGCAGATGTTTGAGGGTGGTGAAAAGCTGGTCACCATTGCAGTTGTCGATCCTGATGTCCCGAACGTTGAGAACAACAACTTCGATTATAAGACACATTTCCTGGCCGTCAACGTCCCTATCTCGGCCACCTCCACCAAGCTCGATCTCGCGCAGCTTTTGGAGGATTCCCAGGTGGTTCTCCCCTGGCTCCCACCTGTTGCTCAGAAGGGAAGTCCCTACCACCGTCTCTCTCTCTTCGTCATGGAGCAGAAGGACTCCGAGCCTCTCGACTTTGCCGCCGTCAAGGCCAAGGAGAACAGCCGCGACACCACCCTCCTTCGCACTCTCCAATCCCGTTACCACCTCAAGGCCATCGGTGCTCACCTGTTCCGTACCCAGTGGGACGACACGACCCTGGAGGTCATGAAGGAGATTGGATTCGACAATGCCAACATGGAGCTGCGTCGCAAGAGAGTCGAGCCTCTGCCATATAAGAGACGTAACCCCTCTTCGTTCCGCTGATCGTGTTTGTCTCCCCTGTTCTGTGTTCAAGCCGGGTTTTGTATTGTACAATTTGATATATGTATGAATATGCACACTGTTTTAATCCCTTTCAACCAAACTCCATGTGTATGCTTAAACAAAATAAAACCGAGTGCCACGCATCGGCAACCCATAACTCTCTCGTCTGGTATAATGTACACTATAATCCTCAAATGTTCTGGGCCTCCAGTTGCGCCGGTTGCAACGGATTCGTCACCCACCCCATCTTTGACAGAGGCCATACTCTGGCAATTATCTTCCCATTAATGAGACCCATGGGCACCGGACCGTAGTTTCTCGAATCCCTGGACCAGGGAAGATTGTCGCCGGCAAGAAAGACATGACCTTCGGGGATCTGCACAAACATCACAAGTCAGCAATTGAATATAACCAAAACAAAATACATGACTCACCTGAATCATATTTCCCTCCTTGCCAATACCCGTACTAAGCGGCTTATCTTGACAGACAAAATCCCCAGGCATGCCGACTACCCGCTTGGCCACATGCACGCCTTGAAAGTTCGGATGACCATATCGCACGACATCTCCGACCTCGATTCCTTTGCCATTACGGTGCATGCGCGATATCAGGAGCCAGTCACCTCGCACGTCGAATGTAGGGTACATCGACGGGCCCTCGCTGAGCTGGATGGTGATCAGATGCTCCCAGATCAGCGCGCAGGCGCAGAACGTGCTTGTGCCATTGAGCGCGAGTCGGCCAATTGTGCGCGGATTGAAGCCCCTTACTAACGACCGGACTAATTGCTCCATGTGTAGTGAATTGGAAGCTTGGTCTTGCTCAGATCGAGCTGCATCAACCATTCCGCGGTCGGGACTGGTCATGTGATCGTACGGTGCCTTTAAAATCCATTTTTTTGCTCCACATTTTCCTCTTCTCCCATCATTCAATATGTCCTGCGTATTGAACCAGGGGAATATCGCCGTCGCGTTGGATTTCGATATCCAGGAGCCTTTCAGCTATACCAGCTGACCATTAATGTTTGGGTGCTGGGCTGAGAAGGACCTGGGTTTTCATCCATGCCTCGATTATTCTGAGCCTCTCTACAACCATTAGAGATGTGTCGATATCCTTTACATATACTCCCCATACCCATTACCCTAATCCCCAATTCCTTGTGGGATATTCGCTTCTCCAGCTAGAGCTTGCCGTCGCCAAAATATATACGGACGAAGCAGGTGTAGAAGATCTGAAGCAATATGAAAACAACCGGCCTATCTTGTTAGATGCGCTGTCCTCCAGTGTGCCTCAATATGACCCCATTTCATTATGGGACTGGATTCTTGAGGCATGTGTAGCGGGGAGACATCTCAATTAGACAATTTATTATCATCTTATTCCTGTTCTCTTGATTTCTTGGTTTCTTTCGTACGCTTTTTGGTCTATCATTTGAGACTTGTCCATGGGTCAATCAAGTTGCCTTGGTCCACATCGAATCAGCATCTAACCACCATGTCAGTCCAAATGCAAACAAAGCGAAGTAAGCACAATACATACCGGTATGCTTCTCAACTGGCTCAATACCCTCCCTCTTCTTCGCCTTCTTCTGATGATCCACGCCAAACCTCTTATTCCGATCCTCCAACAACGAATCCAACCCCGCAGGATGCGCAACCTCCACGCTCTCATTCGATACAAAGCTACCCATCAACTGCGGCTCCCCCATAGGCACAGGATCTCCACGATCAACCTGCCAGAAATGATACGTCTTGCCATAAAGAGGCACAACATCTTGCATCTCTGCCGTCTCCGCGGTTTCCCATACAGCATCGGGCATACCAGCCGGTGCTGGCATGACCAGCATGCCACTCTTGACCTCGAACTCGTGCGTGTGCCAGAGCTTACGCTCTTCAGCGGGAAGAGTCGCGAAAATCCGCGGTGTGACCATGTATTCCACGCCGATGAGGCGGGCATTTTTCTCAGGTGAGTCGTAGATTAGGCATTGGCGGATGTCTGGGGAGGTATTAATATCTGGCACGTCCACGATTGGTCGTTCGGTTGTCTTGTCTAGCTATGGTTATGGCTGTTGGTACATACCCTCTGTTAAATGAGTGCAGTAGTGGTTGGCTTCGACGCATCGCGTTGGATCGTCGGCGTAAACGTGGAATGCATTGAGATGGGCGCATATTTGTTTCACTGGCGTGAAGTCCTGGATCATTGAAGCTCCGCCCTCAAGGACTCGACTCTTCAGTGTTCGTGGGTCGCCTGGGAGTTCATTTCCCTTGCAGCAGGAGCTCTTGTTGCCGTCTGACATTTTGTCGTATGTTGAGTTCAAGATGGGGACCAATGTTATATTCGCGAATTGTTAATGAATAGAAAGGATCCAAACTGGAATTAATACTTGAACATAAGTTCTGAGGCAAGTTTCTTTGAACTGACGTCACGATGATTGGTAATTTCCTATTTGGGACTATTTACTATTACAGCTACCTTTATATGTAGCTGTGTTATTCGTCGAAGAAAACGATACTTTGAAGTTGCCAACGTGCAGGTAGTTCAAACATACAGCCGTTAAAGGAGGAACAACGTTGGATCAATTGCGCTTTTGGTATATCGGATATATTGCACTTAATCTGCCTCGACAACTCAAGCAATAATCTCCCTCTGCTCCAACAAATCATAAGTAGGGGTCTTCCTCATATCAAAATTTCCCTGGCCATCAAAACGGTGCTGTTCTTTCTTGCGTTCGCAGTAAGCCATTGCTATATTCCGCACTATGCTCCACTCAAGCATGCTCGTGCCTAAAGCCTTGTTATCGGCCTGAAGCGTTTCCAACGCCTCCTTTACCCACTCGACACAATTCCATCCTGGCCGATTTTGTCGGACAGGCGTATTGCGCATAATTTCCGCTGTATGATATCCATCCAATACCTTCCCAATCATGATACGAACGAGTAACATTCTAGTAGCGGTAAGTGAACACTCCAGCTCTTCGAAGTGCCACTCCGAGCCCCCTCCCAGCTTTGGACTCTCGTTCGCATGGTAACAGAAACCAGTGCTATTCTCTGTCTCAATTTTGGGCCCTACAATCAGGGACCAATGGTACCTAGTCAAGATATCGTATTAATGTTGTTGGTTGCTTCAGCTAAACATCATGGATGGTAATCTCACGAGTCTTCCTTGCCTGGCATGGTTGATTTGCCTCCTCGTGCATGGAGAACAACATATATCCGATCTTTGTTAGAGGGCATTGCAAGTGACGTTGACCAATATGGCTAGATATTCTGCTAATTGGGCCGATTATTGAAGGGATGGTCGTAATGGGTTCTCTAAATCTAGAACCGGGCTCCACGGATGTCTTTATAGTAGAAGCTTTACAAAGTTATAGCCGCTCTTGAATACGGTGTGATGTGATTCGGGTTGCAGTAGATCTTCCGATCTCTTAAAATAGAACCGAATTGGGCACTTCCAGGGGTTGCCCGGATGGGTAGAAAAGGGGCCAATTGGGTTTGTAGAAGTTCCAACCAAATCCCTGCGAGTAGGCGCAGCATAAAAATAGAAATTCCAACCAGGCAAATTTAGCGGCTCACCTAGCGTCCTTGTTTGGGCATGTAATCATGTGATAACTACGTATTTGGTGTTGTGTGTCACGTGACGTGTCTAGTATGTACTACCTGCAAATCCTGAGGCGGCAAGGCGCCAAAACACGCAAAGATGAGGCATGTGACTGCAGCTGAATCAAAGTCTCTCATGCGATCGCAAGGCAGGTTAAGGTCCACGTGATTATGCACCTTAAAACGGCTGGCCTGAGCCAACGTCAGTTCCAGTTACCAAAATTGTCCGGTTCGCTGCTAAATCTCCTATTCGTATCCCTTTAGTTGTGGTTTGATCATTTACTGAAAGGGATTCATCAAACGAAAGTGATTAAAGAGTCTAAAGTCTATAGTAACGCCTTCTTACATCTTCCTACACGATGAAGAACTACGTAAATGGTAGTTGTGGTACCCATCCCAGAATGAGAATTCACTTGCTTTGTTACATTACGAGTAGCACATTCGCATCTATGCTTTATTAGCCTAGAAGAGCGAGGTTTATAGATCGGCAATCTATAGCCCCATCACCAGGCATTGATTGGCTCTCGTACCATCGTACACTAAACCCAAATAGGCCGAGTATGGGCCCTACTATACAGCAGATTCCATCCACTCGCGCTTTACATAGCCCACTCGAGCAGAATATCATTGAGACTAACTAAAAATGACCTACGGAATGCGAATGCCGATTTCTTGGAGATTGACTATAAGTGAAGTCACTCCCAGCCTCGGTCCAAACTCCTACTTCTTTCTTCAAGCCCAAGACCTCTTCGCGATCAATCTCAGTGCGTAGCTGGACCAGGACGTCGGATTCTTTCGACATCTGCCTAGGTGGTGGCTTGATGGAGAGAAACAATTGCCGGGTCGCCACCTTTCATGGCCTGGTTTGCCCTTACAAGGCACTGTTGTGATTTATATTAGCGTGCATGTATTTCTCGTCATAGGAGAAAGCGTACATGAGTGAGCCAGTAGAATCCCACCGAAGCTGTGGGCAATGAAAAAAATTGGCCGCTGGTGAAGCTGGTTCAGCCCTCTGTCAGTTCAATTCTCTTTAATTAGTAATTGTCCTTGGGTCCCTTGGACTCTGAAGGTTCTGACATGAAGCCGTGGATAAAGCTATGCACCGAGAAGGTATGAGGAGAGAAACGGTAGGTGAGGTTTAAACGAGAGAGTCGGAGTTCGCCATAGTGGTAACGTGACGAGACAGAATGGAGAGTTTCGAGATCAATGTTCGTGAGAATGTCTGTGATAAAACCGCGCTACATCTCCCAGGTTATCGAAGGCGGAAGTAGATTCGAATGATGCGCGATAGCAAGATCGTGTTTGCTACAGATAAGCCAGCAATAAGATAAGAAGAATCCGCATGCACATTGGTAGAGTGATTCGTCTTGACCTAGGACGATGCCCTTGGTGGTCCAAAATTCATGGAATAGTAAATAATCTGGCAGAGGCTTGATGAATATGCGTTCGGCGTGCGAGATAAGATGTTCGTTGGGGTTTTCGGTAATGACAATGGTGCGGCCTAGGAGGACTTGGCGGTGGAGTGGACGAGCAGCTTTTGGAAGACCTGCTAGCCACAGATGAGAGTAGATCCTGTCGATGGATGATGTCCGCAGATCCAAGTCGAGAATCTCCAAGACCGAGCGTTGTGGGTTGAAACCAGTACGCGGGTGGTAGGGTGGGAATGTTGGTATGATTTGTTGGAGTCCATGTACTTTTCTGAAAAGGCGGATTTAAGGGACTCTAGGCTTTATTTAGAAACATATATTCGTTCTGATAGGATTAAACTTACTTTCCTTTCCTCGACAGTTTTGTTTCTAGGTAACTCCATCTTCAGGGAAATACCTCAGAAGTGTTAGCTTTTTGAAGGCTGTTCAGCTTCAAGAGGAAAATAGGTCTGACGGTTCAAGCGGCCTGTACGGTCTGTGCTCCACTTTCGGGGCGTGTAAATAGGCTAAGTATAAGAGCCTCATTGAATCAACGGCACTTGACACGCACATGTCCAACTCAGGTTCTCATCCCATCGATTCCGTACTCAGCCTTCTATAATCAGTCTTCTCACCTTTGCAGGGCTCTCAGAAGTCCCATGTCAGATTATTGGCTCCTTTTGATCCACTCATTCTAGTTCTTGGCGACTCCATAACTAACATCCAATTCTAGTCGATTGGTCAAATCAGAGGCAAGGCTGAATTTTATATTTCCTCATGCTAAAGGCTCTAGATATACAGGTATAGTAAGCTTCATTTATAACAAATTGGGATACCGGCAAGTATTCGTTAAATCGAGTTTCTTAAAAACCAGGACCCCACACATTATATATATCTGGTTTACTTACACCATGCTCCAAAAATGCTCCCAATATCCCTCTATTTCTGCCCTTTATATAAATAAGGGTGCAATCTAAAGCCTAACTAGTTTTATTATATAAAATCCACGTGTCTCATACAACGATGGCTTTCTCACGCCCGATATGTGAGTTGCATGGAAAGAAGTCGAACAAACGGAGGGTATAATCAGAGTTGTGCAGTCTAGCAGTGATTCCTCAAGTCATAGTGAAGCCAACGTGTAGTATATTTCCTCCTCCGAGTACTTTCCAACCCTAGCTGCCGCTTTTATGAAGGCGCACAGAGTCAGGCTCAGTATCACGTGATGTCTCCTTGAGGTCCAAAAAATGCCCATTGATCGCTGATTACTCAGAGACTGATCAGATCTATTAAAATTGCTGACTTAAATTGGATATATCTCCCTGCTCTAAGTCTCTAACATACCTTTTATTGAACATCAACTTGCAGATCATCACCCCCTTGCATGTCTGAGGGTTACCAGCCCGGCACAGGGGCAGTATGATTCTCAAGACGATCATTCTTCAGCTGACGCGACTAATTATGGCCTTCTTCGACACCATTTCACTTCGCCATGTTGCAAGCATATTCCCAGCCAAAAGAAGTCATTGACACAATGCCCGACTCTCCAGACACAGAAGAGGGCAATCCTTTGTTGGTTGAATCAGAATGTGAATCATCTCGCAGTAGTCTCGAGTACTCACGAGACACGGTGGACTTCGACCGAAATGGGGACCCAGAAAATCCACTCGAGTGGCCCGACTTCTACAAATGGGGGATCGTGGCCTTGTTGTCCTTTATGGGCTTGACAGTGTACGTATCGATCCTAGCCCTGGGTAATACCAGCTTGTAGCTGATGATATACAGCACATTCACCTGCATCTCGGTAACCCCCGTAGCAGGTCACATCATTGATGATCTCAATGGCAGTGAAGGGGCTAAATCTGCCACTGTTATGCTTGTCACGATATGGGAGCTAGGCGAGGCAGTAGGGCCCTTTTTCATCGCCCCGCTATCTGAGATATTTGGACGCTATCGTCTTTACTTGACTATGAACATGATGTTCATCGTGGCTACCTTGTTTGCGGCTTTATCGCCCAGCACAGAGCTGCTTATCGTTTCACGCGCCCTGATGGGTATTTCAGTAGCGTCCAATGTGCTGAGCCCTGCCATTATCGGTGACATGTTCATTCCAGAACAAAGGGGCACTGCCCTTACTCTGATAATGTTCACTCCCCTTATCGGTGGGACCTTGGGTCCGGTTATTAGCGGTGCTATTCTGCAGACTCTAGGCTGGCGCGCTATCATTTGGATTAGCGTTGTGATGGCGAGCATTTGTCAGATCTTGTTCTTGACCTTCTTCCAAGAAACATATAAGG